CTCTTCGGCAAAGTAAAAGTTGAATTTTATGCCAGTGAGACATGCGAGGAGTAGAGTAGAGTCGAAAGTGCTTCAATGCGGATACAGGTACTTAGAGATCTGTCTGTCTGATATGTCCTTAAATGCAATTGCAGTTACCTGAAGTCCTGAATAGGCTAAACTTTCTGACACTTCAAATTGCAATTCCAAGAGCTGCGCAATGCGGCATAAAAAAACTAAATAAATAATAAACAAAATATATATTAAATGGTGTTGAAGGGTTGGGGAAATTGAAACTTCTCGAAACTACTTAATTTTTGGAAACCAAAGAAAACAAATATAATATTATGAACCGCAAAAGAAGCTTAGTTGAGCAAAGAAACCGCAACATTTGGCTTTTGTATTTGGCTTTTAATAACATTAATAAAATTCCAACATTATTTTTGGCTAACAGCTTGTCTTGCCATCAAAAAGGTTATTAATAAAGAACAAAAGATAGTAATATATGGCTTTAGTAAATTTTATAGAAGCAAAAGCTTCTTATCAATACTAGGAAATATACATAAACTAAATACTTTTTTAAATTATAATTTTTATATATTTTTAAAGCTTAAAGAAGTAGAACGTGAACGCATGCTGATAATCGAGGGCAAGTCGGATGTGATCCCAGATGAACTGGCCGACGATCCCATATTTATGGTCAATAAAGATGCCAATATGGAGATAATGAAAGAGCGATCCAAGGTGGGAAATCCAGAAAAAAACCAAACTATATCCCAAAAAGTTTACATATTCTGCCCTTATAGTTAAAAACCGCTCGTGAGAAAAATGCCGAACGCCTGAAGCTGCAGGGCGTGAAATGGGAGCGGGAGAGGTTGCAACATGCGGCCAAGGAAGCGGAACTTTTGGCGAAGAAACGGGAGCGACAACGTCAACAGAAATTGTTGGTGGAACAGTACAGGACCGAGGATGCCGAACGGGGCATGGACCTGCTGCGGTAAGTCAGTAGGGCTTTAAAGTTATTCTTAATGCCCGTAAAATTAAAAAATAAACAGTGGGCGTGGCAGTGGGTGTGGGTGCTGGGGGTGTTAGAGGGTGGGTGTGTGGGAAAAGCAACAGCAAAAACAAAAATAATAATACATTATTCCACGTTGACGCTCGACGCCTTCTGGGAAGCCTTTTATCCTCAAAAAAAAAGCACGGGAACCGGCTAAGATGCATGTATTGTTAAAAGATGAACCCACTGGCTTAAACGGTCTTCCTTGGGGGAAGAAAAAAATCTGGGTCCTTGCAGGGAAATTATAAAGTTTAGGACAAGGCTAGATGCTCTTGGTTTAAAAAAATTGTATTAAAAAAGTAAAAATAGAGAGCACACAATTTGTTGAACAAATACTAGGTAGAGTTGAATGACCTTTAATACTATAATCAGCATAATTAATATCATAAAATATATTTTATATAGAGTCTAATAAACTAAAAATAAGACCTGATATGGAATCAATAATAAATGCCAATTATAGGCAGGTATTTTTGGAACATTTATTATATTTTACAACCGAGATTATTATTTCCGATCCACATTGATAATGTAATCAAAACTATATAATCATTTTGATATTATACACAATGTTTTTGTGACCCACAAAATTCTGGGTAAAAAATGACTTTCATTTAGAATTATACAGGTAATTACTATAGTCCTTTCCAGGAAAGGGTATAGCAAAAACGATGATAGAAGCGTTTTGTTCCCTTGGCACGTCATTAAAACGTTTGCTTTATCGGGGCCGCCATTAATATGCATGAGTTGAATGTTTAGCGAGTTTGTTTCAGAATGGAGGCTAATGAAAAGAAAACTCTTGCTCTTTTTTATTTCATATTTTCCAGCATTGAAAACGAAGACTGGAGAGAGTGCGAGAAGAACCTGAAGGAGTTTCTGGAACAGGAACGTGCCAAAATGAAGGAGCGTTCCTTGCGCGTCTCCCAGCCGTTCTCATCGGATCCACTGGATATACAGAATATAGTAAGAGCCAGGTATGTATTTCGAAATGGTTTTAATAGAATATATTTATGTTAAATATCTTCTTGATTTTATAGACAAAAGTTCCGTGAAACCGAGCTCCGCATACGTAATCAATTGGATGACAAACTTAAGGACATCAAGACAGCCGTCACCACCCAACAACTCACCGAGATTATCGAGGATGCCCATCGGGCCAGTGCGGATGTAATAAGAGAACCATCTGTAGAGGACGAGGACTATCAGGGTGCAGTGCAGCGCAAATACCTGGACGATGTCACGGATGTCTCCGATGAGACGATAATCAGCGAGGATGCCGTCAGCCTCACCCTGGCCAAGCAGCAATATGCCGAAGAACTCGAGGCCGAAATGGAGGACGAGTTCAATCGTGGTCTCTTGATTTCCAAACAACAGTACGACCAGTTACGATTTGAGGATGAGAAAATTGTGGCACTGCGAAATGCCAAGGTAAGGCTCTACAAAACCCTAAAATAATTCCTCAAATGTAATATAAATATCTTACAGGACATTCGGGAGTTATATCAATTAGCTGAGGAAATAATCATGGGCGAAATATTCGAGGAGGCGCCTGAGGAAGTCGAGGAAGAGCAGGTCGCGGAGGAGCAGGAATTGGAGGCGGACGACGAGCCAGAGCCCCCAGCACCCCCTCCTCCGGCCTAAGGACAAACCAAAATTCATTTCAAATTGTTGATCATCTTATTTTTTGGTCGATTATTTCACGGTTTCTTTACAAAGTTTGGCCAAATATTTTGCTTCCCGTCGCCAACACTTGGAAACCAAAATATTTCACCAAATTGTGCAAATACGTCAACTTGTTACAGAAGTTAATAATCATAAGAGCACTCAGTTCAAAAACGATACAGATTCTCGAATTATAATGACAGCGAGTCGGCGGCGTCAGTCAATCACGGCGTTTCACGGTTGATAACTGTCAATGAGGTTTAATTAAAGCTGTAATGCGGCACTGATAGTGCCCGGATCTAAACTATAATAATATGAATAAAGCAACCGAAAAATCCAAAAACAAACGTATGAGTCAATGGCCAATTTCGAATATCAGCCAGTCGACAAATATTTGCTTAATGATTGCAGTTTCGAAGCTAATATGCGGGTGTTTCTAGGAGGGTTCCACCAAAGGATATCCTCTAAAACTAAGATTAATATTACTAATGGTTTAATACCACGTAGTAAGCAAGTTTTATAGAATTAGCCACTTTATAAACCTTCTATTCTTTTTTTTAGTTACCTAATCATAAAATCCGAAATCATTTCCCAGAACGCCCGCTAAATATCACTATTTGTTGGCTAATTTATTTATCATTTTGGCCAGCACGTCGATTGCCTTTGAGGGATTGCAGAAATCAGAAAATGTTGTGACGCATTCGGTGGGCGGACATGGACTGGATTGGATTCGATTGGCTGACGAAAATGAAAACGGGGAAAGTGTGTGGGTTGTGGGGTGCCTGATGCAACTTAAGTCGCCGAAACCGCTTAACGTGGCCAAGGGAATGTGTCTGCCATCGAGAAATCAAGACTGACTAAAAATAGCCAAAAAATGGTATAAAAATATGACTTTCACCTTGGAGAATGGGTGGCTTCCTGTTACGGATCCGGTGTCTCCCTCACATTCCCTCTGCCCTTGAGCACTTAAAACTTTTCAGCGCGCTATTATTGGTTTTCTGAGGGTAAGTGTCATCTTTTCGGTTGCCCCGAGCAATTGGCAAGAAAACCCTATATATGCTTATTTTCCCGGCCCGCCTTTTAGGCCAAAACAACAAACACACACACCACATACATATACTCTCGGCACTCGAAACAATAACGAAAACATTGAGGGGGAATCGAAACGAATGCAAATCGTTTGGATTGTCCTCCATTACTCACAGTTGTTTCACTTTAAAGTGTGTGTTTTTTTTGTTTTGAGGCCTCAGGACATTGACGGTTGTTGACATCTGAATGGATGACCTCCAACCAGTTAGATTGCAATATGGCTAAGAAGTTTTAGTTTGAAAAAGTGTGACGGCAAAGGTCTCAAGTTAGATAGAAATATAAAAAAATGGTAGTCCATGACATAATTCTGTAGAACAATTCCCAATTACACAATTTCTAATTTTAAACTTTGAGCTCATTTATCGTAAATACCGATTTATCAGTCTGACCCAAATAATCAAAACTGATAATCATTGCTGATAATGAAATGCAATATTCAATGTCAATATTAAACTCATCATCATCTAACCAAAAATAGAATAATTTTCTATTTGGAATGTTCAGGAAACATGACAATACAAACAGTGACTCTTCCCAGAATTTCAAAAGGGAATATGAATTTTATATGGAAATCTTTTGCACTCGGCAAGGATTTCCGCGGCGTCATCCTTGGAAATTCCCCCATGGGAGGGAGCAGCCGAAAAGCCCACGCTACTGCAGGATTCCAAGAATCTTATGACGCTTCCATTTGGCCTTTTATACCGTAAACTGTATTGTCAACAAACCGTCAATCTATTATGTTTAACCTCTGAATTTCCTAAGACATTTTTGGAGGGAAAGTGACAAGGAGAGAGGATGTGACGCCATTACGCGACTTGTTGCCTATTTAACGGCGCATATCCTAGTAAATAATTGCCTGGCTTTCGGCTTTTAGGTTTTTCACCTTTCCTGTGAAATTTTTCATTCGCCGAAATCGCCGGGCAGCCGCTAAAACTTTTTAAATCTAACAAATATTTTTCATTGATAAAAAACGTAAACCCTCTGAATTATTCCATTTTTTTCTAAATAGCCTCGGAAAAGCTTGGTGAAGCTTTTACGCGAGTTTCATTTTTTTGGCGCCGTGTCCTCGTCTCTTTCACGGCCAATAGAGTTTCCGATTCGGCTTCGGTTTTGGATTCGGCTTTCTCTGGATTCGGTTTCCACATCGGGAAAGGCCATCTGCGTGGCCTTTATAAAAGGAGGCGGCTCTGCGAGTCAACCACGCAGTGTTCAACAAGTAGCAAGTGCAACAGTTGACAGTTTCCTAGTCCACTCGCCAGTTTCTCATTCGAAATTCTGGCTAAAAGTAATTCGAAACACATTCCAGTGATATTTTAAAGTGAGCATCTGAAATACAAAACGGTTCATTAAATTTAAATCCTTGGAATTTACTTACAAGATTTTCTGTGAAGTAATAATACCTTTGCGGTCTTTAAGGAGAAACAATTTCATAAACAGAATCGGATATATTTACGCGGCGTGAAATCTTAGAAATGCCGTCGCTTTCGTCATCAATTACATTGTAGTGTCGTCATTTTGAGATTTAATGAGTGATGATGGACAAAAAAATATAAAATTAGTGGGTGGATATTTAAATGTTTCAACTTCAATTCGGAGAAAACGAGGCTAAGTTTTAAGCTTTTAAATGTATTAATTAGTAATTTTATTATACTTGGCTTTTTAATGTCATTTTGGCTATATCATTCTTATTGGCTATCATTTATTTTTTTTGCCAATAAATATAATTTTAATGGTTAAAAAAGAAGCAATTTAATATTAATATTACAATATAAATTGTGGATAAGTGTTAGTTAAAATATATGAATAAAAATCAGTTATTTTTCACCTCCAAAGATTGTTCAAGAAATTTATTTAAGTTAAAGTTAAATAACAAAATAAAACCTTTAAGGATATCTAACAAAATAATGATAATGATAATAATAATAATACTACTTTTTCCTAAAACTTATGAGACTTAACTTTTTTAAAACTATAGAAAAACTAAACTTATAGAAAACTTATAGAAAACTTTCAGGCAGCTTTAATTTTCTCCATAACAAATTATACAATCAAAACACTTATATATATACATTTCTAAATCATTAGCTAAATTTTTGCCTTTTATTAACTCAAAAACCCTTGAAAAATGCTCTTTTTTCCTCATAAACCAAATGTTTAAATTAATTAAACTCCAATAAGTGTATGATTTTATAAATATTGTATCAATGCCAATATCAATAACTCGAAGGAATTCCCATCCAAGGCCAAACATAAATGTCAAGCGCAAATAAACCAATCAGAAAGACTCCTTGGGAAACAAATAGAAAAAATATATCAATATTTGCGGAAAATGCTGACAGGCAGGCCTTGTTCTTTCCCCTTTATTCCCATCGAAGAGTATGTGCGAGAAATGCCTTGAAAATAGAAAAAATATATATATCAAAAATAAATAAATTTAAAGTGAAGAGAATTCATGGCGTTCCAAAGGTATTTCTATGACAGAGCTACTCAGCATTCCCTTGGAATTTATCCAGAGTCCTTGCAGTGACTCGAAAGTGGCATGTGTTACTTGGTAGAGGACTTGGTTACTTTTCACCTAGCAACTAACCAAAGGATCAAATTCAACACCGGATAGAAGTGGCTTTATATTTTATTTGTATTAAATATGAAACAAGTTTTCTTTAGGACATTTTTTGAGGAAAATGGTATACTTCTTTAAAGCCTTTCCAACAATTGATGTCCATTCCACATTTTCCTTTTTAACCTTTCAGGCATACATGCGATAATGTGGTCCTGTAACCTTTTTGTATAATTTTCGACAAATGTCGCAGCTGTCGCGTTTCAATAACAGTATGAGTTATGCAATTGGCATCAATTGGGGATTATTGCCAAAGGATATGATTCATAATTGGTACACAACCCGGGGGCATGTGTCTGTTGCAGTTGAACAACTACGAGTACGAGTACCATTTTCCTGGCCATCACTAGCCTAATTAACGAAGTTTCTGCAATACACCTGTCGGTGTGGGCCAAAAGTATGTGGGAGTAAAAACATATTCGGGCCATATCCCTGGCCATTGCGTACTCCACTTTCAGTTACATTTCAGCTCAATTTAGCAATTAGCCGTCCGGTTATTGCGAAAATGAAACGCACACAAAAAGAAACACAGGTGACAGGTAAAAATACCGTTATACCTGCTAGCAAATGGACACCCATATATACAGTGGACAGGTGTATACCTGGCCAGAGAATTAATTTCATTTTACCTTTGGGGACACCACACACAAGTGTAGGTGAAACTTCACGTTTTTTTCGGCTTGGCTTTGGCCTCGTCCCCCTTTTTTTGGACTTTGTGTCAACAAGTTAATTAAAGCATTTTAACAACGATTCGTGTTTGCTTTGTTTACTTGCTCTTCCCCCTGCCGTTTGGCTTTTCCGACTCCCCCCAGAATAAAGGAAAGAAATTTCGGTGGCAAGTTCTTCCTGCAGAAGCTAAAGTGTTGCCTACTTTTGAGTGCCAATCAGAGCGTAGTAATTGAAAAAGTTTGTGGCCGGAAATACCCCGCAGTGTATTGCCATTTTTGTAACAAGTTAACTAAAAAAAAGATACAATAAAATACAGTGTATTTGCAAATATTTAAATAAAATCAGCTCAATCAATTTCTAGAGAACGTGCCTGAAAAAGCCGAAAGAAATTGGACTACGCCCCTAAAGAAATTTTTCAATGAACTCGACCAAAAATTCTTTTACTTTTTTCTTGAGGCGTGTCTGTGTTGATTTACTTGTGGCTTGGTTACTTGTGGTTAATTAACCATATAATTTATGGAAATTTAAATTTATTCCAAGGCAGAGAAGCCTAAAAATTATGTGTTTAAAAATTTACAAATTTTTTCCGTTTTTAAAGAAAAGCCTCAAAATAATCCTTCTAAATAAAGACTGAGCCTTAAATCCAGCAAAAATTAATAACTCATTTCATTATGAATATCTTCACACTTCTTGTCTAAATTTGTAAAGCAAACATTATTTTCCAAAGCGTCGGTTTTTCAAAATTAAACCGAGCCTAGACATCTCAACCATCGAGACCGCAAGTGCCAAAAGTTGCCATGCAGCTCATTTATACAGCTCAGGCCAAAGTTATTAAACGGAGGAGAGAAAAAAACAGACAATGGGATGCTCATCCTCATTCTGGATCCATATCCCTAGCCATGGACCTGAGCTAATGGTCTGAAAATCCGCTGCGAAAGAGTTGAGCCCACCTACCGCCTACCGCCCACTCGCCCATACTTAATTAAATGAAATGGCAGAGCATACAGCGAAGGCCTTACAATGAAAACACGCTGCAGTACATGGAAAAAATCATAAAATAAAAAAAAGACCTAGGACACAGTGGCCAGGATATGAACCAAAAATAAAATTAACTCAAAAGATTTAAGCGAATATAAAAAATCATGAAGAGGGTTGAGGCACTCTTAGTATAATGTATAGAGGGATTCCAGATGGAGTTTCCAATTAAAACCTTTTTAGTTTTTGATACTAATATATAGTTGAGAAAAAATTCCTAATAAATATTTTTTGGTTTTTTTTTTTAAAGCTAATTTAAGTTATATTTAAAAGGGATATTCATAAATTCTGAGAGTGAGCGAATGGAGATAAACGTTTAAACGAAACTTGTATCCTTTTTGGGCATTATATTTAATGAATACCAGAATCTTTAATCCTTAATTACATCTATATTATAATATTACTATAAAATTAACTAAAATCTCATTAAGAAATATATCAATTAAGATTGAACAACCTGCACCACAGTGCATCGCGAACTGAAAAGATTAACAAGCCGCGTAAAACAAAAGCCCAAGAATCGAGATGACGTAGAAGTTGAGGAGTTGGCCAAGTTATCTAACAAACGCCTTTTTCGCTGATACCCGCCTTTGTCCCCTTTGCCCCCCCTTTAGCCCGTAAATCCCTCATCCCTCAGTATACTCATTCTGCGACACGATATTCACTTTTTGTTGGGGTTCCACGCTTGTTTGCGTGTTTATGTGCGTATTGTTTGCTTAAACACAAAAGGGACACCCACTCGCAGGATTGGCAGATGAGCTGCCTTAGGGGGTGCCGCGAGGATGACGAGGGGGATTGGGATCCCTAGCAAGTGGTAGTGATGGTAATTACCCTCATGTATATACATCTTCACTTTCCTCGCCTTGCAGATACGACACTGAGACGGCAACCCGCGCATTAATCCCGACGACATTCAGAGCGACCATCATGAAGCCAGACATCCTAGCGCTCTGCATCCTGGCAACCGCGATCCTGGGCAGTGGGACGCGTCACGTAGCCGGTTTCCTGGCCCCCCAGCCACCCACAAACAACAGGGAGACGGACACGGCAGTCGGGCTTCTCAAAGGACAAAACGAATTCCAAGGCGTTGCATCTGCGCCACATCGTCTGCATCTTCCAATCTTTGGGGTGGTGGCACAGCATGCAGCGCGCCATGGTCCACCCTCGCCGGATGTCCAGGAGGCACAGGAACGCGCTGTTTACGATCCCGGCGATGGTGAGTTATAAACTTTTGGATTACTCCAGCCAGAGCAATTACGAGACGGTGACAACTTTTTAAAGAGATTTTTATTCTGAGTCGAAGGAAGAACTATAAAGTTTTTTGATTTGTTTTAAATCTTTCTTATAGGGAAGATTAGATGTGCTACCTGACCTCATCACTGAATCACTGACAAAAATTCTGTTAAAAAATTACCATAACACCTCAAAAAATGTCAATTCGAAAGTGTCGAAAGCCAGGCTAGCATCTCTCGCAATTTTCATTTGCCGACTTTTAGGCGACTCCACACAGAAAGGGGTGAGCCGTAACTCTGAGTGGGTTAGGTTGGCATACGATGTGCGTGCACTTAGCCGTAACCAACGCCCACCATCAATAATGGCCATAATGGTCGCCGAAAATGTTCGGTCAGTGCACAATTTCACAAGTGTCCTGGCCAAAATCCCGAAATTTGTTTGTGTAGACCCACTTAACACGCCCATCTAAGCATATGTGATTCTTTTTGTTGACGAATTTGATTCGACATTTGAGTTTTCGAAGCCCCCGCAAAGGACCTGGCCCTCTCTCTGGCCCACAAAATGAAAAGTCATATCGAATTTTCAATAAATGGACTTGTTTTCCAAGCAATTGGATACATGGGTAAATGGATTGGAAATTAAACGATTTTCTATTGCTGTTTGTTGGGTTTTTAAGTGAATATCCGTTTGTTAAGCCGAGACGGTTATTTTAGAAAGTTTTGGGTTAAGAATTAAATACTTTAAATATCTATTATTTAAAAAAATATGTAAACCATAATATAGTAAAAAAAAGGAAAACAATCTAAGCCATGAATACTGATAGACAGACTAACCGCTAAAAGGAGACAAAAGCCTGGCAGGACACCCTCTCTCTGACTGACAGACATGGTCAAAAAGTGCTGGATGCTGAGGGGGAGACGAGTCCTTTGCCAGGAGCTCATTGCCGCCAGTCAATTTCCGCCGTTTCATTGAAACGGTGCCAGAGTCGTGGCTATGAAATATGCTTTTTAAGCCTCTGACAGACAAAACAGAACTACACAAAACTTTCGAAATGTCAGAAGGCGGAAACTTGCCAGAGAAAATACGGATTGTAAACGGAGGAAAATTGCTGGCGGAGTGAGGAGTCTATTTTTTTCCTGTGGCCGGATTAGCGCCAGCTTGAATAAACATTTAAATCACAAACACCGTTTTTGGTTTTTGCTCATTTCATGCCAGAATTACTCCGCGCCTTAAATGTCGAGCAGCAGAAGGAACAGCAAGAGCAGGAGCAGCGAGAACAGGAACTTGGACTGGCTGGTATTCCACCTGCGGGGCCAGACTATGCGGATCCTGTCTTAAGCGAACTGGAATTGGCCAGCAAGTTTGAGGTCCTTAAGAAGCTGGAAGAGGATTTCCGGGCCGAGCAGGAACTGGTGGATAAATCGGCTTTGCTCATGAAAATGCTAGAGGTACATTACAAATAAAAGCGAAAAAATTGTTAAGCTACTAAGAACATTAATATTAGCATTTGCTTTTCGCAATTATAATTTTTAAATGCGTGCTCTATAAATACTCTTTTTAGGACCCCTCTTTAGAAACTCTTCCTCTAGTTTATGTTGAGGAAGAGGAACCGGAAGTCCTAATGCCTTCCGGTGGAAATGACGACTACTCTGATATAGATAATGCCGTTCAAGAATTGGTTTTGGGTCAAAACAAGCCCAAACGTTCTCGCTATTACCGCAGATATCCTTGGAAGCGTCACAACAAGAACCGAGGGTATGTTTATTTCCATACTTGTATTGAAATTTTAAATCAAAGTGCACCTAAGGAGTTGCTTAATTTATTTAATAACATTTTCATTTGTAGTTAGTAAATGTTTGTTGTAGTCTCCCAGCAGAAATCCCTATATTGGAAATTGCCAGGAAAAGCTAAGCTCTCCTAGCAATTTCTTAAGTATCCTCACCTCTAGACTTAGTTTTTAATTATAGTGTAGCTAGTTTAAAATCAATCTTATCCAACTTACTGTAATGCATTTCCAAGAGTCTCTCTAGGCCGAAAGCTCCGATAAAAACGCAGTCACCCCCCGATATTTGTAGACTCCCCAACACAGCCCCTGAGAGATCGATTTTATTCCAATAATTTAATAATTATTGATAGACGAGACGTGAACGAATTTGCTAACTACATAACCATTACCATTATCAGTTCTTACATGAATTCTATCAACAGCAACTATGAACCGGAATTACGATACGCATGTACGCCGAGTAAGGAGGATATATTCAAGCTCCTGGTCAATCTCCACGAGAACCGTAAAGGGAATCATAGCAAGACCGTGAACTTCTGCAATCGAAAGCGTCCCGCCAAGGCGGTCTTCACCAATATCCGATTTTTGGGCTAAACTGAAAGGACATGAACGAATAGACATTTACACAAAAAATACACTAAAACAAAACAACTGACACAAGACACATATGTATACCAAGCATCAATTGTACATTTGCTGACCAAGTCGAGCGCAAAACTGGAGAACAACAAGCACTAACAATTAGCCTAACTAACTAACTAACTAAAAACTAACTTACTAACTACCCAACTAAACAAACTACTTATGATAATCTTGTAGAAAGTATGATAACCCCCTTGTGTGGCAATTAGAATACCCCCATTCTTGGCCCGCCCTTAATTTTAATTGTAGACGATTAAAACTTTTATAGCTCTCAATGTGTTGTATATACAAACTAAAAATAAATAAAGTTCTCTTTGTTAGACTCTTTTTTGTTGTTGTCGCACCTGCTAATCCAAATGTTAATTACCACAAAAAAAATAACTTTAAAACAAAAAACGTTGCCATATCATAAAAAGAAAGTCTCGTAACATCTATCGATCCATGGCATTATTATTATTAAAATATAATAAGAGGAAGGCCAAATATAAATGCTACTTCAATGTGTATATACGAGAATATTGATGTGTATTCATATATGTATGAATTATCTATTTACTAAACCAAATATATGTTTAATATAAAGTCGGGAAATATATATATTTCAAAATAAACTTATAAAATACCATTATTCGTGTGCAATTAAATTTAGATAATGAGTTTTTCAATGGTGGGTTGAGAAAAATCTTTAAATTTTGTCTTTGATTTTTATAAGCTTTAATAAAAAAAAATAGACAAATGTAAAAATATCTGTTAAAATTTAATATTAACTGTAGTTTCTTCATAATTTTCCTATTCTCTATAAAACATTACCCATTTCCGGAACCAATACCTTGAATTTTCCATTTTCCCCCACAAATCCATCCCATTGTTAATCCCAACATAAGCACCGTGATTGTGTTGGAGTCGACAAGCCAACACCTTCCGAAGTGTGAAGCCCTGACATTGGGATTGAATGGTGTCGAGAATCTCTTCCAGCGATTTCTCAGTTTATTTGCCGAGACAACAAAGTGGCAAACGCGGCTATCTCTATCTATTTGAAGAGCATTTGTATCTGTATCTGTATCTGACAACGGCGTTCTGTAAGATGGGTTGGTAACTCGTGCCTGAAACTGGTAATGACCGTGGTGCGTGTGAGCCCCTTTCCGATGACTAAGCGTTGTGAAAAGGCGCATTTTTTGTCATAATTTTATATATATATTTTTTCTACACTTACTATGACGTCAACACAATTTCAGAGATAGGGATATGAAGAGAACTAAGATTGCAGATTATTATAGGGAAATCCACAAATCATTGTCATCTAATTGATAAAAGGAATGTGTAGTTTCTTTTCTTTCGTTATGTGGTTCAATACATAGAGCTTATTGAAATCCCTTCAAGAAAAATTAGTACAGGCTTAATTATTAAATACTTTAATCTTTATTTTTTAGTTAACCAAAAATATTGGGAAACCAACTTCTCAGTGGCGAAAAGCACAAGGGTTTCGTCAGCCACAGAGTGTCCACGGACAGCTTAAGGACCTCCATGTAATCAAAACTGCAGCTACTCTGCTCGAAGGCTTTGGTTACCAACTGGGATTGGGGCTGGGCATCCTGAGGCTTGGGTGCAGCCACCGGAGTCTTGTCCTCATCCTCATCATCTAAGGCGGAACGGGCAAAGGCCTCATCGCCATCAAAGTAATAGAACTCCTTTCGAGTTGAGTTCGTCTCCACCACTCGGGAAGGCTGCTGGGCATCGATGCCACGAGCATATGAAATCCTCCGCGCCTGGCGATAGGGTGTGGCACTGAACGGAACAGGATAACCACCGCCCAGATAGCCAGGATAGCCGGTTTGTACAGGCCAGATTTGAGGAGTCTGCGGGAGACCCACTTGCGGTGGCAGGCCCACTTGGGGCCACACTCCGAAACCTCTTTGGGGCTGCTGCTGCTGTTGTTGCTGCAAGCCCAGGCCGAATCCGGGGATGGCGTCCTGACGACAGCCATCGGAGTCCTGATCCTGGAAGATCTCCAAGAGGAACCCATTGGAGGTTGTGCTACTCGACTGTCCGATTCGCATCCGAATTGCTTTCCTTCCCTGCTGCCAGTGAGATTTGTGGACATAACCGGAACGGCAGCCACAGTACCGCTGACCATCTAGTTCTATAAAGTCACCATTGCAGTTGCTTAGGCCTCCGGAAACTCCTCCAGCGAAGCCTCCTCCCAATCCTCCATTGAAACCACCAGAAAATCCTCCATTCAAGCCTCCTGAATTTTGTCCAAAATCGAAGAACTTGAACTGAATCCTTAAGCGACACACATTTGGCGAACTCTTCTCAATGTAGAAGACACAGTCCCTTTGCTGATTGGGCAGCAAATAGTTCAACACAGTCCTTGGAAAGCCAGGACTCGAGAGATAAAAGTGGTTTTGGTTGAAGCCACTGGCGCAGCAGAGATCCAGCTGGCCACCAAACTGCTGGAGGGACTGTGAGTCGTAATCCTTGAGGGTGACTGGGTGAGGTTGAAAGGAACTCGTTTTATATTGATCGGAAATAAGGGGCAACTCTTGTTGCTGTTGCAGGATCTGTTGAGGTTGCTGTGGCAAAAGGAACGGTGATTGTTGTTGCTGCTGGAGCAATTGCTGCTGTTGTTGCTGTTGGTGTGGGAGTAGCAACTGGGGCTGTTGTTGCAGGAACTGTTGCTGCAACAATTGCTGCTGCTGCAGGATTCTCTGTTGCTCGAAGAGTTGCTGCTGCTGTTGCTGGTTATTACATGGTGGTGATTGTTGCACAGGTAAGACTCCATTAAGTGGAGGATAAAAACCAGCAGGATAAACTGGACTTTGTGGGAAGGCTGAAGGTAAACCAAATCGATTGGCTTGCGTAAAATTCAAGGATGCTTCCTGCAGAGGTTGCTGTGGCTGATGTTGCTGCTGCTGGGGATGTAGGTGTTGCAAGTGCTGGTGCAATTTCTTTGGCGGTGACTTGGCACTCACTTGCACCGTATCCCCGTCCACATCCTCCTCGTCGTCATCTAGCAGACCTCTGGCTACCAGATCCTCTCTCTCGCAAGCCAATCTCGTGACAAGAAGACGGAAACCCCCATTCGTGGTCCACGGAGAATCGTCACTCAAGAACCTTAGACGCAAAATGCCATCGGGTGTGTGATACTTTTTTATCCCCAGGACTTGGCCGCATAAGACCTCCATGTCATCGCCATCATTCTGTAAACCAATTGCCAAATAGTCCCGACTGCAATTCTCCGAGAGTTCCAGTTGAAAATCAAGGAACTGAACGTGGAACTTGGTGGGGCAACGGTAAGGAGATCGCACCACATAATCCCAGCAGGTGTTGACGGGATAATTATCCGGATAATTGGGGGATTCGATTAAGCTCTGACGTTGTCTGTAAACGCCATGCAATCCGCACTGAGGCAGCTCATCGTGAACAGCTCCCAAGGATTCGGTTAGAAGGAGTCCCAGAAAAATGACCAAAAAGCCGAACAATTCCATTTTAAAAACCCGTCCGTACGCACAGCGTTCAAAAACCAAACTAACTTGTTGTTTCGCGGTTTGCCTGCCAAAAAATTAAAAAATATTTTCTTAAATGGGTGCGTCGGGTGGTTTCACTTGAAAACAATTTGCACTTTTGTTTGCGGAGACGCAACAAAAGCATTCACTTGTTCAACTCTCATTCATAAGACTCTTTTTTTTAGGGTTTTAGGTTTTAGTTCACTGAACCTGCGTGAAATTTGTAGTTTCATGTGGACAGCAAGTTTTCAAAAAGGTGCCAAAAGCTTCATAAAACTAACATCAATTAGATCGCATTCCAAAAGGAAAAATCTTTCTAAAATGAATCATATCTTCGGGGTATTCCTTTACAATCATCCATCATCAAGATCATATAGTTTATCATATCAGTAGAATATGCTAAAAAGTTATATCTGACCATTAAGTTTATGAAGCCTTTTTATCACATAATCCACTTTATGTGAGACACTTTTCTGACGTATTTTTTATGGCTTTTGTTCACCGATGGAATCTAAATAATAATATTTATTTTTTGACTAATGTAACGTGTCAGTATTCAACATTTACCAAAATATTTACACCTTACTTCCTCCAACGGATCTTACATAACCCATAAACATTAACAAATAGAAATGTTTGTTTGGTCGTGGGATCACATCTGGCATACAAATGTTTGTTATTATAGTATGTTGGTGTCAAGCCCTAAACGAAACTTGTGCCAAGCAAACAAACTCTTAAAAGCATAAAATTTATCTGCCGCCACAGTTTGCTAAAGTTTAAAAGTGAATTAACACAAAGCCCCAAATTAAAACCCAAAAAGACTTTCAACTGAAGAGTTTCCACACCTGTGGAGTTTATCTAATAAAAAATTAGCTCAAAACAACAAAAATCTGTTTTATCTAAATAATGTTTTTTATTTATTTTAATTTAAGTTAATCCCTGAGTCACCAAACAACTACCTTAAATTTGTTTATAAAACCCCCCGTGGTTTATTAAAAGGGTATCTGTTAAAATAATTTATCTTGTAATGAAAGAAATGAATACTATAAATAGGTATATGAAAGGGAGATCAGAGGAAAAAACGTGAGTAATATAATAAAAAAAAATAGGATTTTTTAAGCCGCAAACCAGCTTTTTTTCCCTGGGAGCTGTCCATGTTGAGTTGCCTAGAAATACTGGACTTTCTTCACAAAAATAAAATAGTTATATCTTTTTTCAACAAATTTTATATTTTTTCTTCCATAAAAAAATAGTTTTTTGATAGCACATTCAAAACTTTCAAAATGGAACAAGCTCAAAAAATAATTCCATTATATTTCCCAGTTTTCAAATTTGTTCTAGTAAGTAAGTAGGTTAGGTACATTACAGACTATTATTATTTTTATAAAACTTATGCAATTTATGAAAATGAAAAAAAAAAGGATGTTCATTTTTAAAAAATGTATTCCTAATTTTTTAAGAACTGAATACTTTAAAGCTTCCTATATATACTTTATGTTACATTTTATAATAAAAAACCATTTTATAATTTTGAAGACAATAATTAACCCTTTTTTTATTACCAAAATTTACATAAATATATAATCTTTTCCTGCACCTTACTCGAAAATGCAAAACAAGAGATTCAAACAAGATAGAGAGCTCTCAAGATAGAAGCCCAGCAACAGCGTCCAAGACCTTGGAACCCATTGAGGCTTTGTCATATTTGCTTTGGATTTTTCGACCTAAAACTACCGAGAACTGGCCACAAACGCGGTAAGTCCCTAAGTCCCTACTAAGACCAAAAGTGAGAGCACAGATATATGGCATCTTAAGCTTTTTTGCGAAATTGTTTTACCCACGTAAGATGTCACCCAGATTACGCGGCTATATAATGACGGGATGCAAGCTGATGGGTAATCAGTATTCCAGAGAGAGTGATTGCAGTCAGAATGTTTGCCATTCCCTTGAGACAGCCCAGCTCCATGAGCAAGAGCCAGAAACAGTCCTCCAGCATGGATGACCACGACAAACCATTTCAGTACGAGATTACGGATCATGGTTATGGCAAGGATGCGGTGAAAGTGCTGCATGTGAGTCGCAAGGGACCAGTGCACACCATCCAGGAGTACGAGGTGGGCACCCACCTGAAGTTGTATAGCAAGAAAGACTACTACCAGGGCAACAACTCCGATATTGTGGCAACGGATTCCCAAAAGAATACCGTCTATTTGCTAGCTAAGAAACATGGCGTTGAGAGTCCCGAAAAGTTTGCCATTCTTCTGGCCCAGCATTTCTTAAATAAATATTCTCACGTGGAAGAGGCTCATGTTCATGTGGAGGCGTATCCTTGGCAGAGAGTTTGCCAGGACGAGACTAAGGCCAATATCAATGGCCAGGGATCCACCTCAAATCAGGGCACCTGTAATTTCAGTTCCATTGACGACCGATCGCTCCATAACCATGCCTTTATTTTCACCCCAACTGCCCAGCATTATTGTGATGTTGTTGCCAGAAGAACAGGTGAGTTTTCAGCTTATTATCTTGTAAAATATTTAAAATCTTATAAATATTATAATTTTTTTACAGATCCCAAGCAAACAGTGATCACTGGTATTAAGGGTCTCCGGGTTCTGAAGACTACTCAATCGTCGTTTGTGAACTTTGTGAATGATGAATTCCGATCCCTGCCAGATCAATACGATAGGATCTTCAGTACAGTGGTGGACTGCTCCTGGGAGTATTCCCATACCGACAATTTAGACTTTTTACGTGCCTGGCAGACCGTAAAAAATATCATCCTACGTAACTTTGCTGGCGATCCACAGGTGGGCATTTCGTCTCCCTCCGTTCAACACACACTGTATCTGAGCGAGAGACAGGTCCTTGATGTCCTGCCACAGGTTTCGGTAATCTCAATGACCATGCCAAATAAGCATTATTTCAATTTCGATACGAAGCCCTTCCAAAAAATCGCTCCCGGGGATAACAACGAAGTCTTCATTCCAGTGGACAAGCCACATGGCACCATCTACGCTCAACTGGCCCGGAAGAATATTAACAGTCATCTATAAACAATTTATTTTAAATTAGATCTCTTATTGTAATTCATATAATCTCAAAAACTAAATAAATTTATTGAACATATGTAATTAGAATGTCTTTAATTGAAAAATTTAAATAATGTTGGTATAAATATAAAAAGCAACACAACAAAAATTTTTTTATTTTTTACAAATTACGACTATATTACAAAACTTAATATTTGGTTAAAAAGCTTACTTATTTTTTAAATTTCCGTTTCAAAGTGTGACCACTAATTCGAAAACGAATTCGAAAATGGCCCAGCTGTTCGCACAAATATTGGGTATTTCACAACATTCCCAATGCGGTCACACTGATTAGCACGCTGCCGGAAAATGTTGAAAAATATTTTGGATAAGTCCAGGCAGGTGCTCTTTCCAGTGGCAAGGACCCTTACAAGAAGCAGCGTACATGGAAATGTGGTCACCGGGTCCCAGGCGGCAGTGACCGCGCCGGCAGGAGCAAAGACACCGCTGATTCTGCCGCAAAACTACGGGGAATACGCACCCGCTAGCCGGAATACTGCGCGCCAGGCGTGGATCGAGAACACGGATGCCGTTCAAGAAAGGAAAGTGGGTCTCATCGAACTGCATCCTGATGTGTTTGCCGCCCAACCTAGGGTGGACATCATTCAGGAGAATGTGGAGTGGCAACGAAAGTATCGTTATGTAAGCTTTGCCCAAACGAAAACCCGGGCGGAGGTGCGGGGTGGCGGAAGAAAGCCGTGGCCCCAAAAGGGCATGGGCAGGGCCCGTCATGGATCCATCAGATCGCCACTCTTTAAGGGAGGCGGTATAGTTCATGGCCCGAGATCTCCAACCACCCACTTCTACATGTTGCCCTTCTACAAAAGGGTTCTGGGCTTAACCTCGACTTTGAGCGTTAAGCTGGCCCAGGATGATCTACACATCATTGAGAATGTAGACATACCCACCAAGGATGGTCAGTTCATCAAGGATTTGATAGCCGAGCGAAACTGGGGACCCTCTGTCCTGATTGTGGATGAGTAAGTTATGAAATTTATGAATCTTCCCAAGGGTCCTAATTTTTCCTGCCTTTCCAGGGATCACATGTTCCCCGCAAACATTTGCCAGGCTACCGATGAGCTGGGCTATGTCAACTTGATGCCATCCTTTAGCCTAAATGTGTATTCCATGCTGAAGCACGATACCTTGGTTCTAACAGTGGCTGCGGTGAAGCATCTGGAGCAGCGTCTATTATACCAACTGAATCGTAGTGACGCCGCCAGCAAGGGTGGCAAATTCAAGCTGGATCAAGTTTAGATGTTAAGAAAGTTAAAGCCTTTTAGTTTACTTGTTTGTAATCTTATGCAAATACCAGAAAATGCATTGTTTACCTAAAAACTGAGTTTTTATCCCACAGATTCTTTTGCCAAAAAGGTGCAGAGATACAATATTTCAATAACTCAAATGCTTCACTTTATTGTTCATAACAATGCAATCATTGTTGAGCTTTCTGGGAAAGATCACAAATAGTATCAGCATTTGTCACAGTGACTAAGGGGTCCTTGTCCTTTTCAGACACAAGGATCTCACATTCCCCCTTCAACAGATCGCTGAGTTTGGGTGAAAATTCTTTAAGAAATCCCCTTTCCGAGTTGCTATGGTTGCAAAGAAGCACGGTGGTATCATTGTGATTGAACTCCAGAAGCTCATGATGAGACATCTCGCCAGTGATGATGAGGTCTGCTTCAAATCCTTTAAGAAGAGATCCTCCGGAGCCGGCACAAATTCCAACGGTCTTAATTACGGTGTCGGGTGTGTGACTCACCGCCAAAGCAAGGTGCACACTGGTCTGGATGTGTTTTTGGAGGGACTCTACCAACTGACGAATGGTCTGGTCAGTTTCGATAAATCGTCCAGATCCGGTGCCCGGAGGAGCACCCAACTCCGGTTCCAGGGGTCTAATGCTTTGGATTGCAACTGCTTTAGAAAGCCAATCGTTGACTCCGCCAAAAGTTTTATCCCAGGCAGTATGGGGCGAATACAGAGCGACATTATTGGCCAAACAAGCGGCCACCACACGCTCCTTCCAATGAGATTGGGTGATCCTGGTCAGAGGCCTGAATATCGGTGGGTGATAGCTGATGATAAGATCTATATTCTTATCCAATGCTTCTCCCATTACAGGCTCAGTCAAATCGTTGGTCAGGAGTATTTTTTTTATGGGCTTTTCCTTATGTGGCTCAATTAGAAGTCCCACGTTGTCCCATTTCTCCGCCAACTTGGCAGGTGCGAAGTTCTCCAGCTCCTTGACCACTGCCGCTAGCTTCTGACCACTAAAGGAGCTCATCCTTCTTAGCATTTGAATCCTAAACTCGAATTTACTAAGCTATATTTTTTATTTAACAATTTAAGAGGTAGAATAATAACACAGGCCGGCTGATTGTAAATTCTTCCTCTTTTTCATTTATTTGGAATATACATTTTCCAACACTACCCTTAGGCGCGAAATTTTTAAAAAATAAAATAAATTTTTGTGGAAATTCCTATCTTTAATCTGTTGGTTAATCCACTTCCAAATAAAATAAATTTCAAAAATCCCATTACTCAATTACTAATGCAATAAAAAAAACCCCATTTGTCTCTTAGCTTTAGTTGATTATCATTTCGGAAAAAATTTCAGGAATTCCAAAAAACAGCATCCGGCTGGAGACATAAGATAAAATGTAATGTTTTCCAAATAAGATTTATAAAAACTGATTTCTTCTAACTTTCTTCTAACTAAAATATTTCAACACAATCTTACTATCCAAACGTTTGGATATATGATGGACATGGAATATTTGGACATTGACCTTTTTTAAATCATTTATGTATGTATGGTAAATTATAAAATAATTCGTACATATGTATGTATGTACACTTATGTATCTCATGGATGACCAAATATCATCAGCTAATAATTTTAGGGAAAACATACTATACATTTATTTTTTGACAGCACGGGAAATCCCTCAATGTTATCTCCAACTTAGGAATTTTTAAAATTCTTAAATTATTATTCTTAAATTAAATGATTTACCCAATCATTTCCGATTTCGTACCCATGAACATGACAAATCGATATCCCATAAAATTCTCAAAATCAGAGTGTGAAGTACCGAGCGAGAAGAAACGCAGGTAGAAATCTTAAAAAGATTATCCTTCACAGCTGACGAGACGGTTACCATGCGAGTGATTTCCGTTTGCTCTGGAGTGTTTTCCCCGATGTTTGCCCGGACGAAATCATCGAGTCATACGCAGTTCACCCACTGAGAGCTGCACATCGACAACGCTCAGAACTTGGAACTCACCGCAAGTAAAAATAAATATATTAAGCACTGGCTTGTTGTTGCTGTTGCAAAGGTGTTGCTTTTGTTGCTGTTTAAATTTAAACGTTGATTGGAGCTTTCGTTTTTGGCGCTCTTTTCGCGCTCACCTGTAGGTAGGGTTGGAGCTGTAGGGTTGCCAGACAGTATTTTACATCTGGCAGCAGCCAGCCCCACTCTGGTTTAAGAGCGCCGTATAGAGAGCATATATGCTCTCATTGTTGTTAAGCTTTGAAAAAAGCACCCATCTGGGGGAAACCTAGCCCCCAATATATGGATTCATATATTTATATAGATGTTGCTTAGCTCTCATTCGAAAACTCTTATTCGGAACGTGAAAGGAAGCAGACGTGTTGCACGGCTACTATGCAAATTTCAAAATAATTTAAACAAAAACAGAAAGATTAAACCAACGAGTGTGAAAACAACTTAAAACCACAATTAACTAACAAGGTAGTGAGCAGAATGGTGAAAATTGTATTAAAATTAAAAATTTAAAACAAAGAACAGGCTAAAAAAAAATCAAGAGGAAAAAGAAAAAAAATGGAAAAATGAAGCTGTGCCTGGAGATAAAGGAGATTTCCATGTGCATATGCTAGTGTGTTTGTGTGTGTGCGTGTGAAACAAATACGGATGCTCCACAAGGAAAAGGCAAAAATAATATTAAATGAAATAACATAAAAATGGGGGATTGGAACAAATCAAAAATAGTTCCCCAGTGAATCGTTTATTTGATGTCGCTACACATGTATAGTTTATAATTTGCTTTAATCTACAAAATGCTGTTATTGCGTTTTCACTTGTAGCTCTATACGTTTGTTTCACTCGCACTGCCAATATTGGAGCCCGAGCCCCAAAAGCTTCAAAGAGCAGTTACGTGAACTCGAGAGAGTAAAAGTTAGATTGTGTGTGTATGTGTGTGTGTGTGTGTGTGAGGGAGAGAAAGATGGAGAGCGAGCTGAGCTCAAAAGCAAAGTTCAAAATAGCCCAAGATTTTTTTCAAAAACGGAAACCCCAATCTTTGCAGTTATCTGAAATTTGGAAAAAGCTCGAAAATGTGGAACCCAAAAAACGCAGAGGCAGCAGCATCAACAGCAACAGCAACAACAAGTGATAGCAGTCAGGAGGATTGCAGCTGCGCTTCCAGTGTTGAGCAGCGCCCCCCTAATCCCCAATCCCCCTCCGACAGTAACGGTAAAAACGCAAAGTCAACATTTGGCGGCAAAACAACTGAAGATCAACCATCGGCCGCCATTGGCAAGCAAAAAGAATTATTTGCACAGAGCGAGACCAGCGATTCGGGTTTCATTTCCGGACCGCAATCCTCGCAGATCTTCAGCGAGGAGATCATTCCCGAAACGGACCAACAGCAAAAGGAGCCTCAGGAATCCAAGGATCCGGAGTCAAACCAAAAGGAACAACCGCCGGTGGTTCTCGATTCTGGCATTATTGACGAGGAAGAGGAAGACCAGGCCCCAACATCCGCCGATCAAATGCAACTTAAAAATAACGCAGACACAGGCATCCCTCAATGGACGGTCCAAAGTAACCTGGCCAGTCGCGGCGAACAGCTTAACAACCTGGGTCAGTCCACCCAGAGCCAGGGTTCTGGCACCACCCTGGGCCGCAGCAAGGCCCTCTCATCCACCGTCACGCCCACCTCAAATCCCTCGGCTGGAGCTACATCCGCTCCACTGAGCAGCATTACCATCATGAAACCCTGGGAGCAGTTCTATCAGCAAAATGACGACGGCGATACGTAAGTTAAATAGCTATTTGTATTAAAGCAATTTTAAGATAGTTACGAGGGAATATATCAATCAACTTCATATTTAAAACTTAATCTGTAATCTGGTACAAAAATATTGGCAATTCATTTAATTGTTTTCGTCTGGTCTTTGGCGCCTTTGACTGTAATATTAAATACCTATTTAACTTAAGCAAATATTCATTAGGTATACCCCAATATGCAAATAATATCTGAACAAGTATTGCAACTTAATTAAAACGGGCAAATATTCCTAAAACATTGCTATATTTTTGCCAATTAACTTTCATAATCTAAGCTTTAAAATCGAAATCTAAAAATAAGTCTTGATTAGACTGTTTAATTTATGAAATGGGAATTTTGAAACCAAAAATTATTATCTTTCTTTGGAAAATAATGTATGTATCATTGTCAAGTATTTCCGAATGAGAATTTCCCAAAAAAAAAATCTATGATACTGACCAAGGGGAGAGTTTCATGAATCATTTTAAAGACCATCATTGTTTGAGAGTCAAGAAACGCGACTGACACATGTTTTTAGTCAGGCTTCGGGGTTTTCCTGGTATGTGGGCAGGTATCATCACCTTCGCGAACAGGTTTTCGGGGCACTGCTTCTTTCTTTACTTACCTTTACCTTTACCGTACCGTACCTTACTCTGGCTTGCCGTAACTTGGGTTTTTACGTCGCCATATGACAGACAACAGGTGAACGGCAAGCCGGAGAGGTGCGGGCATCAGGTAAATAAACCCACAAATTCATTGTTTTCTTTTATTTTTTTTTTTTGCTTTGCATTTCTCTCTCACTTTAGGCCTCTGCACCTGGCTTGTATTTCGGGCTCCGTGGACGTGGTGGCCGCATTAATTCGCATGGCCCCGCATCCGAGCCTGCTCAACATCCAGAACGACGTGGCCCAGACGCCCCTTCATCTGGCCGCTCTCACTGCCCAGCCGAACATCATGAGGATGCTCCTACTATCCGGAGCTGAGGTACGTTTTTTTTTTTTTTTTAATGACTAATTAGCAACTAAAATGGGTCTTTCCCAATTTCGTAAACTTATTTTTTTTTTTACTTTCTGGGAAATACGCGCCAATTAATTTTCATTACTTTGTTAATATTTTTACAAAGTACTCTGACAGATTATTTGATTCATAATTTTAATCAGAAAATAGTTTATAGTCTATTTAAATCTAATCATTATACAATTCTTACGTCACTATAGCCCACGGTCCGCGATCGTCATGGAAACACGGCCCTCCATCTGTCCTGCATCGCCGGAGAGAAGCAGTGCGTCCGTGCCCTGACGGAGAAGTTTGGAGCTATGGAAATCCATGAGGCCCATCGTCAGTATGGACATCGTTCCAACGACAAGGCTGTTAGCTCCTTGAGCTACGCCCGCCTGCCCGCCGATTTGGAAATTCGCAATTATGATGGTAAGTACCAGACTGGAAATATTAAAAATACATAATATGCATCCATAAAAAAATAATACATTAATCAAAAACATTAATATCACCCACAATTCCCTAGAAATGTGTTCTAAATAAAGGTTCCTTCTGCTTCCATAATCTGAGAACGGAAAATATAGTCAGTAATTGAATTATTTTTGGCAACCAAAATTATGAATCTGTGCCAAAATCGTACACATTATATTTTCTTTATATATCGAATATATATTGTATATATGTATCTGAGATGTCCCGCCAGCGGCTAGCCACATTGCGAGACATTGTCGTCTGGTATATAGAATACTATAGTCTATATAGACTTTTGAGCAGATGCCAAAAATACATTGGCCTCCCTGAAAATTTTCCCCATCATATGATAGCTCCCTTCAACCTCCCCCCATTTTGGCCTTTTTTGTTATTGATTAACCAAAATAAACGAACAGAAAACGGGCCATTTGCAAAGTTTCAGACGTCAGCAAAGTACAATAAAAACCCGCTGTACAAGGATAGGAAAAATATTTACTTTGGGATTTAGAAATGCGCTTACATAAGCTACATATAATGATTAGATGGATTTATTTACACATTAATTTGAAATGCATTGCATGATGGAAGGAAATCGTTTCGAGTTTAATTTATTTTCCATGCGCAAATCCAAAAACAAAGGCGTGGCTCAAAATTATCAATTGTTTCCTTATTTGAGTGGAAACACCGGGTATACGGCAGTCCAGAAATCGAAATATCGATTTGCATTTGGATGGGGTGTGGGTGTGGGTGGCATGAATGGATACAAAGGTGGAAGGACTTGAAAGTGTTCTATACCGGCGTTGTTAAAAATAATTATGGCCCATATGTATGACTTTCGGAATTCATTTAATTGGTTTCGGAACCTATTTATTTTTATATTTGAAATCCACTAAAGGGGAAGCCCAATGAAAGCATTTTTATAAACAATAGACTCCCAAAAAAAAGGTTAATAAACTTGTTTGAATGTATTGCAAATACACAACCGATTTGCGTTTAACCTTTCGTTTGTTTAATCGATTTTGGTTGGTGCTTTTAGGGCTTTTCTCCCACTCGATTTAGTTTTTGGCCATGTCTATGTATAACCTTGCCAAAAATAAATCCAAAATGAGTTCGTGAGTGGCAAACATTTGGTGAACAAACATTTTTTTTGTACATCCCATCGGGGCAGCTTTAAGCAGCGCCAACCGGTTTAAGGCCCCACAGAAACAGCTGCTAGATATAGATATATAAGCTATATATTAAAGCAATTCAGACATGGCACATTATGTGTTGTCGGCTAGCCAGCCAGCCAAAAGCAACATCGCAGACATTTCCGACAAAAACTATTAAAAACCAACAAAGCAAAAAGAAACGAGACGGTCAGACGCTTTTGAATATTTTTGCCTGTTTGAAATCATTGGGTTTTCCCGATCGTCCAAGTCCCACCAGCTACCACATTGGCATCGAACAGTAATTCCATAGATTCGAGGTGGAACTTCGGGGGCAATTCTGTGTAAACAAAACACAATATTGTACAATATGTTCCAGTAATTGACGTCAGCACCTCCAGGGACTCGAAATATTTGTCCCAATTTCATTCAGATTTATCCTAAATATTTTTGTTTATCTTTTTCTTAAAAAATGCTAATTATTTCGTAAACAGGAAAAAACAAAAACAATAAGATAAGGCTCCAAGAAATGGCCTTAGGGACTCCGAGACTAAGGAATTTTTTTCCATTTTATATCTCAGTTTAATGCTACGGATTCCATTCACAGAAATTCCTCTTTTGGTTAAAAATAGGCAACAATTTTTCAATTGGCTTAAAGCCAAAATAAAAGTAGACGGTAAAAGAATGCACCCAAAAAATATATATACCAAATAGACCCTAGAAATAATGATAACGATTAAAGACGCTGACAGTAACGGAAATTGGGGAAGGTTCGTTATCAGAGTCCAAAAAGGGGGGGACCTCCCACCTTGAAATCTATATATTATACGTACATATAATACGCATTCTGGAAATCCCCAAGTTGGCACACAATAGTAATTATGTCAAAATGCTTTGGAGTCCAAGCCCTAAGTCGTAATCCATTTTGGGGTCCCATTAACGCTTCCAGCACGCAACTGGGAAATGGTCTATGGTCTATATAAATAAACGCACGCAAGGCTCGAGGACAAGGCTCTATAAATAGGAAATATTTTCCTTTTGTCCAATCGGTTCGCTTGACAATTGTGTTTACTTTGGTTTTTGGAAAACCGAGAATAACAGAATTTCCCATTTTGGCTAATAAACACTACAAATCGATTGATTGTGATTCGTGTTATCTGTGGGTGTTATAAAATATACTATATAGGGTTCTATTTGTGACGTTTTTCGGGCTTATCAGAAACGTTTCAACAAAATTTCAAAAGAATACCAGCTACTGGGTGTTTATTCTGATATTCCTGTATTTAGTAAAATCCCAAATTCCATTTAAATTTTCCCCAAGCGACAAAGTTTGAAATGGTAGCCTATCAGGGACTGGGAATTATTATTTTATTTTTTTTTTTGGGTTAAACCAATCAGGGAATTTTAAGAAGCCACATGAGTCGTTGGTAAAACATTTGTCCTGCACATGTTTGGCATACATATCTCCATATGATTCCAAAAGTGGAAAGAAAAATTGGTTATGATTCTGTAGCCTGGCAACTGGCAATCACAAGTTAGGAGCAGCAGTCATTGCCGTACTTCCCCGACTGATAAGCTGGCGCAAAAAAAAGCAAATAAGATATGTCCAGCAGTGTTCTATCGTCAGCAGACATTGGTAAATGGAAATCGGGCCTTATCAGCGGGAAGGAAAACCCCATAGGTGGTCGTTTATTGTGCGATTATACGATTCCGTGTGTGCATTTGCGCACATTTCCACAAAATGGGGCTTCAAGCGAACGTCCTTCTCCCTCCCATTGCCATTGAAAAGATAACTGGCTATCAGTTCGTCGGGTTTACCACATACCGATATTACCCTATTTACGAGTGATCTTGCCCATATGGGCCATAAAGGTTTCGACTTCCTTGAACTAAACCTTAGAATATGAAAAAAAACAGCACGGACGTAAAACCGTAGAAACCCGCTACAAATCATGACTTGGCAGATTAAAAATGGAAATCTTAAATTGTTTACGTAGTACGTACTTTTAAAAAATTGTCAAATTAAAATGAATTATAGGGGGGAATTCTAAATGAAGCACTAGATACGCGTCACTGGAATTTTGAGGAGCAAACCTTTTGAACTTTTGACTTTGATTGAAATGCTTAGAACGATAGACAAAATATAAGATACGGATCATCCAATTTAGGTTTACTTTGCTATTCAGATAGCAGCCCCACACTTTCCCAAACCTGTTTCTGGCATCAATTAGTGTTTGTTATTTATTGACATCTCAAATCTACGACATTCTAGAATCTGTAGTCTATCAATGACTTTACATTAATGCATATACTTGTAGATGTATTGTGGTACTTGATCTCCCGATCTCGCAACAACAAATTAGTCATATGAGATTGACACGAGGTTGGACCTGGAATTCTCGCTGGAGAAACCAGTCCAAGTATCTGATTTGATCGCGTTTCTCACTCTCCGACTCATTTCCTTATTGAAATTGAAAAATTAAAACATAATCCGCTTAGATTTGAGGAGAAGTCTTACCAAAAATTTGGCTAAGATCTCACAGAGTTTATTCACTTTAACGGACAAGGTTAGATGATTCTTATAAGTTATAACGGAAGTGCTTTCAAATTTCTTTGCTGATTTCCGATAGCTACAAGTACAATAAGGCATCTGAGAGTTTAATGGCTTTTTCACAATTAATGTACTTCCTATTAATCAATCGTAAACAAATCTTCAAAGAGCCACCTACCCATCTACCTGTTTAATTCTTACAATGAGCTCATGCTAATTGCAATAATAAAAAACAATGACGGAAGTTAAATAATGCAATGAATAATATCTGACAGTTAAGGAAAATCCTAAATGAAACCAATCGATGTGAGTTGGCAAATCAGAAAAACCGAATAGTATACACAAGTCAGCAAGTGATCTCGTTGCAACAATTGTTGACCTTTTTTGTGTAGAGACTCATGGGGGGATTTTCCCAAAATTCCATTTGCTTGTTTCCTCCTTATTTTTTATTTTTTTTTGCATGCCACACGTGGCTGACGATCCCCAACAAGTTAAAGTTTTTTTTGTTATTTTGGAGGGGAACCGATCCAAAACGAGCCGGGTGTGATATTTGCATTTCGCATTCACAATCGAGTGTATGTAGCTCGAAAGAAAGTCAACAAGGCAAATCCGCTGACATAACCCACCAGTCAGTCCGAGAGCGGATCGAGCCAGATATACATACATATATATACCATATATATATATTTTTGAATATAATGAAGGGGGAGCTGCTTTCAAAACACTTTCATTGCCAAGTCAGTCGACGTCGTCGTTGTAGTCATGGCTTGGAAAATCCGTGGCTTTAATTGTGCTAAATTGTGCTGTTTGTTTTCGCTTCATTTGGCGGCCACTCTGGGTTTTTCACTTTGGGGCCACAACTAATTTCCACTTTGGGAAAGTTCGAACCGCACAAAAGATATTACCCGACGGCGCCCAGAAGTCTTGGGGTAAACAACATTTAATTTGATATTGTCTTTCCGACTGGGTCTTTCTCCGCTTTATATTTGTTTTTGGGTATTTGCCCACACCAGTCTTATTTAGACAGTTGGCTTTAATTTCAACGGCCATACATATTGTACCTTTGTTTGGTTTTTTAAGTTGTGGATTTTGGGCCAGGTAATTCCCCTAATGGCACGGTTACTTCTTTTCTTTTTGGCACGTGCCGGTTTGGGGAAATCGCTAATTACGCTGAAGTTTAAGGCCTATGAAAATATTGTTAGGAATTCTATAATTATGAATCAATGACCCGATAATTCGAAGGACAAATATGCCAAAAAACCGGGCAATGCAAGAAATAAAATAAAAAAAATAAATATAATTATAAATAAATAAATAAATTAAAGTATATAGAGAGTGGAGGAAAAAAACCCGTTGTAGAAATACCAAAAGGCTGCTCCAACAATAAACACAATTAATTAAATTTAAGCAACAACAGCATTCGCCTTTAATATTTGCGCTGTCAATAAATTTATGAACTTTGCGACTTTGGGTGACTTGTGGAGTACTTTTAACTGCGCCGTTGGGGTTTTCTCATAAGGTCGTTTGCCGATATATAATAATAATTATATCGCCTGTGTAAATAGTAACACCAAATCATGCAGGCTACGCTTATTTCGAGTAGGTGGATAGGTGGATGGGTGGTGGTGCCATTTATGAAAGTGTTAAGTAGTCAAGTGTCTAGAATTTCCCATAATGCGCAGTTTAACACGATTCCATAAGTGTCATTAATTAATGGCTAAAACCAGAAACCTATTACAGTAATCCCTAGGAAAGTAGACTTCGTTATGGACAGGGATTATATGACATCAAGTTTAAAAATAATCAAAAAGAAATTTCTGGTTCATCGACGTTTCAAAATCGAGCTGTTTAAAAGTCATAAAAACAAATGCTATAAAAATGATCTAAAAAAACAGAAATATTGATAACAATTGAAACCATTAACATTTCACTGGCTTGTTGAGATGAAAACGAACAACGTTCACAAAATTATACGAGAACTCATCTAAAATCTGAGATGCCTAATTATTGAGCAATCACCGTACATTTTTTATGGCTAATTACTGTGCGTATTCTGGTCAAGCGGCTTTCTGGAGACGTGTCAGGTTTTTTTTTTCGGACTCTCCACCTCAGACTAACTGGCTGGCTGGCTGGCTAAAAAATTTTAAGCCAAAGCCTAAGCCAAAAGTCGTCAGTTGGATTATAACCACAAGATCTTTTTGTATCTTATTGGAGGTGTGACGTAGTCCGACTCCGGTGATGGGGGAATTCCCAAAACAAAGTTTGAAACAAACTTTTGTGTTTCATATTTCATGTTTTATACTGCCAGATCGGTTGTCTATTAATATCTAATATCATCGGATCGCTGGGTATTCGACTTTAATCGTATGCTAACGATTGGCACGTTGCTGTGCTGAAAAGGCAACAACAATGAGGATTGTCTTTTACTAGCTTATCGCCTTCTTCTTTAGTTAGTCGAGCTTTGGCTTTAAAATAAAAATATAAAAAAAAATACACACACACACATTTTATGTGATCATCGTTTATTTTTAAAACCAGTGACACAATTGTTGCTTTTGTAAGCCGTCAAGTTCGAGATACAACCAAGAAAAGACCAAAAAAAAAAAAAACTGGACTGTAGTGCTGACTTTCGTGGATGGCTTTCTTTCTCTCTCTGGGTTTTATCTTTGTATTTTCAAAAAGAAATACTTTATGAGAACTGAAATCATATAACATAATATATATTTTGTACAATTCAGCTTCGCAATTTATTTTGAAATAATCTAAGTATTCTGCCGATAACCTTGAATAACATTCTTTATGCTGGAATAATCAAAAGTTCAAGACCTTTCATATCGCTTATGCTTCCTATGACTCAGATACGATAATATTGGGTATGACTATGATATGTCCAAAGTAGTATTGGCTGATTCTGGTTCTCAGGCCTCCTAACTGATTAAAGACACTAACAAATTCCATGCAGAAACTTCGGCCTGTTTCGTTTAGTTCGTGGGCTTTATGCAAATGTGCCACCACAACAGTTTGTGTGTGAAAGTCAATCAACAGCACGTGTAGCTAAGTCGGGGAAAAAATCCGCCAATAACAACAAAGTCTCCGTCAACTAATCATAAAGCCATAAAAGCAAAGGTCTCCAAATACAAAAACAACCATCCAGACTAGACTAAACAATCTAGCTTTGTTTTTAGTTTTTAGTTTCGTGGCTGAAAATACGAGAATTAATAAAGAATAAAATCTGAAAAAATTAAATAAAATATAAATGTTTCTGGTACAAGTCCTGTCAGTTCAAAAATTACTATTTTTTTCAAACCGATTGAGAATATTACTCGTGATGCTTGAAATGTCAATTGAATTATTGCCTATTTTACTTTTATTTTAGGTTTAAGACACCTGCCAGGTTGTCTGTTTGTCTGTCCATATATCAGATCTGTATAATGGTGTTCAAACCAATTTGAACTTGGCCAAACTTGTTGCCGATGCCAGTAAAGCCAACTTTGTGTTTGGTTTGTTAGCTTAACTTTACCGCCAACTGCTTGATTTTTTAATTTTTTTTTTTAACTCGTCGTCACTCGGTTTTTTGTTGCTGTTTACTGGTTGTATTATTGCTGCTGTTTTATTGTGGGAATTTCTTGGGTTTTTCAACGCACACCAATGCCGCCAATCGTCGACACAGATACAGATACATATATACACAGCTACAGATACAGAGATACTTGAACGTGAAGTCAACGGGTTGTCATATTGTCTTATAAGGCAAAAGCCTCCACTTGGCACCCTCCAGCCCCCATTTCCTCCGTCCCGGTAAGCCCCAACGCCTCTCCAGCCCTCCACCTCAAAAGTGGTCATTGTCGTAATCAAAGCTTTTTTTTTAAGTTTTTTTTTTTATTTTGGCTCGTATTATAAAACGCTACTTGTTTTACAACTAAAAGCGATCGCACGGAAGAGCTTTTTTTTCCTGTAGTATGGGTGTGTGTGGGGCTTGAGAGGCTTTTGGAGAAGGAATCGCACAATTCATTCATAAATAAACCGTTAGCCATCTTTAATGGTAGTCACTATTTTTGGATGCCAATACATATCAGCGATGATTAACCAATTTGGTTTCCCTTTCTATTTTCCAGGTGAACGTTGCGTGCACTTGGCCGCCGAAGCCGGACACATTGATATCTTACGCATTTTGGTATCCCATGGAGCCGACATTAATGCCGGGGTAAGTCCATTAGAGAATTTTATAATTTTTACCAAAAATACTAATAACTAATACCTTTCCAGGAGGGCAAATCGGGTCGCACCCCACTGCACATTGCGATCGAGGGCTGCAACGAGGATCTGGCCAACTTCCTGCTCGACGAGTGCGAGAAGCTCAACCTGGAGACGGCCACCTTTGCCGGATTGACGGCCTACCAGTTCGCTTGCATCATGAACAAGTCCCGGATGCAGAATATCCTTGAGAAACGCGGCGCGGAGACCATTACGCCACCGGATAGTGATTACGACAGTAGCGATATCGAAGATCTAGACGATACGAAGGTGAGCGTCACTGCATAAAAAAAATCCGTCCGTCTACAAAACAACAAAAAAAAAAATCAGAAATCAAAAGAAAATAGATAGTAAACTCTAATGGGCCACCACCAGCTTCCAAAATGTTCAAAATTTATATAGGAAATCAACTAAGAAGCAAAAGAATCCCCCAAAAAACTAAAAAAAGAAAAACTGAACTGGTATTCAGTTGGCAAGAAAAATGTTACATCCTAGTAATGAACTATTGTAACATTGTATTATGTATTGTTAACCAAAAAAAAAAAAACAAAAACTAAAAAAGAAAAACCTAAAATGATAAAAAATAGAAAGCAAACAACAGAAGAGCAACAGGTTCATTCAGAACACACACAATCGATATAGAGCAGGGATCTATGTTTTAGTAGAGCCCATTGAAACTGAAACCATTATAAAAAATAATAAAAAAAGAACCAACAAAGTAACGAACAAACTTCTAGAAACAATATTTTGTACCCAAATTTTGTCTACTAAAAACAAAAACAAAAACATTTTAAATTTAACATTAAGCTGTCCCTATGTAAACTTGATGTTTGTTGCTGTTTCTCACTCCTTACCCTTACCCCCCCAAAACTTGATGTAATCGTATGCCTGTGCGTGTGTATTTTTGTGTGTTTGTGTGTGTGTGCGTGATCCAACTAACCCATATATAGATCTAGATTCTAAAATTATACACCTTAACTCGATGATGATGATGATGAAAAATGGAATCATAAATTGTAGTTTTAAGCTAGATAAATTTAATTGATGTTTTCATGTTCTGACTGAATGAAATAATGTTGCAAAATAAATATTTTACTCTAAAAAAAAATATATACAAAAAAAAACAACTACCTAATTATTCTTTAAATTTGATGTGTTGTGGGTTTCTTGTAAAAATAAAAGGTTTGTAAATTTGTTTAGAATTTGTTTAATATTTTTCGACGGAATTGTTTGCTTGTTTTGTTGAATTCTTTGCCTAATTTGTTGATAGACTTTGCTTCTGTTGTTTTTTGGTTAACATTAACGCCTAACAATAGTTTTAATTTTATAATTAATTGGTTGTACAATTTTTTTCGTTTGTGTATTTGCAGATGTATGATCGCTTTGGTGATCCGCGTTATTTTGTCAGCTACAACGGCGGCAATCCAATGACAGTTGCTTGAATAACCCAACCATTATGTACATACAACCCTAGACTATATATATTCCCAACCTGGTGGGGTTTAATTGCTGTTCCCGAACGCACGCTTCCTACTCCTGCCCCGAAATGTATGCAATGCTCCCCGACACACGTTCACGAAACACCAAACGAACCCAGCAACAATCCAAAATAAATGTACTTACTATCCTGTCCAGCACGAGGATCTATCCGCCGAATACGAACTGCATGTGAATTGCTTGTGTAAACGAGATAGTATTTTAAAGCGAAATAAAGCATAAACGGATGCCGAATGTCAAGCATTTTATTTATACGCACAATACTAATTCTAAGTAATAAAACTATTTGACAAAAATCAATTACTTTCACATAAATCGTCGGTGGGACATACATCAAATCGTTATTTATTCTTAATTAAGCAAAACACAGGAAACACTAAACGAAATTTAATAGAATTGTAAAACATTTAAAACGTATTTGTCTAGTCGGAAAATATACTATACTATAATCGAGTTGCAAAAGGGTAGTCCATCCCTCGAAAGGCATTTTAAAAAAATATATTAAATAAAAAGGATGTAGGGTGCAACAATTATCGAATGCTTTGCCTAAAAACGCTGTTCTTTGCTTTGCTATTGGCGGAGGCAGCAGCCTTCTTGGATGCCAGTGGATCGGGGGCGAAACAGTTCCACAAACGCAGAGTTTCATCCGCTCCGGCACTGATCACGGTGCTGCCATCGGGCGACATAGCCATTTGCAAGACACGCGACGTGTGTCCAGTTAGGTCCGCTTGCTTCACCATTGTCGGATACTTCCAGATGGTCAGTTGGTTGTTGGCGAAGCCGTGGGCCGAAATCAGTTCCTTGTAGTGACGCGAGAAGAGCAGAGAGCAGACTTGTGACTTGGAATCGACCGATTTCATCAGTGAACCATTGTTTACGTTCCAGAATTTAATGCATCGATCGGCGGTTCCGCCTCCAGATGCCAGGGTACTCGGCTGCCAGGGACACCAGGCCAGAGCTCGCACTGCCGCTTGATGTTCGTTGAATTTATGCAGCGGTTCGGTAGCAGTGCCCACTCCACTGCTGGCCAGGGTCCAAACGTTGACGAGGTTATCGTTGCCGCCGCTAGCCAAGTATTTGAAATCAGTCGACCACTTCAGACCGCATACCTCTTGCGTGTGCCCGGCCAGGGAGGAGATCTTGTGCTCACGCGAACGAACATCATGGTGGATGATAGTCCCATCGCGACTGCCGGAGGAAACCAGGAAAGAGTTCCAGGCTAATGATCCTACCCGAGCACTGTGCCCATCCATTACGCGCAACCTCTTCACCTTAGAGCAGTCCCAAAGCTCTACAGCTCCGGTACTGTTGCCAATGGCCAGAATTTGGCCCTCCTGAATCCAGGACAGCGATCCTGCGTAGTCACCCTCTTCAAACTCCGTCAGTTGCTCGATGTTACCGGAGCCTGCGTTCCACAGGTAGACACAACTGCCCAAGGCAACGGCCACGATGTTGTCGCCGCTCCAATCCATGAGGTTGAGATCTACCAAAAAGCAGAAAGCAATGTTAAATAATGCTCAGAGTAATAGGGCGAAGATGGTATCGTACAGTAATCGTTGATAAAGTCTGGAGCATCGAGTATCCTCTCCGAAGTGGTTGGAATATAACGGGAGCCACTCTTCGTTGAGATGGGCGTCTTAATGGAGTACACAACCTTCAGAGGATTGGTGTGAGATTCAGGAGCAGCTGGCGCCTTGTTCTGGTAGCACAAAATGCGGCCACCTCCGGCATTCTCACCAATCTGAGCTACTTCTGAGATGAGCTTCTGTCGTTCGCCCTTGTGGGCAGATGCCTGAACATTGCCCTGGTTGGTGTTGCTAGTGGTGGCCTTGTCATTCTCTTCGTCGGATTTATCGCCAGCATCTTTGGTGACCTATAAAAGATTGTAATTTATATTTTTTATTAGACTATCGATCCAGTGTGACTTTGCAACTAATTATATAGGGTAGGTCTTACCAAAAAATGTGCCAACTCAAAGTTTGTAGCAGCTCTGTTAGGTATGAACCGATCTCCTCCTCCTGGCGTCTTTGTGGGCGTTTTGGTTGACTTCTTAGACTTTCCTTCGCTGCTTTTGCCAGGGGTCTTGGTGGGCGCCTGTACTCCGGAGAAACTGGTGTTGTACGACACGGATAAAACCGATCTCGTTGTGTTAGCACTCCCGTTGAGAGACGCCTCCAGCTTCTTCTTCCATCGCGGCGCAGGACCGCGCGTCTCTCCGTCCATGATCAGAGCATTTTGCAAATCAGATACAAAGTTGAACTGCGACATGGTTTGGGGTATCAAGTATATTCTATTTGTATCACACAATTGTCTAGTAATTGCACGAGTGTCCTTTAAATGTCATAGACTAGTCAGATTTAGATTTCTTTACGGTTTTGGAGATGCCCGATAATGGCGGTTCGATTTGGATTATAGTGTGACCGTAGTACGACTATGCTGAAATCGTATCCTGTCAGGATTATTTAAAAAAATACTAAAGTCTAAATTTTTAAAAATGATAATTAAGAGTGTTTTTAAAGATATTTTATTGGTTCCCAACAGTAATTATGTATTATCATTTTTTATTTTTAAAGATTAGAGTCAAAAAAAGTTTAATCAATATATCCAACACATTTGTTATGTATATTAGTTGTATTAAGTTTTGATTAAAAAGCAAAAGAATTCTAAAACAATATGTCTTATAAAAATAATCAATGCATTTGAAACAAGGTCCCTAATATAATAAGAAGTATTATTATTTTAAAGAGACCGCATAAGAAACGTCAATTAAAAGGAGTGTGCAGCCCTGGCACACAGCTGTCATCATCGCCGCCCTTGTAAAAAACACAAGTGAGTCTTTACAATCTAATGCCGAAATTTTACGTAAATAATTAGCAAGTCACTTTATTTAGAAACGTGCCGAAGTCATAGGAACTTGAGACAGGATGGCCTTCAACTTCACCGCGTTCACCTATATAGTAGCCTTAATTGGCGATGCTTTCTTGATATTTTTCGCCATATTTCATGTGATTGCATTTGACGAGCTGAAAACTGATTATAAAAACCCAATTGACCAGTGCAATAGTCTCAATCCGGTGAGTAAAGCTTCATTGATGCCATATCAACATTTAATTAATTGAACTGACCTCCAGTTGGTTCTGCCGGAGTACCTACTTCACATCTTCCTCAATTTACTCTTCTTGTTCTGCGGCGAATGGTTCTCTCTGTGCATCAACATTCCCCTAATAGCCTATCATATTTGGCGGTAAGTGACTCACTTAACAACTTTAAGATAATCTAACATTGATGGTTGTTATACCTGTTTTAAGGGCAACAAAATGAAATGTTTTATCTGCCTATAGAAATCCTAGTACCTAGTCTATGATATCTTTTCCAGTTTGTTATTAATTGCTCTCCCCTTCCAGCTACAAAAACCGCCCAGTGATGTCCGGACCTGGACTGTACGACCCGACCACGGTTCTTAAGACGGACACCCTTTCCCGAAACATGCGCGAGGGCTGGATCAAGCTAGCAGTCTACTTGATTAGCTTTTTCTACTACATATACGGGTAATTAACATTATTATTTATGTTGACGGGATCCCGTTTGTCTAACATTTTTGGCTAATTTTAGAATGGTTTATTCGCTCATCTCGACATAGAGGCATTGAGGCAGTTGCCTGGGGATCTCGTTGTTGCCGCCAGCGCATCCGCATTGTGTATTAGTTGTCATTTAACTCGGGTCATCCTCCCTGTTTGGCGGGGAGTACCTCCCATAAACCGCGAACAAAACTTCACTTGTAAATTTTAGTATAAATCCATAAAGACATCGATCAGCTTTGTTTTTTTTTTTATAATTTGTAATCAATTGTGTGAAGTTGGAGATTGTAACGTATTTTTATTATTATTATTTTTACATTTGCATCTTTGGTGTAGTCGGATTTTAAGCTTAAATAAAAGTCAAACCGAAGTAATGCCTATTTATTTTTCACCTTCAGCTTGAGGGACAGCGGAATCTTTGACTAACAACGAGGAACTAAGAGCCCACAGCACTTCAGATAGCGAAGATCGTAAAAACTACATCTTATCAGCTAGGTCAGCATAGATATGGCACTGGCACGAATACACATTTTAAACTAGGGTATTTCAGAGCTCCATTGAATGGTAAAGAATATCCGAAAATAATCCTGCACTTTTCTCAAATAAAAACCCACAAATTTTGTACGTATCGTTATAACTTTATTTTACAATATTTCCGGGAGGCCACAGTTTGGACTAAACTATAGATTGTGATAGAACTTGGTTAAATTAGAATGCTGTATACAAGGGTAGGTACATGGGGATGCTGGGGCGGGTAATTGGCTTTAATTATGACATAAAAACAACAAAGAACAGGAAGAAGAATATGAGAACGCCGAATATCTTAATCATAAGCCAGCGATTTTTGGAAACCGATTGGAAATATTTAAGAATTTCTCCATGCGCCGCCTCAATGTTAAGCTCAGCATCCGCCACATTCGTGTCAATACGCTCAACGATCTCCTCCTGTTCCTTAACCATATGCGCAAGTTGTTGGAAAATGCCTCCCAGTTCCACAATCGTAGATTCTATATTTTGCATGGTCTCGGCTCGTTGTTGTACATAGCTATCCGACTCATCGTAGATGGCCATCTGGGTCTGTGTTGACAGGAGGGGTGTTGTATCGCTGCTGCCCATATCTATGCTCACAGCCTGGTTCTCTTCGCTCAGTAACAGCGATCCTTGTTTTGCAGTAGACGGCGAGACGGTGTGAGCTGCCAGTGGACCTGGTCCCTGGCTGAACTGATCCCTCCGTGTCTTCTGTTGTTTCAGATTTTCGGTCCTTACCTCCAGTATCTGCTTGAAGTCGGTACTCATGCTAGCCAGCTTGGATTGCAGGGCCAGAACCATATTTGAGGAATGTGAGACCAGATGCTTGCCGCTAGCGTGACGTCGCTGGTCCTTTGAGATGTCCTGTAGTCGGGCAATCTGTTGGTTCAAGGCGTTCAGATCTCCCTTTATGATATAAGTCAGTTCTTGGATCTCCTGCGGTCTGTCATCGAATAAGCTCTTCTTTTTGGCCACTGAAATGCGGAGAACCAATCAATAATTGAACTTTATAAAAGATTTATGGTGTAGTACTTACGCATTGTGAGCTTTTCAAGTTTGGCATAGGTACTGGCTATATTCTTGCCGACAAATTTGGCAACCATCATGAACTCCGAGTAACTCTGCACCTGCTTGGCCTTGCGTGGATCCCGGATATTCACCGCCCGTGTTATGTTTCTCGCCTGCAGCGATCTTATCGCATTAGCGAACTCTCCCGTCCTATCTCTAGCTGCCATCACGAATATTTCTGGTTCAGGTTCGGGTTCAAAGTGTTCCTCTGATTGAATAAATCCCTGCCGACTGGAGGGAATGGAAGCCGAATAGTTATAACTGTCCTGGTTGTTATTATTGGCGCCTGGCTGATTTCCTGTAACCACAGCCGCAGCGGCGCTCAATGTACGCAAGGCCTGGCCAGAAAAGGCTCGAAGATTCCACTGGCGGGCCGCTTTTCCGTACTTGTCGTCGGAGTCTGGTGCCAAAGATTGACCAGATTCTCCGATTTGGATAGTTGACTCAAAGGCCACGGGTTGGGTGGGATAAACCAGAGGCTGAGCTAGAAGACCTCCCGATCCGCCAACTGCTCCTGATCCTCCAAATCCTGCTGGTCCTGTTGGTCCTCCCTGCTGATCCGCTGCTGCTTGAATTGTATAGGTGCTGGTGCTGCTGTAATCCTGCTGGTCCGATTGATGAAGGCGTCTTCTTTGCATCTCATTTCAGATTGGAGCTCTTCCCCCGGAGTTGACGTTGCTGTTTTTCATGCACCCCAACCAACACAAAAGCGATCTGTTGGACTTTCCTTCTGAATAGCGAATTTTTCTGGCGTTTGTTTTGGGTCTGGGAATACCCTGTCGTCGGTGTCTTTAATTCAGCGTTTAATATCTAATCCAGCGAGTCCTAAGCAATGTATAATATAAATTTTGTTTATGCATTTTCCTTTGATTTTCCTAAATGTTCATAATAATTGTAAAGATTGCAGAAAACTTACACACACGAACACACCTCGCAGATGTCAGATGGCGATGACGTGTTGATACGTACGAACTATCGATAACACCTCAGACAATTTTCCGCTAAACTCTACCAATTTTTAATATATTTAGTTTAACCTAAAACGTCAACTAAAATTTAAAATCTAAAAAAATATATCTACCTAATCCAATTCTTATTTTTTGTTTGACTTTCCTCTTATATATATTTATTTTTCTTACCAATAATATATTTATTCAAAAAACTTGCCATCACTGAGAGTAATAATCGATTACCGGCGAGTTCATCGCTAATTTTTTCCTGAACATTTAATTTTTCACTTAATTAATCCAAATACCTTTAGTTTATCAAATAAAATGACGCTCTATCACTTTGGAAACTGTGTGGCTCTGCTGACACCGTATTACTTTACCTACAAATACTCCGGCCTGTGGGTTTTCTATAAATTAACCCGATATTAGCCCCCATGCTCCCAGCTTTAAATCAATAAAAATATTTATGAACTGTCCCGGTTTCTTGCAGGTCCGAATATGGGGCATTCTGGAAGTGTGTACAAGCAGGAGGAATTTACATATTTACGCAACTGTGCAAGATGCTTGTCCTAGCCACGTTTTTCTACTCAGATACCTCCTCCTCCTCCAGCGGCGAGTTCAACTTCTTTGCGGTGAGTTGGATTATCTATATTTACATAGTGCTAAGGTTAAGTTTTGGTTTTCTTTTGTAGGAGATCTTCCGTTGCAGTGTGGACATTGCTGATCTGCTGGGATTCGCCCTGATCCTTAGTCGCATTCCAGGAAAAGGACACTCCAAACTTATCACTGCTGGACTTGGATGTAAGAGGCTTTTGGAATGTTTTAGTGACTAACTACTAATTTTAATTTATTTGCAGGGGCAACCGCTGAAGTAGTTCTCTCCCGGGGCATAATGCTATGGGTTGGAGCACGTGGAACCGAATTCAGTTGGGTCTACATTCTGAAATGTTTGGAGTCGAATGTGCTTCTGGTGCAGCACATTACCACGGCCACGTTGATCTGGCTGTTCACTCGTCATGATCTGAACAAGGCGCTGAAGCCGCTAGTCAGCCTGCTCCTGGCAGTGACCGTTTTTAAGGGTGTTTGGCTGGAGGGCATGATCCACATCCTGGCCATCGGTCCATGGTTGACGGTGGCGGTTAAAGCCCTCGTGGCTGCCATTATTGGATTCTGCACACTGCACATTTACTCGGGCCTGGCCCAGCAGATCGGAATTTAAGCAAAAGTGTGCCAATAATTCGTATTCCTCTTGTTTTGTAATTTGTTTATTTTTTTCATGTTGTCACAGAGAGAATGAGATTGTGTAACAAAGACAACAATAACGGTTTAGAGAATTATAGATACGATAACGTAATAGTAACAAATAACAATGTTTTTTTATGTATATGATGATAACAATTAACCTTACTAACGTTAGTAAGTATTCTAAAAGGAACCTTAATATTTCCTATTGCTTTTTTAATACCCAAAAGGTAGTGTATCATAAATAGATAAACAACGCGATGTGAAACAAGCAAAGGCTCTTTTTGATCCTTTGCATCTTTATAACCCAGCATCAACAGCAATGTCTTCAATTAGATTTATGGATTCCTTGCCCAACGATATTTTGTCCATTTGAATCGAATTTGGTTTCTTCGAGATCGTTAAAAGTTTTTTCTTAACCAGGCCTGAAATGGTTCAACTTTTGCAATAGTAATTAGATAGTTAGGGCATTACTTACTTAATAAGTGACTAAACACCATGGAAACTGTCAAACGATCAGGAAATAATTTTATATAATCCATGGCGTCAATTTCTTTTGTGTCCGGATTTTTCCTCCAAATGGTCAACAAGTCCATCATTACATCAAGTTCACCTGTTTCAGAATAGATTTAAAAGCATAAAATATGTTTTTATTTATTAATTTATCTTACTTATATTATTGTCTCGGCAAGAAAGAGATGCTAGGGCACTAATATTGTTATTTTGCTCTTCTGGCGTTGGCGAACTTGGATTCAATGGAGCTTGTTCCAAATTATGATTATTATTCAGCTCATTTAGATTAAATTCTTCCACTTTAACAGGATCACTTTGAATTATTGGATCTAAATGGTTTAAATCCATCCCCAAAATGTCCTTGGCTAAAGCAGTGGAGAAATCCTCTGCAAAAATGCTTCTTAGAGTTGCCTCACTGTCATCTTCCTTTTGGTCTTCGTCTAAACAAATGGGTATTTGTGAAAGAAAATCTGGAAAAATGGAGCTGCAAAGATGGAGCATATATGTATCATAATATTGAAGAAAAGAATAGCTTATACCTACTTCTTATTTAGTTTTGATAAAAGGTCATCTGCACTGCGGATTGGCTTGGCGGTTACTATAATTTTCCTCGCATTACAATAAATCATGTATTTTTGGCGATGCTTTAGCAAACTTTCTTTGGAATATTGTATACATTTGTCAACAATTAACTTTCCTTTTTTAAGTTTTTTGTCCTTTTTGAAATCAAAACAAGTGGACAAGGGTGACGTCTCTACTGGAATCAGAGGTTCACAGACTATAGCATTAGTTTCTTCGACTGTATCAACACTATTGGAACTATTTGTGGTTATAATAGCATTGTCAGAACTGGAATCTATTGTTTTTTCTACACTTTCTTCCAATCTGGGGATTTTATTTGGTAAAATCTCAGTGGAATTAAGGCATATTGATGGACGTTTCACTGAAAATAACAAGTATTTAACTTTTTTTGAGTAGTTTACTAACAATGGTCTTACAGGGTCTGTCTCTGGAGAATAGTTCTTCGAAAATACTCAAATCCGGGTTGGTTTCACCAAAACCATCCGAAGGACACATAAATGTATGATCTTCTTCAAATGCAAATTCTTCAGTGATGGTTATGGCTTGATAAGATGTGGAAATAGAACACATTCGAGGAGTTTCAATCGTCTATGAAAAAAATAATTTATTTATAAATAAAGGATCAACTTTAATCTTTTCGTAATAACCTCTTCCACTTGTAATTCCTGTGTTATCTCCTGAGAACTTTCGATTTGAGGAACATCCAGACATTCCGAAAACAAATTGGCATAATATCTTCGAGAAGATTTACCTAGTAAATCCTGTTCACACAATCGAGGACGCTTTGAAACTGTAACAGTCGATTTCTGGGTTATAACTCTCTTCCGCTGGCGATGGGTTAAGGCATGTGATTGTCTAACCACAACAGATTTTTCAGATAAAAACTCAAAGACCAATTTGGTGCCTTTTACTTGTTCCAGCAAATATTTGGCATCAGCTATAAAAAAACGTATTTCAATGAAATCTTGTAAAACAATAGAGTTCTTCAATACAATACGCACCCAAGAGAATATTAACCTGCCGCCTATAAATACCCACGGCTCCATACGCCAAACGCACAATGTCTTTAAAACTTACAGGGATCCTGATCCTTGTTAGCAAGTTTTCTTCTTCTTCTCGACTTTTAATAACTTGATCTATCAAATCACTTATTTGTTTGCTAAAATAATTTATATTTTATTCAAATATGAACATTTACTAAAGTTAAAGCTATTAACTTACCAACAAGCCACTATATCGACTGCGACGATCTCATCGCCATGGATATTGGAGGTTTTTGATTTAAAACCCCCAAATTTCCAGCAAGGCTCCAATATACCGCTATCATACTTTTCCAAATCTAAATTACGCGAACGAAACAACTCCATGTTTCATGAAAACGATTATGACAATTATAGGCATTATTAATCTATGATTTGAACGGCTGTCAAGAGCTTAGCGAACAACGGTTCTTTTTGTCAGCCCTGGAATTCTTGTCAAGTGACCAGTAATTATTTTTATTGATTAATATTATGCCTTCCATTTTCTGCTTAAAAGTTTTTTTGCATAAATAAAAACTGTCATACCTTTATAAGATCTTTATTTTAAATTAATTTAAATTTTTAAGAACTTTCCATCAGTTTAAAAAAATATACCGTGAAACTGGTATTTTTTAGCGTTCACTATACGGTCCTACTGCAGGTCTGGCAAACATTTACAGAAAAAAAACAACAAAGAACCGACACACAAATATTAAAACAAAAATCCCCGAGTCCAATCCCTAACGACAACTGCCAAAGAATCAGCAGGCTTTTTCCTTAAAATCCTTTAAACAAAAACCATGGTAAGATGTCTTGGCCGTTTTTTAAATCAATTACTAAAATAAAAACATGACTAATGGCCTGTGTGGGCGTGTGTTTTTGTTTTTGTTTCCGTGTGAACGATTCTTGTTAACTGATAAGTTGTGTGATTTTTGTGCAATTATCAATTAATATCATTCATTTTCAGGGAGATAACAAAATTTGCGACATAAGCAACGAAGTTCTGGAAGAGTTGAAGAAGTTTCGCTTCAGCAAGAGCAAAAACAATGCTGCTTTGATATGTAAGTTAATAGTCACCATGGATACGAGGGTTTTCAACCCGGAATTAGATATATACCTGTATAAGAGACCTAAAGGTTATACTTATGTTGAATACTTAAACAAAGGTTTTTTTTATTTCAGTGAAAGTAGATCGGGAGAAGCAATCTGTCGTTCTGGATGAGTTTATTGATGACATATCCGTAGACGAGTTGCAGGACACTTTGCCAGGACATCAGCCTCGCTATGTGATTTACACTTACAAAATGGTACATGATGATCAACGTGTGTCCTATCCCATGTGTTTTATTTTTTACACACCTAGGGATAGTCAGGTAAAAACATATATATTCATACCATACGTACATCTGAACTGAAATTCTTAAACATCTATTTACAGATTGAACTGCAGATGATGTACGCCTGTACTAAGAGTGCCCTGCAGCGTGAAGTGGATCTCACTCGAGTTTACGAAATACGCGAACTGGAAGAACTAACCGATGACTGGCTGCGGGCCAAGCTAAAGTAAAGTAATGATGGGATCAATCATTCCGGGCCGATTATAAAAGCAATATTTACAAGAATTCTTGGATTGATTTTGGAGCTTTTTATAGACATATTCAAACTGGATCAAGCCGATACCAACGATGCATACCAATACCAAACAAACCAATATTGAGATACGACAATTTTTACACTCACAAAACACAAATCAAACTAAGTTAATACCATATAATGACAATTTTTATATAGACGAGGTACGTGGTAAGAGTGCCGAAGAGTTTTAGTGATTTTAGTTTTGCATTTAAGTAATGATCTTTATAGAAGCTGTGCTTGCCAAATTTCTACACGTATTTATTGTAAAGATATAAAGCAAACATGACAAAAATATTCCATTTTAAATAGACAAACTAAATAAAAAGTGTTCAATATTATACTAGGATTCAATTTATTAAATACTGGTAGAAAGTTAATGCTAACTATATACAAAAAGTATTATACCATAGTTTAATAATGTAATCTCTGAGCTGCTGTGTGATGCAGCATTGTGTAACGTCCTTCGCTAGGCGTTGGCGGAGGTGGTGGCGGTGGCGCCAACATATGAGCCATTGCCGCCATGCCCATTTGAGTGGCAGGATTGGGAGGACCCAGGTGGTGCAGTGCATCATGGTGATGCATAGCTGTGGTTGGACCCGTACCAGCGGGATGATGGTGGTGGTAGTGATGTGACATGGGAGGGGCAGGAGGCAGTGGAAGATTCAAGAGGTTATTATTAACCGCATGTGTTCGGAAGTGCAAGCTGAGACTGTCCGCCGTTTCGAAAGCCTTGTCGCAATCCGGACACTTGAAGTGAGCGTGATCAAGTGTGTCCAAACCTACAGGATCCGTGTCGATAGGCTCGTCATCATCGTCGTCCACTATGTCATGATTCGTGCTGGATTCTAAAGGATGCAGTTTTAGTTTGTGGGATCGCATATCCCGTCGCCTGCTGAAGGCTTTCCCACAGACATCGCAATGATGGTTTTTTATTCCCGTATGAGTGATCATATGCTTGGAAAGATCCCCAGCCGTATAGAAACCTTTTTGGCATAACGAGCATATCTGATCCCTCACTCCCAAGTGGATCTTCTGGTGAGCTTGAAAGTTCCCCAGTGCTGAGAACTGCTTGGAGCATATCTCACATTGGAAGGGTTTATCCCCCGTATGGGTTCTTTCGTGAACCTTCAAGTTATACTTCTGGGCAAAGCGTTGAATGCAATAGCTGCACTGATACGGTTTTTCTCCCGTATGAGTTCTGATATGCTGGGTCAGTTGGGCTATGCACTTAAAGCTTTTGTGACATTCGTAGCAGGTGTGGGGCATCTTAGGCACTGGTTTTGGACCCCTTTTCTTGTGCTCTTCTGGTGGCTTTCTCTGATAGCGGGAACGTCTTTTACTGACTTTGGTATCCACCGGTTCCTCGTCATCACTGTCTCGCTGAGGTATGGATTGCTTCTCCAAGACAAAGTCCGTGTTTGTGGCCGCATCCTGCCGCCAGGATTCCAGGATGCCCAGATATTGTCGCAGACGGAGATCGCTGTTTTCGCACTCTTGTTTGAAGTGGAATGCAACTCCCAGACGGTAAATGCAGTTATTGCAGATCACCGAAGGTAAACCATCTGTTTTATAAACCTAAAAAACATTTACATATGTATGTTTTACAATTTGTTTTTGTTTCTGCATTTTAAGCCTACCCTAATTTTGGCACACTGCATCAGCATTACGGAGGGCATCATCGCAAAATCTGTACTATATATCGAAGTTAATGGTCCTGGTGTGCCTTCTTCTAAACAGACGCGGCATATTTTGTTTATATTATAATCCATTTTTTATTTGTTTATTACAAGATAAAGAATTTGTTATATTTCTTATCATACAGCTGTTTATTACCAGGGCTGTTGTAATGAACTTCTGTCGATAACAATATCGATAACTAAACTTACAGTAAAGCTTTCGTTATCAAATTTCAATTACTAGCTGCATTGAGTTTATATTGCATTAATTTTTTCTACAGCTCATAGTCATTTGATTTTACAGGAATATCATAATCAAAATTTCTGTAACTTAAATAAAAATAGTTCCTTCTATTTTTGGCTATGGAAGAAACACTGTATCACGTAGTCAGGGATGCACTGATACCAGCAGTGGCTGTTTAGGAAAGGTATGACCTTATTTCGGTCAGCGCTGACGTGACAGTTGATTTGTTTGATTAAAATAAATATAAGAAATTAGATAAATAGGTATTCAATTAAAGATAAATCAATCAATCAAAGAAGGCGCCAGAAATCAGAGCTTCAAACGCCATCGAGGAAATCAGCCAAAAGGAGCGCAGCGTCGGAGGCCAAGAGGTGAAATTGGGAGTGAAATTTCGTGGTTTTGGAAGCTGCAGAAGCGCCCTCCCCCCACGGCAGCCCCCTAGGCAACTACAGCACCCCCCCACAAGATGCTGTGTATACAATATTAGCGATTATTGAAAGCACACGCACATACAGCACCTGGCGAAACGTTGTTGGCAGGAGGAGAAGAAGGCGGAGAAAAGCAGGAGGCGGCGGAACAGGCGGAGAAGGTGGCAGAGAAAGAAGCAGACCAGCCGAGAAGCAGGCAGAGCGGTAGCGGCAGTGGCGCAGCGCATGTGCCGGCATCCGAAAAACACTATTTAACATTTAAGCTTTTGTAAACAATTGGCTGGACCGGCGACCAAGGTCAAATACACAACGAAAGTTGGCGATTGGTTCTGTTGAGTTATAGTCGAGTGCCCGCCAGTATTCCTGTGCAGTTTGCAATGGCAGCAACTAAAGAGGAGGAGACGGAAAGCTCGCACTCCCAGCTGTTGTCCAACGGAAACCCTACCACAAATGGGATTCAGAAGAGAGCCGGAAAGGTGGAAGCAGAAGCGGCACAAGCGGATGGAGCAGATGGAAGATCCCAAGGAGTATATGCAGGTTTAGGCATAGATTCAAAAGGACCTCCCACAACCGGAACCTTTATGAAATTGAAAACCTATCTCCTAGCTCTGCGTCCCTGGTCGCTGTCAGCTAGTTTGGTGCCCACGCTCCTCGGATCGGCACTCGCCTACCGGTCCCAGTGGTCGGCGGAGTTCTCGTTGGCCACCTTCTTCCTCACCGCCTTTACAGTCGTCACAGTCCACTGCGCCGGCAATGTGGTTAACACCTACTTCGACTTCATCAAGGGCATTGACAAGCAAAAAGCCGACGACCGCACCCTGGTGGATCACATTCTTACCAAGGATGAGGTAAGTGCCTCCAGCAGGTGATCGGTATTAGCTTCAATAGGGTGGGTTCGTAATTCGTGGAACTTTTCAAAAAAATACATAGAAAAATTTCGTTGAATTCCAAAAACGACACACCCTTGTGGGGATTTAATTGCAAAAATTTAATTTTGATTTCTTTGAATTCTTTTTTCAAAAACAATTTATATATTTTGTTTCAAAAATACTTGCAAGTTTATTGAACTAAACTGAAACATGAATTGCACCTTGAAGGTTGCATTCTATTAAAATTACAATATATTTTGGAAATAAAAACGTTTCTATTGCCCGCTGGTTTCTTTAGAAAATAATTTTATGGACCCTGGTGTTTTGAATTTAAAATATTTTCGGCAATTATCACTCTACTAATTAGTAAGAAGGCCACAATAAATCAAGACAATGATTAATTAAATAACAAACAGACATATAAACTTTATGGAATTTAAAGAAACTTTAAAAATTAAATAAATTTTTATTTCTAGGTGGTGTCACTGGGTGCCATTCTCTATATGGCCGGTTGCGGTGGATTCGTTCTGCTGGCGGTGCTCAGTCCAGCGAAAATGGAACACCTGGCGCTGATCTACTTCGGCGGACTATCTTCGAGCTTTCTGTACACTGGCGGCATTGGTTTCAAGTATATCGCCCTGGGCGATCTGGTGATCCTGGTACTGTTCGGACCCATTTCAGTGCTTTTTGCTTTTATGTCGCAAACGGGCCATGTTGACTGGACGACGATGGGCTATGCCATCCCGTTGGCCCTCAACACGGAGGCCATATTGCACAGCAATAACACACGAGATGCGGAAAACGATCGACGAGCCGGAATCGTAACGCTGGCCATTTTGATAGGACGCACTGCCTCGCACGTTTTATACGCCATGCTGCTATTTGCACCCTACTCGCTGTTCTTCATCTTCGGGTTGAAGTACTCTCTGTGGTTCCTGCTGCCACTGGTCACCCTGCCGCAGGCATTTCAAATCGAAAAGCGATTCCGGAACGAGCAGACAATGCACCTGGTGCCTCGGCAAACAGCCAAGCTGAACTTTTTCTTCGGCATCCTATACATTGTGGCCTGCTGTTGTGCAACCCAGTTGCCCACGTTTGGATTTAGGAAACATTGAATCGCTGGCCAAACAGAGGCAAAGTAATCAGAGAATCGGAGAAGAAACTGCTGCAACGTTTTTAGGGAATTTCATTAGTTTTTAGTCAGTGTGTCAGCGTGTGTAGCGAGATTCTGCAGTCCTTGTCAATTTTCCCACAAGTTGCACAATTTTCTAATGCCTGCTAGTCGCCCGTTAGTGTCTGAATCTTTGAACTGAACATATCCTAGCCCCTGTAGGAGGGCCATTCTTCTGACAAAGGATCTATGGAGGAAAGATAAGCCATTTTGTAATGGAGTTTAATCAAGATTACTATTTATTTTCAACTTTGAGATGATTTTAAATCAAAACGTATTGTGCTTCCATGACAAAATGTCTTATAGTTGTCCAAAGATCATACTCCCCCCATACTCCCTTTTTATTTATTGTATCCATCGTCACAACAATCTCTAATCTTAATCCAATCGTAATCAATAATCATACTCTTCCTCTCGCGCGTTGCGAATTACGGACCAAGAATGTGTTAAATAACCGGTAATAGCTAATGCAGACCCAAATTCAATATATAGTATATATATATTCCAACAAAAATATATATATCATACGTTATCCCACATTCATTAGGGTGCAATTACTTAAGTTTTCGCGAATCAAAATGCAGATTTACTTTATATATATATATATAGAAGTGCTTTGAAAGTTTTTATTTGGCAATAAGCTGGCTTGCTTTTTGTGTAATGATTGTTAGAGTTTTTACATAAAATATATATATACACATACATATATGCATAAATACATATATTTATATACACATCTAGATCATGTAAGCCCAGTGGCCGGTTCAAGAGTGAGAATATCAAACAGAACACAAATTTAAATTTTTAAAAAAAATGAGGAATTACTACGTATATAGGTAGAGACGATGTCAAGGATCAGAAGGAGCCAACCAATTGTTTTCCATTAAAAAAAAAAAATAGCATATATGCATATAAACAAATAGCTTTAAAATAACAACAAGAGATGGAGGAGGAGACAAGGCCCATTTGCATTCAAAATCCATTTGTAATATTTTGACGCTAGTTTTCTTTTTTTGTATAATGTATTTGTATTCAAAAAAGATAATTTTTGAAATAATTTGTAAATGTTTGTTCAAATTAGAGATGAGTTTTAGAGTTTGCTTTGGCCTGGATACCGAACTAAGTGGAAACTTTGTAGACTTAAATCAACCACAACAACAATGAACAATAATAATTATAATGATATTGATAATTAAATGTTTAATTAGAGAATGTAAATCATGTCGAACTATTTAATTCTCCCCCCTGGCTACCAGCATTATGTCGTATGGCTTCACTGCTGCTGTGGCACCTTCCAGTGGCTCCTCCTCTGGCATCTGGCCGGGAATGGCCACCATTTTGAAGTTCTGCAGCACGGTGGTGGTGAACATGAACAGATTTTGGCGTCCCAACAAATCCCCCATGCACCGATGTCGCCCGAAACCAAAGGGATTGAAAGCTTCCGGTAGCTTCAGCTGCCCATCGAACAGGAATCTCTCCGGATTGAATGCCTCCGGCTCCGGGAAGTCCACGGGATTGATCAGCATACCCCTGAAACAAGCTATGACCATGGTATCCTTGGGTATCTCGTAGCCGGATAAGCGGGTGTCGCAAACAGCGCGATGGGGGATTCCGAAGGTGTGCAACATAAACATCCTCACCGCCTCCAGGGTAATGGCCTCGCAGTATGGCATCTTTGAGCGATCCCTCGACCATTCGGGAATCCTTTCCAGGCCCACCACCTCCTTGATTTCCTGGTAGGCCTTCTCCTGGATTTCCGGCTGCAGCACCAAGTGCATGAAACAGAAGCCCAGGCTCTTGTTGGTGGTCTCCGAGCCGGCCAGAAACATGTCCAAGCAAATGGCCAGAAGACTCTCATCACTGAACATGCCCTTGGGATCGTTGCCCTCCTCCTGGGCGCGCAGATAGGAGTCCATCAGATCCCTGGGCTCATCGTAGTTCTTGTAGGTCAGTCGATGGAGTTCGATTTCCTTGCTCATGAAGGAGTACAAGTGACGGTGACTCTCCACGAAACCATTGTAGCCGGAGTAGTCCGGAGCAATGAACCGGAGGAGGGGAAAGTGGCTGAAGAGAGCTCCCACCATGTCGATGTTTTTGAAAAGTTCAAAGAACACCTCCAGGAGCTCAGTGATCTCCGGGGAGCCCGGCTCGTACCGCTGGCCACTCAGCATGCACCAGAGGGTGTTCAAGACATATACGCTGGTCAGATCGTGCATCTCAATCCTCGCCTGCCTGCCTCCGGCTTTCTGCACCTGATCCTTCAGGTCCTGGAGCAGGCAAGTGGCCTCGTTGTGAACGATGTCCATCATGCCGCTCCTGGCAAAGCCAAAGTTCTTCAAATGCCGCAGAATGAATCTTCGCTGCTCCACCCACATTTCCCCGTCGGTCAACAGGACACCCAGCCGGGAGTTGAAGGTCCTGAGGCGATAGAATATTCCATCCGGTCTCCCGTCGATATCCTCGTTGGTCATCATCTCGTTAATGGCATCGTTCGTGTAGGCAATCACCACCTTGTCCTTTCCAATCTTGAGGCCAAAGAAGCCATAAGGATTCACATATTGTCTGGCAAGGACATCGATCACTTTGCAGAACATGCCCAGGCGACATCGCAGCTGGGAGACTTGCAGGGCACTGCCCACCACCGGATACCAGCGAGGTCCTGGCGGAAATCTCTTGGGTTTCCGTACTCCGCCAAACACGATTGCGAACAGGGTGGCGCAGAAAATCCAGATGACCGCATAAAACATGTTTCTATCTTGGTGGCTTTCACTTTTTCACCCGGTTACGTAATCTTGGCCAAAGTGGAGTCTTTGATTCGATGCAGTAATCCACGGCTTCCTGGTGATCCAGTCAAGGCTTTGCTCGCACACCCGACGTCCATCCAGATCGACTGAATCCGTTTGCTGGCTGGGATCTGGCTTTTATAGATGCCGCGGGAAAACAGGTGGAAAAGCTTTCGGGCGGAAAAGTTTTCGCAAGAGTTGGGAGTTTTTGGGAAATGGATGCTGGAAAGTGGAGAGTGGTACACTCTCTGGATTGGATGGGTGGAGTCGGTAATGGATCTTGGGGAGTATACTTTGGAGACTTTGGTTAAAGATTTGTTTATTGAAGTCTTTTTTAATGTTGATCTTAAAAGGTGATCTTTCTTTGGCTAAGTTTTTATTTAAAAAGCTTAAATTTTAGAAGATGTTGGATTTTGTTTTAAGATCAAACCTATAAGGAAGGACCTCATATCCTTAAAAGTTAGAATAAATATAGAATATCGGAAAGAAGTTAAAAGAAATATTATGTCAGTCTTCATATCTTAGAAACCTCTTTTTCAAACCTAAAACTGTTTAATTTTTACAGATAAAAGACTATTATTAGAAGCTCTATATATTTTATTGCTATATTTATTATTATTATAGCTATATATAGAAGCTATTTATCATAAAAAGTACAATCCCCTCCAGCAACAATAAGGAACCTTTTAAAAGAAACCATTTCACCTCAAAGACCCACATCTCCACCCGTCTGACCCACTGCCTCGTGGAAATTTCATCAGAGTTTTGATCCCAAGTTGGATCGCCGCTAACCACCAACCGCAATGGTCATGAAAACCACCAAGAAACCACCAAAAATGACCGGATCAGCGGACCACCAAACCACTGGAGACACAGTCCAAAGTCAAGGAAAACTAGTTGCTGATGAAAAATCGCGAAAAGTCAAATAGCAGAAACCCGTTTGCTCCAAATGAAAGGGAAAACAAATGGACAGAGGATGAGGAGGAGGAGGATGGAGGAGGAGGAGGAGGAGGTGCTGCCTGGACAACTCGATTCGATGAGGCTATTATGTCATCGCCGACGCTATAGTCGTTGCGGAAAGCGGTGGGATGGACTTTGTTTTGATGATAACTTCGGTGGTGGTTCCGGTTTCTGGGGATAGCGGCTTGGAACTGGGAGCTTACCGCGTTTTGGGGCGATCAAAGTGGAGCCTGGCATCCAATTTTGTGGCTTTAACATGAGCTCCACTCCGCGAAGATTGCCCATTTGAAGGCTGACATTCAAGCTGTTCGGACCTGACAGGATACCGCGACTTTGCTGCCAAAGGATGGGATTCAGGTGAGAAGATTGTGTTTAAGATGTCAAGGAGCTCCACCCAGGATATGGTTAAGTGTGGGTTGTCTATGATATGGGTCTTTAATTGAAAGATATGGCATTTTAAATAAAAAATTTAATCTATTTCTTAGAGTGATACTACTGGCTGCCACTGGCCTGGGAGCCATGTACATGATGCATCTGCTAGCCCAGGATTGGGTCAAGATCCGGCCCATTCGTGGTATAACCCAGCTGGCCGGGATGGCCGCTCAACCCATTCAAATGGCCATTGCACCCATTCAACAGGCCAGTGCCTCCTTGAACCTCTTCCGAAGTAGAAGATCCGCCATACAGAGCCATGAACTTGGTTGGCTGCGAAAAGCCCAGGATTCCGGAGGAGGCGAAGGTCTTCAAAAGGGCAGAAGAGTAGAAAGACCTCCTCCTGCCATCGACTGGAAGCGAATCCTTTCGAGAGATCCCTTCGAGTGCCTGCAATCTCTCATCTGCCAGTTGATGTCTGGAGCGGAGGAAGAGTCTCCCGAGGCGGAGGTGCTCATGGACTATCTGGAATCTTCCCTAGAAATGGCTCCTGTTAAGATAGGACGGGCTTTCAGTCGAGGACTGGCATTGAGAGGATCTACAGAGCTGTGCTTCAATGAGTATCCTTTCTGCCTATATTCGGCCAAGACCATGATAAGGATTCTGAGATGGTTCAGCGAGGCGGGAGAAGTGGCCTTGGAGGAAGGGAATTAGTCTGTCTATAATTGATAATATTTTAAAATTAAGTTAATAAATTTAAAGCAAGAGAGAGTGAAATGAGGAAGTGAAATTGTTTGTTTATTTTTTGGTAAAAGGTGTGAGTGCGTATGATGACTCTGTTTCGTGTCCAAGTATCCATTTCCAAAACAAGTTTTAGGCCTCCTCCAGGTGGCAATGAAACTAACCAATCATGATTATTGAAAAATTTTATTAATAACAATAAATTTTTCATTGTAGTTCAGTATGCAAAAATATTCATATACATTCTATATTACAAATGATGTTTCATAATTAAAAACGGAATGAAATCAAGACCTCAAAGCGATTATCTTCTATATGTATATATATTTGAGATTTGGGGAGATTTGGGGTTTTGTTGCGTTCAATAACAAATGAGCGAGCGATAGTTTAGTTAATAATATTAAGCTTTCAAAGCTCACAACATAAATAAGATTGTTTTGTTTTTCATTTTTGTACATAAACAAGTCAAAGATAAATATTAAAAGTGAGTAAAAAGTGAGTTAGAGAGCGTTTGTGCACTATGGGAGATTCTCGCATTGATTTGAGCATAAAAATAATAAATAAATAAAATATATGAAATAAATTCAAAAAGTTAAATAGCACTTTAGGCCAGTGGAGATGTCTTGCCACTCAGCGTAATGCTGGTCACATCCTTGACAATCATTTCGGCCACCTGCCAAGCAATCTCCTCCTGCACATTGTCCTCTGGGAGATTCACCAGCTTTCTCATCGCATTCTTGATCCTATTACCGCTGACGCTCAGCGACCAGGGTTGCGATTTGTGAGCCACTGCATCCACGGCCTCAAAGTCCCGCTCGTAACGTCCCAAAGAGTTTACAAAACCGAATTTCAGTGCCCCACTGGGACGTTGCCACAACAGCTGTGGATTTGTCAGCTGCCTGGAATCGATGTTTAGGTTGCCACTCGGCTGGTTAATGGATGCTTTCGACGGCAGCTGGTCCATCGAGGCCAGCAGGGTGTTGTGCTGCGAGATGTGCGTGCAATCCGACATTGATAAAGCCTTGCGGTGGCGCTGTTGGGCATTTGCCGATTTCCCAGTCCTCCGTAGACTTAGCTTGTGCTGAATGTTCGAGTTTGTTGTGGATGTTTCTGCAAAATCGGGATATTATTATAGAATATCATAATAATGAATATAAAGTGCCACCTACCCCTTTTAGCTTTCAGTTCGTTGACATAGTTATCAAAGATGTGAGATTTTAGGAAGTCTGTAAAGTATTTCTGTTCCAGATACTTTGCCGTGACCAAGAGAGCCAAGTCAAAGGCCTGCCACAGCTCGCCAGGAGCACAGATGGCCTGTTCGACCCTCAATCGCAGCTTCTGCGACATCCAGAGCCGGCAGTCGGACTGCAGCGAGAAGTATCTGTCGTATATGATCATCGCGTCGCTCTGGGCTGCCTTACGATCCTCCTCACTTTCCTCGCAAGCGAAACTCTTCCGAAAATTAATGCCTGTAATCCAGAATTCCAGGCATTCGCGCTCCTGTCGCTGCTCCAGGTACTCGGTAAAGTAGAATAAAGCCAGTTCGCTGTAGAGGACATCGTAGATGTTTATGGAGCCACCTTCAATCAACTCCAAGCAGTAGGTGGAATAGTATCCACTCTGTAGAAATCCCTGTACGTGGTCTCGCTCCAATTGCTCCAGCACATACTCCCTCGCCTCGTCGAAGCAGCTGGCTGGGATGGGGCTGCTGGGCTGGGCCTTGTCCCGGCCACACAGTAGAAGTGATATGTGAGCGAGAATAACAATGGGAAGCTCCACCTGCAGGGCGGCATTTACTATCAGATATTTTTGATAGATGGCGATAGCATCGCTGACACTGGCCCGGGATAGTTCTGTTCCGGATCCATACTTCTGTCTATTGATCTGTTTATTAGTCTCTGCATAAATCCGACTCTTCTCGTCGTCGGTAAGAGGATTGCGCATAGAAAGATCGCACAGCGTCTTTAGTTCAGGTACATCGTTGTCATCTTTGTTCGGCGAAGATTGTTCCGTCTTCTTGGTAATCTCCTCCTGGGGTGACTCTTTTTCTTGTGTGAGCGCCGCTCTCTTGAAATTCTCAATGTCCAGGTAGAACTTAATTAAAGGCAGGGCATGCCGTGTGTCCAGATACTGCACAAAGTAACTAAGGCAGTTGGGTTCACTCACAATAGAAGCCAGATTCATCGAAAGCCGCGAATTGTATGTAAAAATGTCTGCAAAAAGAGAAATTCTTAAATAAGCAGTATGAAATGGAGGTGTTAATTATTGAAAGAAGATGTAGCCACAAAAAAAAAAAAACCCAAAGAAGATAAGAACGAGTCCCATAATTAAACCCCAATCATCGATGTCATTAGTGACATGGAAAGCTAAACTTTGGACTCCACTCCATCGCAGAACCTTTTTTGTATAATTCGGCACATTCCATAAAGAATACCGGGAATACTTATATATATACATTATGACTTTCAGTATAATAATTGAATTATCGGACGTGGGAAGACACACTACATACATGACAAGGTGCGAACGTGATTGGCAATAATATGAATTATAATTACCATCGTGGCTGCAAAGGCTGATGCCATCGGAGGGCCCACCTCCCACTCCCATACCCCCGCCCCCAACTGAACCATCCTCCTCCGCTTCGAGGAACACTTCATCACAGAAACTGGTTGTGGAGCGCAACGAGTGACGTTTTTGCGACACCGCTCCATCGGTCGCATCGACGTCAACACCGTCGGGTGTGGCGGCACAGGTGGCAGCGGCATCCGTGGCATCTTGGCTGCTGCGGCGGCGGCCTGTAATAAATCATTCAGAGAATTCGTGTCACTAACTTAATAATAAAGAAATACGCAAAAGAGGTGGTGAGGGGTGGTTGGGTGAAAATAGTTGCGGAAAGTTTAGCCACTTACTCGTTTGCCTCTTTATGTATTTTAACATCTTTACATTCTATGGCTTTGGGTGGCTTCGGAAAGTCGGTGACTGGATCAATTGTGCTCTTAAATTGCTTATACTTTAAGATTCAAGCCGAAATTGTCCAAGTTTCATACAAATATTATGAAAATGGTTTTCTGTGTGGCAGTATCTAAAAAATACCAACATTCCAGGGTATCACAAAGAAAACAGTGCTGCCAAATTCAAAAATTGTAATTTAAATTATAAAACTTAAAAGTAAAATACAAAGAATTAATTACAATAAAAATGGATAGTAAATTACAATAATAAAAATCTAACAAAAAACATTCAAAAGCCTGAAAAAGACAATAAAATATGAAAAACTATAATCCTTTAATACTGTGACGATTTTTGTCAACTTAGGTAGCAGAATCTTCTAGTATTTCAACAAACATGTCAAAAAAAAGTTTAGAAAAAGGAAAACACCTTTTCCTTTTGCAATAAAGAATTGAAAACACCTTATTTTTATACCCGAAAATGAGAAATTGGCATCACTCGCAACTTATTAATGTGACCGCATATCATTTTCACGTTATAGTGTGGTCAGCCGGTGTTACCGATGTTTTGAAAATCTCTAAATACCTACCCATCTCTAATTCCTTCTTTTTGTGCCGCTCAAGAAAACAAGATGGTAAGCACCCTTTTTGCTTTCGTAAAATCGTCGAGCATCGGCTTTAATAATGGATATCTTACGGAAAAGAGAATGCGATTGCACAAAGTGCATTTCGGACTTTGCTTTAAGTGAAAAATTTAGTGTCGAGATGTGCTCCGAGTGGGTTTTATTCAGCTACGAAAATTTCCCGTTTGTGACTTGTAAAATTGACAAAAATTACTAACTAATTGTGTGTTTGTTGTGTCGCCCCATAGGTGAACGTACCAAAACAACGTCGCACTTTCTGCAAGAAGTGCAAGGTCCACAAGCTGCACAAGGTAACGCAGTACAAGAAGTCCAAGGAGCGCAAGGGTGCTCAGGGCAGGAGACGTTACGACAGGAAGCAGCAGGGTTTCGGAGGTCAGACCAAGCCCATCTTCAGGAAGAAGGTAAGATTTTTGATTCTGTTGGAAAGGAGTTATTGTAAAATATCACCCGGTGATCGGGATCTTGAGATATGAGATCTTCTTCCTTGGGATATTTCCCACTCCAAGATAAGATAATATCAGATGCCTACAAAGATTTGAGGCTATATCTGATCTCTAGATCTTTGGAAATCGGATAATGGCACTTAGTAGAACCAAATTGCTGCGCCCAACGGGCATTCGGCTTTTCGGCGGGAACAAACTGTGCCAGATTAAAACTGTTATTGCATTGGTGCGGCCGCGAAGGCAGCGTTGTGGATGCCACAGACACAACGCCTCACCTGCAACTTCAGACACCTCATTACCATCTAAGCATATATATTATTCCTAGAGTAATATATACTAATCGGTATAATCTCTTTTCGATTTTCAGGCTAAGACCACCAAGAAAATTGTGCTGCGTATGGAGTGCACTGAGTGCAAGTACCGCAAGCAGACTCCCCTGAAGCGTTGCAAGCACTTCGAGCTGGGAGGAGACAAGAAGCGCAAGGGACAGATGATCCAGTTCTAGGCTCCTCGTTCCAACCGGAAATTCTTTTTCTAACGAAGTGTTTTTAAGTTGTTTTCTTTCACCCGCCACCACACGGCGGGAAATAAAACAAATTAAATTGTAGACGTAAGCTGTACAAAATGTTTATTTCCAAAAAACAAAAAAAGGTAGCAACAAGTGCTATATCACAATGTGGCAGTCGGTTACTCAAGGATACCGTCAGCGAGGATAAGGTCGGGAGTTCTGTAAAATGGATACATTAATCTTATCCTTTTGGATGACCGGATTAGGAGGATCTTACTCTAGTATCCTGGGCTCCAGGCCTTCGGATTGCATTTTGATTTTAACAGCTGGCGCAGGCACTCCTACATGCAGCATCTTAAAGAACTTTCTGTATCGCGCATCCTCGCAAGCTCGCACACCAACAGGTTCCGAAGGGAATGGAATTTCCGCTTCGGGATCAGCCTCTCCGGTGGATTGGGGTTTCGGATCACTGGCTTGTGCTTCCTCCGGGGGTACACCTTCTTGTGCAGTTTGCTCGGTGGGTATGGAGGCCAGCTTTGCCTCCAGAATTAGGAGGGATGCTTCGGTTTTCTGGAGCTGCCTCTCCATCTGCACAAACTTGGTTTCGCATCCCAAAGCGAATTCGTTGAGGAAGGTGCAGGTGCTGACCAGAAAGTGGTTGACAAAGGCCAGGATGCGCTTTTGGTTGAGAGGCGGTATCTAAAAAAATATAAATTCCTGCAGGTGTCTATAATCTGATAAAATACTCCTTTTACCTCTGATTTATCAATATCTCCTACAATATTTTCCATAATTTTAATGTTTTTATCATCTGCCCTATAAGAGCTTTTAGTGTGACCAAATGCCGTATATGCCATTAGGTCTAAGAATTAGACCACGCATATATGAGCTAGTTGATCTAAAAATTCAATGACAGTTGAAGTTAAAGGCGGGTTTTTTGAAATTTAAACTGATATTTTTACTCCCTTTAATTAAAAAAAAAGAACAACTTTAACGTTCTGTTTAAATATTTTATTTATTTACTTTATTATATCTTAACATGAAATGTGAATGGTATTTCTTCGAGTATTTTTTTTACTTCATCGATTTGTTTATAAAAGTATCGTTATTTTCAGTTAATATGCAATCTTGTTTTTAACTTTATATGTATGTATAAACTTATGTGCTGGGTGTGTTCTGTTCCTTTAGGATCTGGGACCTTTCCTATATGCTCAAATCTACAATGAACTTTTATTACGACTTAGTTGAGTAATGCTTAGCGTTTTCTCCTTGGCCTAGTCAAATTCCATTCTCAATTTATGTTTTTATATTTTGTATTTAATTGTTATTTTATATATTTTATTTTTTTTATTACATTTCAGCTCCCTTCTTCTGGCATGCAAATAAATTACAATATTTATGTGGGAGATTCTTGTCATTTGTGAAAAGAAACTCTTGCATTTTGCTGGTGTTTTTTCCTTTTATTACGGCAGTGGATTTTGTAAACGGTTCGAAAAACAAAAAATATTCGAGTTGTGTGCAATACGTTTGCCCGGTTTGCTTTGCAAAATTTCGAAAGAAAAACTGAAAAATTTCCAAAACCCAAAAAATGCTGCCAGCAGCGAAAAACTTTTCCAAAAAAGAAAAGGCAACCGATTTTTTTTGGCGTTTCATGTTTCATGTTTTCCGTTGCAAACGAGAGCCAGCTGCAAGTCTACAACGATTTTCTTTTAATTTTTGCTGGAGGAGATTCTAAAAAAAAAAAAAATGTTTGGAAAATTGGAAAATCAAAAGGCAGGCGCAAGTCACACAGATTCATTTTGTAAAACTTTATTTAAAATAAAAATACATGGTAATAAAAATCAAAAATTTACAATTAAAATTAGAAATCAATAGATTTATGTATAGGTAAATGTATATATCTGCTACATAACTGTGTTTTTGTTTTTGTTTTACTTGTGGAGGTTAGAAGACCGATCTATATATAGATCTAGGTATCGATCATAACCATCCACTTCAACTATTTATCAACGCAATCTTCATTATCGGCTGAACCATCCAGAAGGTGATTCCGGTTTTTCGATCATAACAACTAAGGTGTGTAAATTAAAATACATAATTAAAATAATAAAAAAAGAGGATTTGCTTGGTGTGTACACTTTTTTTTTGATTCTGATTCATCGGTTTCGAATATCAACTTTAGCTTGTATATATATATATATATATATATATAGATGTATATATGTGTTTGTGTGGAGAGTGTTGGTGAAAGGCTTCACATAATTATAATAATTGGTAATACTAAAAACTAATATTGAGTTGCTCGGCTTTCACGTTCAAGTCACATATATTTTTTTTTTATATCTGATCATCCAACGTAGATTTAATTGATTAAAATTACGAGTACGCATTCATCGATAAGCGAATCTAATTTTATATTCAACTACGAAATCCATTGGATCGGCGATTGGCGCCAACATTTGTTTTTTTTTTTTAGTTTTCCATCTTTTTAATACTAGGCATAAATTAAATAAATAGCTTAGCATACGGTTTTTATAGCTTGCCTGCAATTATTATTATTTATATCTGCCATTTGCACACCAATCTCGTGGTTCGTTCATCAATCATCAAGCATTGCGTTACTCCCCTTTTTTTTTTTTAAATGACAATTAAAAATTATATAAGCTTTTTGTTGTTTTGCACTTAAAAGTTAGTAAAGTTTTGCTTCAGTTTCACATCGCTACTCGAAAATAAATATATATAAGCCCGCCTAATTCTTGCTCTTCTGCCATCATCTCTAATTAATGTTAATTTACAACTTTTTCTCGCCCTTCCGCTAATATGGAGTCGGGGGTTACATGGTTATTATGCATTATGTTTGCTTTTTTTTTTTTGCTTAATCTATAGAATTTGATCGTCTACATAGTTACGTAAGTTTTATCATTCAATTTTTATTCCTGCCGCAGGACATCCGGCCTCATGCAGGAGGAGCACTTTCACAGCGAGGGTTCATCTACCAGTTACCATCAGCCAGGCGATCTACTGTAGGGATTTATTTATTTTTTTTTGCCATGGGCACTGATTAAGTATATATGTTATGTAGTGTATATATATATGGGGTGTATAATTTGTCGTTTTTTGTATATATATAAAAATGTACAGGAAGTCGAGCTGATTTACAGGCAAATATATCTGAACAATCGCTGTGCAAGTGCCAGGAAAATTAATAATTATTAAAAAAAGATAAATCGATTTTGTGTAAAAGATTTTACAACAAAATCAAGATTCTTTTTTTTTGTTTTTGTTTTTGCGGCTACGGTGTTGTTGTTGTAAGTTTTATTGATGTGTTGCACTTATTTTGAGGCTATATATGCTGCACAATATGCATTGCTTCATAGTTTACTTTCCTAGATTACACGTATTATCTCCTACTTGACTTTCTCAAAATGCCGTTTTGAATTTATTTTTTGTATTTTTTTTTTAAGGGTTTTTTAAGGTTTTAGTTTTGCTTTCTTCCCCGCTTGCGTTTATGTATGGATAATTTGTTGTTGTTCTCTCGGTTCGAAGTATAATTAGATTTAAATGTATAGTATATATATATAATGTATGTATAATTATTTAACTTGAACTCGTAATCGCTTAGCTGTGAGCTGCTGGCTGTGGATACTGCATCCTTGCAGAGTTCGCACACACACGGGATACTCTATTCGGAATTCTCAATTCTTACTATCCGTTGAGTGCGCATAGTGGTGGTGGTGTTGGTGTTGGTGGTGCATGTGATTGTGGTTGTGGCTTAGATGATCCTTAGACAAACACCTTGGCTAGGCCATCAGCCCCAGCACTGGCGATATACGGCTTGGTGGCATGGAAGGCCACATCGAATATACTTTCGTCGAACTTTTTGCGATGCGCTGTTATTTCCTGCACGCACGTTTTATTGTCCAGGTTCCACAGCCGTATCGAGCAGTCATGTGAGCCGGATAACAAATACAGACCATGCGCATCCACGGCCAATGAGGTTACTGGCTCCAAATGCGCCACCATCGAATGGATAAGTGTGCCGGAGGTGTTGTCCCAGAAGCGAATGTGACGATCCTCGTGGGCCGTAATCGTAATCGGGAGTGTCGGATGCGATACCACCTTGTTGATGAACTTCCCCGTGTTGCCGGACATCTCTTGCGCCGCCTCCAGCCGCACCACTTGCTTGCCCGTCTCTGTATCGTAGACGATGCAGTGTGCACTGTTGTACGCCACCACAATGTGATCCACCTCGTTCCGCACAAAGTCCACCGACGAGGGCGCACCCTCGGCCTCCGATGCCAAGTAGGTGCGGAGCAGTGGCTCTTTGTTGAACGGCGACCACAGCTTGACAGTGCCATCCGCCGAGCAGGACACAATGTTGCTCTGCATCGTGGTCAGGCCCCACACGGCGTCTGTGTGACCCTCGAGGGTGCCGGAGTGCACGTTCGGTTCGTAACAGTCGTACGGATCAATGTTCGGCGATGGCAGCTGCCAGCATTCAATGTTGCCATCCAATCCACCTGAGTAGCATGTCTCCCGCTGGGCGACATGCCTAAACACAAAACTGGGCCAGTGTGTGCCCGGAACGTGTATAGCGGTTCCACGTCCAAACTGGCTGACTTCTTGGCCTGTACGGTTTTCTGCAGATTCCACAATTTAAGCGTATGATCCTCGGAGGCGGTGATCAGGACCGGCTCCTCCGGATGGAAAATCAATGAGCGTACACCGTCAAAGTGAGAGCGAAGCGTGTATTTGGCGTTCCAGGTCTTGCGGTAACCAGCACCGCCGGCACTGCCGCCAGTTCCGTCCTTGGAGTTTGTGTCGTAAGCTCCGTCAGATTCATTATTGACCGTTAGCTGGGCCAGTTCGCCCAATCCCAGGGAGCCGTCTACCTCTGCGGGAAGATTAACAAATACTATTATTATTACATAATTATTATGATGATCTGTAGAGTCGTAAAGGGAGTCAGTCCTCTTAAATTTTGAGTCTTTATTGCCAATAGAAGAGGGGGAGGACTCCCTTTATGGCTTCTAACCAGATTTGAGAAACAAAAGCAAGTCAGATCCATCGCAAAGCACCTTCGTTCATAAGATTCATTTCGTTCAAGAGCTGCTCTCCCACCTCGGCCTCAAGATCTACACGAGCGTAGCAGAAGGTGGTTGCCAATGAAACAAAAGCAGAAACAAAAATCATAAGACAATAAGCCAGAAGACAGAAGCTACAGCTACAAGGACATTTTTGGGAGCTGGAGCTGGAGCTGGGAAGCTGGAGCAAACAATCGAATTCAATTGGATCCATATATATACTAATATATGGCTAAGATTTGGAAAACATAAAAAAACCAAAATGCGTGATTGCGAGGCGGGCCCATGCGGGAAGAGGGCTATCATTGGGATAGTAACGGGTTAAGAACCTACCTTCGGTTAGCATATCCTTGCCAGACTTGGCCCTTTTGGCCATTTTAACGTCGGTGTCATCATTGTCGGTTGCCACCATTTCCAGGTCGTCGGATATTTCGTCGTCGTCGGACATCTCGTTGGGGCCCAGGAACTCAAAGTTCGCCATCACAGCCGCCTCGGTGTCCACGATGATCTCGTCGATCGATTGTTGCACTTTTTTAGCGGGAGTATGACGGCCTAATGTGAGCAAATTATTCAAATCTCCCAACAGGGGGTCATTCAACACAATCGCCTACCTTCTGTCTCCGAGGCGCGTTTGTTGCTCTCGTTTCCATTGATGTTCGGGTTAAGGTTCTCGCCACCGGTCCCACTGCCGCCACCCAAACCGCCCAGTCCACCGCCGCTGCCATCGTGCTCGGCATTGTTATTCAGCCCGAGGATCGAGCGCACCCGATTGGAGCGTACATCGATGATGTTGTCTGTATAGCCGATCTCGGCCAGATACTGGCGCAGCATTTGTCGTCCTTGTCGCCACGTGGTGTTTGAAACACTGCTGTATGGTACCTCCGAATCGGTGGCCACCTCGCCGGCCAATGCTGCATCCTCGTTGGAGGGCTTGAACTCGTTCAGTTGCGGCGGATCGGTGCCGTATTTGAGCCGATAGAATTTGGCCCGCTCCTGACGCAGGGCGTACTCCAGCATTTTGATGCGTCGCGTCAGGTCCGATTTGAGGCTTTCCAAGCACTTGCGTTCGCCCAGGAGCATTGCGATGCGGGCCTGTAAAGAAAAGGGAGATTTTTTTAAGACCAGTTACTAGTTTAAAATATAATTTACTTAATTTGTGTAATAAATCCCCAATGGAAACTATAGAAACTCAATTAGTATCGCTAGTTAAAGCTCTCCCATATGGCTTTCCCAACGTTGCAATCCAGTTGCGTAGCGGGCCATAATTGACGCTCCGCTGCGTCAACAACAACAACAAAAAAAAACAATTAAATTCAATTCATTATAAAAAAAAAAGAAAATTAAAATTACATGTTGGCCCAATTAGCTGGGGGATGGGGAGGATCTAAGCTTTGTTGTTGTTGTTGTCGATTTAAACGAAATGCGTAAAAAATTGCAATGTATAGACAGCCCCGCTACCACCCATTTCATGTTCATTCACGAAGCGTAGCAACAGACTGCGCAATTTGGTAGGGTGGACCCGAAAGTGGGTGGCCCTGCACCTGACCTGACACAGTGGCGGGTAGCAAGGTGCGTAAAGCAATGAAAGTTTTCCTTTTGTGTTTTCCTAGTTCTCCCTAGCAGCCCATGACAACGCCCCCAATACAATCAAGGGAGAAGTGGGTGGTAACTACAGTGATGGTCAGAAAAATAAATACAGTAGGGGTGAAAAATAAATAAGAATAAGTTTATTATTTATTCAAGATTTTGTTTGGAAAAAGTACTATAACTATCCTATAATTTGATTTATAATATTTATGAGTAGTTCCTATTTTTCTGCCCTCGCCTGTCTTTAGCAAACGCATATCCGCTGAATGAGTGGAGCCCAGAACCAAAACTAACAACAACACAGAGATATAGAGAGAGAGGAAGAGAGAGCACAAACTAGAGAGGAGAGAAAAGTGGGATACTTTGTGCTGGTTTTGTTAATGGAAACATGTTATGCATTTAAATTACAGCTCAATGGCATTTCGTTTGGCTCCTTAAGCTGGCTAATTAGAAGCCGCGCTATGCCGGATATTCCAAATAAATAATGGCATGGCCCGAAGAGGTGGCTAGCACCTTACACATGCAACTAGTTTTCACGAAAATGCCATGACAAGTGCGCATTTGTTACTTAATGGCCCTGAAGATTTATAATTCTCGGCGAATCACATCCATGGAATAAGGTCCCTTCTATTACATAATGTTTATAAATAGAAATATTAATATGAAATAGTTTGCTTTTTCTACAAATTGCATTCCCACACACAGCCTTTCAGCTTTCAGAGAGAAATGATTGAAAATTTATTAGCAGCTGTCGCGTCATTTCTTGATGGCAGTGTTGGGGGGCGGGGGGACTATAAGTGTTAATTGAATGGTACAGTGGGACCTAAAAGTTTATTTACCAACTACTCAGTTAGATGCGCGAGTTAGACCCCACTGTACTTGGTAATTGCCTGACAGACCAGACCAGCCATACAGCAGGAAAAGCCGGCCCAGTAGGAGGAAGTGGAAGTGGATGCATTCACAAGAAGAAGAAGAAACCGTCGTTCTGTGAGACAAGGACGTCGACACTGACACACAAAAATATGTGCACGACATGGACGGAAATAGAAGCGGGCTTGGAAAGGGAGCGGGAATAGTGTTCTTCCTCCCCCCCCTCGCACGAAACTAAAATGGCGTCCACTGTGGGTTGTTGCTACTTCTGCCCACTCGAACTTGTGGTACGTTTTTGGCCAAAATGGCAAACAAGGCGAACAGGTTCATAAATCCCGGCCCGGACCGGCGACAAATGTTAACTCGTTTTTTCTTGTTGTATTTTAGCCATTTTCCAGTTCGCGGCAGAGATGCAAAGTGTGTGAGTGCGAGAGAGATTTGAATGTCACGTTGCATTTGGAGCGTAACGGAATGTCCGGAGGCGAGAGATGCCATCGATACCCATAATACGTGTGATTGGAGCGCGTCCCGACCTGGTTGGAAGGTGAAAGCGATAAGACGTTGACACTGATGATAAGGTGGGTAGTACTGCCACCCACCCCCTCCTCGTTTCAGTTACAAGTACATCCATTTTTTTTTGGCTAAAATGCTCTTTGGAGCAGAAACTCGATTACGCCAATTGGTTGCCACGATTCGCTTGCATGCAGACAGCAAAGGCCCTCCTCCACCTCCTGGTGGTGCTCCTTCCTTGCATGTTCATGCATTAGCGCCTCGAAAACAAATCATTGAAATGGAAAGTGGGCCCCCAAGGACCCCAAACCGAACTCCATGGCTAAAAAAATCGAAAATGTCTTATGTAGTAGGGTGCTACTTAAGTTAGTAGACTAAAGTGATTAGTTTAGTTTCTAAAACTAGAGTATAAATAGACTTAAAGGATAACTCACCTGCAATTCGGCCCTGTCCACATCCCATTGTGACCGCTCCAGTTCAAATCGTGACCATTCGTGTTGGATGAAGTGCAATATGCCCGGTATTGTGTATTGGGGCGTTGTTGCCTGCTGATTGTTGGGTCCGCCGCCGCCACCGGCCATACCGTTACCGCCCTCGTCGCCAACGTTTCCCATGCCGGTGACCAAGCCGCCCACATTGGCGTTCTGCCCACCAGCGTTGAGACCGCTGATGCTCAGACCGCCACTGCCGCCGCCTCCTCCGCCGCCCAGGCTGTTGGTTAGAACGCCGCCGATCGAGGAGTTAACACCGCCGAGTACGCCTGCTCCCGCACCGCCAACCGGCTTGTTATTGATGCCAGCGGTGGCTCCCGAGTTGGTGCCCATTGGTTAACGTCGCTCTGTGTGGGTACTTGCTGCTGCTCCTGCTGCTGCGGCTGGTGCTCGTTATCGTTATCGTTTTGGTTCTGCAGCAGCTCCTTGTCCAGCTCCAAATAGTTTTTCTTTTGCCTGGTGCTGCCGTTGCTGTAGCCTAGTGGTGTGCCCTTTGTTTGTTGCTCTCGAACTTGGTTGGTTCCTTGTCGCTGCTGGTCTTCCTTTTAGTCCTGTTTCGATTTTCCCGGGGGGGTTGGGGGGATGGATGGATGGAAAAAAAAAGGCAAAGTTCCGTACATGAGACAAATGAGGTCATTGAATTTTCCGTACACGGGAGTGGAGCAGGGGGAGAAGGGAGGTAGAGCACCAACAGGACACTCGCTCTCGCTCTCTTGGACACCCTGGCTCCCTCTCGCTTGCTCGCTTGCACACTAGCCGCCCTATCTACTATATTCTACTACGCTCTCTCGCACCGGAACCGCCCCCGCTCCGTGCCCTTCACTGCTGCTTTCTCTCGCCCGCTTTCCAACGACTCTCTTTCGGCCTCTCTCTCTCGTTTTACGGTTACAACAACGTCACACGCGCGACCCGCGAACAGAAAAAGGCTAAATTATAGCACAAAAGCCGTAGAAACAGCTGATGTAATGACGGAGTTGGAATTTTCCCGGAGGATACCCGAGTAAGGCGTAATCCGGGATATTCGAAACACGGAAAAATGGCTAGATTTGACGGAGACTGACACTCACCACTGGCACGGATATTTGAATGGCACTAGGAACGAATTTCAAAGACGATTACGGATCTGGGCAAAGAGAGTTCCTGTATTGAGTGTTTGATGTTCTTTTCTTTATTGTTATTATTAAATTTTTTTTGTGTTTTCTTTTCCCCGATTCTATAGCTAGCCCAGGGCAGCGCCTGGGGGATTTAGCTCGCTGGGCAGCCGCTGACAACGCACTCGAACTCTCGAAACCTTTCAATAGCTTCGTCCCGTTTACTTGACAATTTTGTTTACTATTTACAGCTTTTTCCAAGGAAACGTTGTTGCTACCTTTCGTTTTGGGCGAGCAAACTACATATAAATATCGAGACGGCGAGGCGGCGGGGGCTACAAAAGTCCCCAAGCGGCACTGTTTTTGGCCATAGGGCAGTTTTAGCACTGGCAATACGCCTGTTTTTAATTACTAATCAACTAAGACGAAAGGGCCGAATGATAAAAGTCGATTCAATTCGATTTAATTCGGATTTATTTAAGAATCTGAAATAACACAGCCACACCACAGCAGTTCTCTCGCTCGCACTCGCGGCCCGCCTCGCACGGTTGTCTCAAGTCTATATACAAAGAAAAACACACACACACACCAGCACATAGGACTCTACACCGAATATTTTCACTTTGTTGAATTTGGCGTGTGTGGTTTTTGCATTTTGGGCCTTGCGTGGGCCCAAGCCGATCTGCTTCGCTTACTTTGCAATTTACTGCACCGCTTGGCTATATTGCGAGATTTTCCTCTTGATTTTCATTGGTATTTTCACGCGTAATTCTCGTCAGTAAAATAGAGGTGAGAGAGTTAATGTATCGATACCACGAGCTGCGATTCAAGTACCGATATATGGAATGTATTTCGATATATCGATAATTAAGGTATATTTTAAGCACATTTAAAACAGGTTTACCGATCTTGCAAGCGGATTGTACTCGTATGGATTGCAGACTAGAGATATAAACTTATTCCGCACTAGATCGTGCCAATCTAATGTTTTACGGCGGCGGATATATTCGATAAATTTAAAAAACAACTATCGAATACTTAGCGGGAACGTTAACATTTGAGTTCGAATATTGCAAGCCAGAACTACAAAGAGAACAGAATTTCAAATAAAGAATCTAGGTTGGCTGAATAAAAAATGTCTGTCCTCTTGTTTATCTAAGCTGATCTATATCTTTTTTGTTAAACTATAACCACTGCACCACATTTTACAGAATCTACTGACACCTACGAGTTACAGCATCGCCCGATCAAGTTCAACGCCCACTAGGATACAATTAACTACATTTTAGTTATACAATTTTTTTTACTTACGAAATACATATATACTTTATTCACTATCTTCACGCTTTGTAAATAATGTAGAATGGGTAATAATTACATAAACGGAGATATGTGCCAATATGGAGTACATTCAGGATATATGCTATTATTTTTTATTGTACAGGTTAAAAAATTTGGAATTTATAAATTACATTAGCAGCCAAACGGAACTGTACCACCTGCAGGATCTATCTGGCAACTGTACATTTATTACACCTTAAAATCTAACAAAGAACGTAAACGAAAGCCTTATAAATAAATGCTTTGATTAGCTTCGGCTTAGGATTTTTTTTCAGATGCACAGATTGACTCTGCTCCAGGTGTATAGCGCCGCTTACAAGAACTCCTCGCACCAATCGTTCAGGCAGTTGTAGCAATCCGACGCTTGTTTGGAGCTGGCGTGACAGACCTCCTTCATCCAGTCCTTGAAGAGCTCCTCGTCCTTCTTAAGGACCAGATACTGGCCCAGAACGGTATATGCCTGTTGAAATCAATGTCAGATTAAAATTGTAAACATTCAGGCACTTTGTTTATTTGCGCACATGGCGTCATCATATTTACACACACGCACCTTATCAAAACCAGCTTCAATTAGCCTTCCACCCAGCGTGTCACCGATGCCAGCCAACTCGGTCACCGCCTTGTCGCCCATGGGCTCAGCCACGAAATTCCTGTACTTTTGAGAGGTTCCCGACATATTTAGGTTCTTTGTAATTTGGTGTAAGCGGGGAGAGATTCTTGTGCAAAAAAAACTTCGCGGCGTTTCTAAAAGTGACGCATATTATAGATGGTAAAACCATCGATGTATCGATATTTTGCGAACACATCTCTAAAGAGTTATCGGTCAGTGTTGCCAATTTATGTAAATATGATAAATGTTAACATTTGTTGCCCGCCATATATTTATGTTAAATATTCTATTACTATAATTAACTATTAATTTAATTAGGTAAATTTTAATAATCTTAGATTAATTAAGTTATTTTTTTATGACTCTTCTTATTCTTTTTTTTTTTTTTTGAAGTTGTTACCTATTTTCTTTATGACTTTTTCCGAAAAATAAGTAAAGCTTTTTTAAAATTATACATTTTTTGTTAATTTTGATGTTATTTCCCCTTAATCAAAGGGCAATGCACCTCTTTTTAATTAGTATGCATCGCAAAACTATCTCCAACCCAATTAAACAGTGCCGTACCTTTGACATCCCGCTGTGACCCATTGATAAGACTCCCGAAACCGAGGCTTCAACCTGGTTTGTGGTTAAAGCCAAACTCCAGTCTTGATTGACACTTGGCCCTGTTCTAGTTTATCATAGACCAGTAGCTAGGCATTATAAAATACGAACTTTCCTCGTTAGAATTAGAGTTAAAGTATCATTGCAGCAGAGATGTTGCAATTACACTGGCTTTTTGGGTTAACCCTTGCCTGGATGGGTAAGTTTCATACGTGGGATCTGCGAATTCGATGGGATTGGGCTTTGTCTGCTGACCGAGATTCGAGCCAATACAACGCCCTGATGCCAGGTTGAGTAATTAAAGTGCTCCAGGCCAAGAATTAATTGCTGGGTCAGAACCGGTTTCGAGGATTACTAATGCGTCAGCCGTCTTAATGAGCTTGAGGCCTCCAGTCCGATGTCCGATCAGTTGACGATCGACGGTCACCTGGTCAAGATGTCCTCCAATGCGTTGGCCTGCATCTGCAATGTCATAAATCCCTGCCGTAACGAGGTGTCCACCACCTTTGTGGTGGTGCAGTGGCTCATCACCGGATTCGCGGCCCTAGCCCAGGTGGTGCGACCCGTGCTCTTGCTTTGTAAATTTCTTTTTAAATAATTCAAGATATTTTATTTACACACTTTTCTTTATCTTTTTTCAGTTGGCATACGTGGCGAGGTGGCTCTGAATCAGGAGGATTACAACAAGACCTGGATTTATATGCCCAATGGGGAGGGAAAGCCGGAAGTGGCCTACTTGGTGGAGCCTCCTCCAGAGAATCGTATTAATTTGCCGCAACTTATCAAGTTTGAACTTTATGGAAGGTAAGTCTTATCATAAATCTTTATTTAAGCTTTAACTGACCTACTATTTTTTAGTGAGTCCAGTTCCAGTGCCGACTTCTGGATAGACGACAATAATTTCGAGTTCCCGCAACGCCACAAACGCGACACCTGGCAGGAAATGGCCGAGAAGTTTAATCCCGATCTGGACACTAAAATCCTTGTTCATGGCTGGAAGTCCAGCACCATGAGTAATTCCATTCAATCGATTCGAGGAGCCTACATAGAACGGGGTCAGGTGAATGTATTCGCCATCAATTGGAAGGATCAGGCGGATAATATTTATTACCTGACCCCAGCACGATATACTGTCCAAGTGGGCAGGGCAGTGGCCAAGCTGATAGATCTTCTGGTTGAGGAAAAGGATGCAGATCCACAGGTACTTGGATAACTATTTGAAATAGTCCACAAAATAAATAATATTTATTTTTCTACCGGCAGAGAATACATCTAATAGGTCATAGTTTAGGTGCCCATATAATGGGTTATGCTGGCTCTTATACAAAATACAGAGTTAATCGCATAACTGGCTTGGATCCGGCACGTCCCGCTTTCGAAGATTGCATTGGGCCCGAGAACCATTTGGACGATACGGATGCCAACTTTGTGGATGTCATTCATAGTTGTGCCGGATATTTGGGTTTCCGCAAACCGATTGGAATGGTTGATTTCTATCCAAATGGAGGTGGACCACCACAACCAGGATGCAAAGAGTTATCTCAGATTTTTAGTAAGACTTTATTTTTGGAAATAATTTAATTATTCTAACTAATGAGTCTTTCCAGCTGGCTGCAGTCATGGACGATCCTATGAATATTATGCGGAATCTATCAACTCGCCAAAAGGATTTTACGGTGTTCCCTGTACAGGACTTGATGAACTCAAGGGTAAAAACTGTACTGGCGGAAAGATCCTTATGGGTGATCCTGTTCCTCGGGATGCTAGGGGTATTTTCTTTGTTAAAACGGCCAACAAACCAACCTATGCCCTGGGAATCGATGAAATTCTGAGTAACTGAACTATTATCTCGTTTTTAAATATCAAAAATTAATATGTATTATTAATATTATTTACAACAAATAACTATATCTAAAAATACAAAAAGAAACTGGTTTCTAGAGAGGTTAGCTTAGGGAATAACATCGGTACGTCGGCGAATAATATTGCTTCTTCGATGGCTTCCATTGGGCTGCAGTAGGTCCTCCGGGCGAGGTTCAATCTCGTAGTGCTTGTAGCCATCCACGTCGTCCAGCTCCTTGGAGGTAAACTTGGCCAGCATGGTTCCACGACCCGCATACGGAGGAGTGTACTTAAATGTGGCTGCCGCGGTGCCACCCACAGGGATCTCGGCGATCTAAAGGACCATAAAAAATAAATTAATATCAGAAAATGGAAAACAATTTAATTTGTATATAAATGTATAGCCATGGCTTGAGGACACCTATAAATTTGGGGGCTTGATGCAGATTTGTGCAGAATCGAAATACAAATCGTTTGAGGTATTCCGCTCAAGAATCGGATACGAATTGGCCAAGATATAGTCATGACTTGGGGCCATATATGAAAAATCAGCATTCTTGAAGGGGCTCCATCAGAAAAATGGGAAAAATATGGATCAAAAATTTTGTTTCTAGATTTTGATGCAGATTTGTACAGAATCGAAATACAAATCGTTTGAGGTATTCCGCTCAAGAATCGGATGCGAATTGGCCAAGATATAGTCATGACTTGGGGCCATATATGAAAAATCAGCATTTTGGAAGGGGGCTCCATCAGAAAAATGGGAAAAATATCGATCGAAAATTTTGTTTCTAGATTTTGATGCAGATTTGTGCAGAATCGAAATACAAATCGTTTGAGGTATTCCGCTTAAGAATCGTATGGGAAAAGCCCTTGATATAAAAGAGAGAAAACACCAAAGTTACCTTAAATTTCAAAGGCTGTTCGATGCCAGGACCCTCCACCGTGAAGACTCCTTTGTGAAGGGGAATGGGCAGGGGGTTGGCCAGTCGGACAATCACGTCCAGCTCCTTTTGGGCCACAATGTTGGCCTCGCCCAGTTGGAATTTAATGTCCGGCTTGCGAACCCGGAAGTCATCCTGTGCATAGTAGTCGTAGTCCGTGTCCTTGACCTTGGCGGCGACCGAAATCTGGAAGGCGGCCTGTGAGGACAGCTTCTCGTAGTACTCCTCAAAGATGACCTCCATGCGCACGTAGTCGCTGCTCTTCGGCTGGAGTTCCAGTTCAAAGCCCAGGGACTTGACCTCCACGGCGCCCACTCCGGTGTAGAGGACAGCATCGCAACTAATCTGCCCTGTGGCCAAGTGGACGCGAGTCTCGCTTTTGTTGGAGACTTTCAGAACCACACTGAAGTTCTCACCCACTTTGATGTCGTCCTTGAGCTCCATGTCGAATTCCACTTCATTGAAGTTGTCATTCAGGTAATACCGACTAAAGGCGTGACGGGACTGCTTGAGGGCCTTGAGCATAGTGCTCCTCTCCTCCTCGGAACGCTCGGCGTGTTTGTAGCTGTCCGTGATGTCCTCCCTCTCCCATTTCAGTACCGCCTTGGTGCTTATTAGATGACCTATGGCCAGGGTATCCTTGCGAAGGAGTTTCAGGGGCTGACTGGGTCCATTGTAGCGCCAGTAGAGCTTGTCTGCATTAACCTCCGCAAAGACGAAGCCTCCATCAAAGGGTCGCAGGATCTCGCCATGTTTTACGGCCAGAACAGAGGCAGGACCCACGCGGTACATATTGTCAGATGCCTCCTGTGGTGTGGCATCTACCACCTGCCAGCCGTCGTAGGAGCCGTGCAGACCCACTCCCAGGTCAGGACGCTGCATCCACAGCTCATTCCACACATGGTAGTTCCAAATCGAATCCGTAGTCTCCGCCTCTAGTTTCTTGTTGTTCTCATCGATGAAAACATCGACGGTTAGGGAGGCCTGGGTGTCGTGGGCGGAGGAGTAGCAGGTGATAATCCTGGCCGGAATTCCCAGACTCCTGGCAATGGTGGCCAGTACACCGCTAAAGTTCCAGCACTGGGCAAATTTCACGGATCTCTGGGTTTTGTAGAACTGCTGAAGGATCTCGGCGGAACCGGTCCACTTGGTGGGGGCCACTCCACCGGAGAAGTCCTCTGACCAATTTCCCAGCAGCACACCATCATCATCCACGGAGTTGACCAAGGCGGACAGGGCACGGGCCACCCGCACAGGATCACCCCTGTAGGCAGGAGGAATCCTCCCGACAGTGCCTAGGACCTTTAAGCTGCACTCCAACACGTGCCTCTCGAATTGCCCAATTTTCCAGACCGAGGGACGCAGTCTATTGTAGGATCCTCTCCAGATCAAAGTCGTATCGTGCATCACATATTCCTTTCGCTGATCATGATCCTTCAGGTACACCTGATCCTCAGGGCACCAAGGATTAAAGAGCACATACAAAGGCAGAGGGAGGGGATAACTCTTGGAGCCATCTCCCAGAAGCTTGGTGTCAATATCCAATTTCCATTCGGTCACCGGGCAAGTGGAAGGTGGCTTGATCAGGACTGTAAGGATTTGACCCTCGTGGGACTCAATTCCAGCCCCCCACTCCAGGGTGTCGCCCAGGTAATCGATACCATCGTGGGGCACCAAAGCTGTGAGCGTTCCATGGCCAGGACTCGGTCTGACATCATCGGCCACACTGAAAATAAAACTGATGGCATCCTTGCTGGGACTGTAGTCGCGATTAAAGTGGATGCGGAGTCTGAAGGGTTCTCCTCTCCTCACGATGAGGGCTTCCTTGGCAGCTGCGGCATAAAAGTGACTCGTATGGTGCTCATCGTGGTTGTCCTCCAGGCAGGGATCTATCCGAACTACTCCCAGCACTGCCGAGTTGGCAGAATCTAAAAAATGGGTAAGGGAAATTTTAGTATTTATTTTAGATTATAAAATAATAAAAGCTTATTGGTCTTAAAATATGTCTAGAATCTAGAGTTTCTTGAAACTTTTATTCGGCAGAAGAGCAATAATTAGTTTTTCGACAGGTTCTGAATAAAGTCTGTCATCGTTATGGAGGCGGGATATCCGACGATCTTATTTTGACCAAAGTGCCTCTGCCTTGGGGAGACTATGATATCATAAAGCAAATGGCCTGTCAAGACCCGAAAGTCCCAGAGAATCATATTGACTAATCGCCTTTGGCCATAAACATAGAAAACTTGTGCCGCGGTGACCAAAAGATCAATGCCAAGGCAATTAATTGTCTCGGAAGACAATCAAAGTGACGCCAACGCCTCACTAAAAAAACAAAAATAGTAATTTAAATAAAAAACACAGCTTAAAATTCTATTTAGTAATTTTATTTCAAATTTTAAGATGCAGCTGTTGGGTAGAAATATCCCGCATTAATTTTAAAGACAAAGCTACAGACCAAAACTTGATTGTTTTTATTCATTAAGACACCTTGCTTCATAAATCTAAAATACATTTTTTTTAAGAAACCAATGATTGATTCTTCTATTAATGCCAATCAAAACACTGATTTGCTTTTTTCTTATAGATACCTGGAATTCTAAAATAAACCTTTTAAGTGGAGCACTAACATTTTTTTTTGGAAAGTTCAATAAAGGGCATACTGTATGAAAATCAATTTACTTGGGTGACTTGGGGTCATATTCCTGCACCTAAAAATAGGTTTCTTCATGGACATCAAAAGAATCCGCCGAAAGCTAAGAGATCTATTTCATAAATCATTTCAATTAAAATTATATTGCAATTGTATAAGTAAAGGCATGTGTTTTCTTTTCCTGATCGATGCTGTTTTTAGAAAAAAATTCTTAGCAAAGTGTTAAAGCAAATAAATTAAACATTTCAAATATTTGTTGGAATATTAAAAGTGTGTAGTTCTGAAATATTGTGTGGATATATGCTAATAATTTTGCAAAATAGCAAAAACCTCACAGAACGTGTCAAACCAGCCAGCACGCAAATTCCAAAACGGAAACCGAAATTCACAAAACAAAGGCACATATAATGAAGTCATAGTCCAAAAACAAAAACTATTCACCAAAAATAAAATAAATAGAGAAACTATTCAAATTATTTGAAAATAATTACAGCACTTGACAACATGTGTGTCACTCTCAGATCATTATATTTGATTATCATATTCTAAGGGTGAACTTTTAATCTGAAAATGTTGGTCTATAAATAATAATAATATTATTTGAAAAAATAAAAACAATCAATGAAGTCATCTACCGTAAAAAGACCTCTTGATTTGAACAAGTGAATTAAACAAATGTTTATTTTATTTTAAACCTTAAAACCCGTCAGACAGCTAACCAAAAGAATTCAAAATAAAAACGAAACCCGCGAAAGTGAAGTCATTGGTTGGAATAAAGACCAAACCAATTAAAATCGAATTAACATGATTCACAAAAATACCTTCAATATTGGCCAGTGGTCGAGTACTACGAAAGGGATTCACTCTTCGGGGGGGATTATTTGTGTGCCACCATTTCTGTAACCAACTTGGGGCATAGTTCCGATACCAGTAACTCATTTCTAGTTTCCGGCTTTAACGATTCTGGTAACAATAAACACCGTTTTGAGCCGCGATTAGTGTGTTACGGTTAGCACAAAAGCCACAACCAAGTCAGAATGAAACTAACGGAAACTGCGCTTCAAAGAGCGTTTTGTATCTTTCAGATACTCGGACTGGCTAGAACCGCTAGCGTGCGAACAGCGCGACGTTTGAAACTCAACTGATCGGAAATTATTGGTTCTACCAGATAGTTTCGACTGCGTTCTTCTCTCCAATTTCGAATGAAAAAGATACTCATTCTCTCTAAGATTCTTCACATCTCTCGGTTTATTAGTAATTATGTTTTGGCTCAGCTTGATGGACCCGTTGTTGGCCAGAAGCTGTGGTTACCAGCCACTACGTCATCGTTGATTGGCAACATCTTGATCCAAAACGGTCACAGTGCTCTCCAAATTGTTTTCTCAAGCGGAACCCATCTTTAATTTGCATTTCGCCATTAAAGGCATCATCGTGCTCTTATTAATCATTTCATTGCATGTTTATCATTAATTTCAATAATAAATATCACAGTTTTTGGCCAATTTGCTCTTCCAGGCAGGTGTTTGTTTATTTTTGAATTGGATTCTCGAAAAATTTGCAAGCACGATATGAGCAATTTAATGGGTAATACCCCCACTGTGGGCAGTCATCTATGAGTGTCTAACACCCACAGCAACAAATTTGCATTCATAAAAGGCGAAAACTACAGAACAGAATGCATAATTGTTCGTAAGGCATTAAATGCTACAAAGAAAATCCATTTTAAACGCTTGCCGAGCAAAACTCAAAGATCAAATCAAATTCTATGGCACAAAAACTATAAAATAAATCAATTTTCAAAAAATATTACTGTGTATTATTGAGAGATATTATCAAATGGGAGCAGGAGCTGAAGGTTATCATATTAAATATCTCACCTATTTGATCTTTATTTGGGCCTCCTGCCAAGTAATTGGCATTGATATTACGTATACGCAGCTTGGGCTCGTCTTCATTTCTGTGGGATTCCAGCCACTCCTCGCACTTCCTGCAACACGTTAGCTTCTGGCCCATGTCTAAAGTAGAACTATTCAATAGTATTATCCAATTGGGGGCTTGAAGTCTATTGGGCAAACCGGTTCGCCTGCCAGTCTGTTGATAAGCCCAAGTAAGTCTATTGATTCTCTGATGAATTTGTAGGAGTGGTATTTGAACTTGGGGTTGTGGCCGTTTTTTCACTGTAACTCGACGATCGCGACGTTTAAGCTGTCCGCAATTAACTGGCGTGTCATTTTTGGGAATGCAAAATTGAGGAGGTTTATAAACTGTAACAGCTGCGATCACGTCATCACGGTGGCTACGGAGGTAAGTCGAATCGGACCAGAATGCTCCGACGCTAGAATGATACTGTTTCTGATTAGACAACTTCTCCGGCGTTTGAGAATCTTTTCCACAAAACACACAAATATTTTACATATATAGCAGATGCCCGAGCGACCCCAGTGTCAGCTAGTCGATGGCCTCGGGTGTCCAAAAACCAGACATGCGTGTGTAAATTGATCGGATCGTAAGTAGTATGGACATGGGTCACTCTGAATCACTATTTTGACTTTGATTGCCACTTGTGGCTTGTGGCTTCCAAAGTGCTTCCAAAAGGTGTTTCTAGGATGTCACTGGAGAGGTGTGTCCGGCATTAAATCTTCCCTGCTAACGCAGAAACGCAGTCAGGGCTTATTTCTTGGAAAATCGGAAACTAACAAATAATGCAAGGTAATTGATTGATGATTAGGAAACAGCTAATAGGCGATTCTTTATTTATTTATTATATTACATAAATATGACTAATAAATAGTTAAATATATTATAAACAAAATATTTTCCAAAATATTACCAAACAGAATAAAACAAACAATTCTATCATTAAATACTAAGTTTCAGACTTAAAAAATGTTAGCTTAAAACTACTCCCTTAACTTTGTTAAAAAGATTTAATTAAGAATACATTAATTATTTTTAAAATTTAAATAAACCGCCAATATTAACAGCTGGCTAAAAACAATCCGTTGTTATCGATATATCTTTTTAAAATGTAAGAATCTCTGAAGGTGTTCCAAGTGAGAGAATCTTCTAAAGAATTAAGAGAATAAAGCTTTAAGAGAATAAAAATATACTCTCCGGGGTGGCTATATGTATTTGTGACAACATCTGTACTTTTTAACACGTTTTTTGTTGCAGTCTTAGCTTTAATTTGACTTCAATGGGTTCTACAACAACAGAAATCGCACGAGATCAGTGGGCACTTCTGAGAGATTTATATGCCGGCGATCGCAAAAATCTCACGGGATTCGATCTATTGGAGTACTTTATAAACTACCAGCCATTATCAGATGGCGAGTCAATTAAGATATATACAACCGATAAGAATTGGTCGGCCCATGGCAACTATATACTCATTGTAGGAAGTATTTCAATCGGACTTTTTATTTATAATTAATTTATGAATTTAATTTTCAGCATAAAATGACCAAAATGTCATTCTTGTACCTGAATACCATTAGAGGATCCTTAAAAGATCTTGGTTATTTATTATGTTCTTTAAAAATCAAAGGTTTTCATTTGATAAATGCCTATGGGGAAGACTTGAAACCACTAGTGGAGCAATACTGGTTGAAAAGAGGTCAAGATCTGAATAAATTGGAACATCCGGGTGCTGTAGTTTATCACTTGCCCAGTTCTGAAGTTGAAAACATGAAAACGGATGGGTAAATTTTATTAAAAATTGAATAGTAAATTACATTATACTGATTTTTAAAATTCTTAGTGTAAACCCTTCGTTTAAAGTTGATTATCTTAGTTTGGAACATGTTAACTTGATAGATCAGCACTGGGCTTATCGCTCCGACGATTCTTTAACATTGATAAGAGGATTAATGGAACACCATGTCAGTGCTGGTGTTTTTAATTCAAGCGGAGAGCCTTTAGCTTGGTGTCTGAGGTAAAATAATATTTCTATTTTTTTATTAAATATTTTTAATATTTTTTCTATTAGATCTCCCCATGGAAGTCTGGGAAATCTGCATGTCCTAACCGATCATAGAAGAAAGGGTTTGGGGTCCATGGTTGTGCAATTTATAGCCAAAGAAATATTAAAAACTGGCTCGGAAGTTTTGGCCACAGTATTGTTGGAAAATAAAAGTAGTCGGAATATGTTTGAAAAACTGGGGTTTAGACCAATTAATATACTATATTGGGCAGTAATTCCATGATGTAAACTTTATTTTTTTTGTTTAAAATAAAAAGTATTGTTCACCCTATTAAAAATTATTTATTGCATGTTATAAAATTCGACTAATTCATTATCTTGCACTCTTTTTTTACGAACTTTCTCTTAAATCTATGACAAAGAAAATCATTTCTCTTTATTTTTATTTAGTTTTCAAGATCAGTCTTCGATTGGAATTTGCAAAGGGAGGTAGTCGTTATGTCTGGAGAGGATTCATTAATTGAGATTCGCCGCACCGAATGGACGAAGCTAAGGGCTCTATATGCCCACAGGGATACCGATCCTCAGGGTTATCCTTGCCTTAATAATTTCATCAGTTGGGTGGAATATGAACCCAGTATAGAAGCAAAAATCTTATCTCTAAATGGCAACTGGGAAGACGACGGAACCTTTTTATTAACTGTAAGTAGAGTCACAATATTATCAGAGTCAGCTTAAATTTTAATAAAGAATTCCCACAATTTAGTTGGATTTGGATGTCGGCATCAAGCATCTGTATTTCAACACACTCTCTGATAATTTGGACCGTGTGACAAGAGCTATTGAGTGCCTGAAAAACATAGAGAATGAGTATACATTCTTCGGATTTTGTTCACGTCTGAAACCAGTGGTTGAAACAATTTCCAAAAAATATTACACCAAGGAGCTTCATATTGTGGATACTATTTGGTATCAGGTCAGCAAAGATCTGATAGATACTTTTAAAATTGAGTAAGTTTTAAAGATATATCTTTTCTTTTACACTTTTAAAAATCAAATTTCTTCTAGAGCCCCTACTGGAATTACTTTATCAAACTTAAAAATAGAAGATGCCGAAACTATCAATGAAATATGGCCTCATCGAAGCGATAAATCGGTTAACTTTGTGCGACATCTTATAAAATTAAATGTTAATGTTGGAGCTTATGATGATAATGGAAAATTAGTTGCGTGGTGTTTAAGGTGGGTTTTTGGAAACTAAACATTTACCTTGAGAATTGATTTATATTTCATATTACGTTTCAGATTACCCATTGGCTCCTTGGGCTTACTGCAAGTTCTTGATACCCACAAACGTCTGGGTCTGGGAAGCTTACTAGTAAAATCTATGGCCATTAAAATTTCCGCCTTGGGGGATCAAGTTTTGGCTCCAGTGGTTACCAAAAATATTCCTTCCCGGACTATGTTTGAAAAGATTGGTTTCCGCGCCATCGATACAATCTATTGGGCTGATTAAAAAAAGACATTGTTTAAAAGTCAGGATTATATTTGAAAATTTTAAAAAAATAAAATGAATTAGCAAACATTTATTAAAAATATAATTATGGAGTGAGCGTTTTTATTAAAGGTTATTTTTCTAAATAAACTGGTAATATCTATAATTCGTGAATCAGTATTAATATTTTGTAATAATTTTAAAACAAATAAAAAGCAGTACATAGTACTAGTTTAAAAGGTAGCATCGTAGTACTACTTAGTAAAAAAGTAATTTATTTATTTTTATAAAATGTATTATTCACCTGTCCTTTGAATTTTTAAATTAAAGTCACGTTTAGTTTTTATTTATTAACTTTTTGCAACGCGTGACCGATCGCTCTTTGTTTTAAAATTGTCAGAACCTTTTAATTTCCGGATAAGATGATTTCAGATGCACCCAGATAAAAATATTTTAAAATTTATACAAAAATATATCATTTTAAGGCAAAGGGCTTTTGTTGAAGAATTTGCAAACACATTGAGATGCAAGTCAGATTTCTGTTGAACTCGTTACGGATATTTGAAATGACTTAATTTGAGTCATCTAAAGTCATTTGCATTTCTTAAAGTTCTTAAGGAAATAGACTATAAGTCCTATGGGTATCCAAATGGGTAATCCCCAGCATTATTACTCTCAGACTTTCCAATGACAAAGCTTTAGAATACGCATCTAACATAAATTATATAGTATAGCTTATAAATATTTCAAATAGGTTCTCGCCGGGTTTGAAGAGATACAAAGGTACAATAGAGAGAGATATAGAGAATAGAGATTAACGTCATAAGTCAAGAGATATTGGAGAGGGAAACCTGAATGGGATTCCATTCTGTGGATTCAAAGAAAAATCAATACAAAAGGTACCTACTAATCAATAATAACAAGTGCAGAATATCATTGTAAACAAACTTGGGGCATTACCGATGACTCGTCATCAGAGAGCTCCCCGGGATCAGCTGAGTACTTACCAGAGAGCCATCCATCCATATTCAAAGGCCCAGAGTATGTCTCGATCCATAGCTTACCGAGATAACGAGTTTTGCGATTCCAGTTTTAAAAAGATGGGCACTGAGCGGGATCAGCTCAGTCTGGCTTTAACAATCCAAACGGCCACATCGCGCTTAGTTTAAAAATAAAAAATATAACAAAAAAAAAATAGAAGAAATAAATCTATATATAGAATAAATATATTATAGTGCTGTGTGCGTAAAAGATTAAAATTGAATATTTACAAAATGTGGCGCTTACTTATGGCATCGATGATGATAAGTGCGGCTTGCTGTGAGATGGATCTTTGGCGGCCAGATTTGAGGTCGCCCGAAAACATGGCCTATATAGATCGAATTGGCCAAGAATGGAAAGAGCAGCAACAACAATATCAATTAAAGCAACAAGAGAAACAGAAACAACAACAAATTCAACAGGAACTACTGCAGCAGCAACAGCAACAGTCTCAACCACAAAATCCATTTTCAAAGGACCAACCAACTGTTTTGTTACCAACACTGCCACCCCTTACCTCTCCCGGCCTTGTCAATGGCCTTGGCAATAAAATCGACCCAGTGGGGGCCCGCATCCAGCCTCCAAGTGCTATACAAAATCCATTTCCGGCTGCAAGTTCCGGCTTTGGCCAAACACGTGTCGATCTAGCCACCTCGGATGGAGTAGCCAAAAGTGTCCTGCACTTTGCCAATCTTTTGGGCCAAAATTTGAGCAACAAGAAAACGGAAATCTTCTCACCACTGAGCATTGTCAACGCCCTGGCACTTTTATATTTGGGCGCCAAGGGACCTAGCCACCGTGAATTGGAATATGTTTTCGCACAAGTAGATCCGATTAAGTTGCATGAACAGTTTGGATTAATGCTGAAGGATTTGCAGCAACCGACAAGGGATCTGGTGTCCCAGGGACGACCTGTGGTCAACTGGAGGGCTGTCAACGGAATGCGAGCCAATCGCCGGGCCCAGAGGCCAGGAGCCCATGAGGTGCACCTCGCCAATGGAATATTCACCCAGAATGGGTACTCGCTCAACCCTGACTACAGGTGAGTGCCGGTGTGGATAATTGAACGCAAACTGGATCCGAAGCGAGATCAGGTTGGGATGGGTGCTGGGAAAAGCCAGATGATTATAGGCTGCCTTGATGTTCTACACAGGGAAAAATATTAAAGTCTATTTTTAAATATAGGGAACTAAGGCTTAACTGATGAACTCTGAATATTCTTTTAAACCCTATTTTATTAGATATTTTAGTAATATTATTATGGTACAAAGTCCCAGTTCAAAATGAATTTTTGAACTCAAAGTTACAATGTTTACGAGCTAATAAGGAAACAAATGCTAATCATATATTCATAGAATTTTTTTTTGTTTGAGAATTTCCCTATGAGAAAGCTAGTGTGGGAAATATTTATAAAAAAAAAAACAACACGAGAGGCTTGACTTAGCATTTCCCATTTAAATTTGAGAGATTTTTGCAATTATTTTGATTAAAAAATATAATACTAAAATACTACCGGAACTGAAAATGATTTAAAGATAAGAAAGTGATTCTTTTTTTGTTATATAGTAATGAGGTTTTAAAGTGATGAATTAAAGTTATATAATGTGAATTAAACTGGTTTTTAAAGCAAAAAGGGGTAAAGATTTCTTCTCAAGTCTTTATGATCAGAAAAGTAGAGTATTTTTAAAAGGTCTTGTAATTACTAAATAGACGAGCCCTTTATAATATTAGTAAAAACATATTTTAAACATGACACATCAGTACCCACCCATAGAAATCAATTGTTCCCAATGATCTTGATCCACTTTGCATACCTGATGATGTTTGCATACTAATATTAAAATATGCAACACCTTGTTGTTTACTTGATTACTTATTTGTTCCATTTTGTCGCAATTTCAGACAAGCAGCTGCCGAAGTATATGGATCGGAAATTCAGAGCATGGACTTTGAAGGCAGTCCTGAGGGATCCCGATACAACATTAACAACTGGGTGGCGAGGAACACCAACAACCACATTGATAACATTATTTCGAGTAAAATTCCTCAGAGCACCAAGATGATTCTGGCCAACGCATTGTACTTTAAGGCCTTTTGGGAAACTGACTTCATAGAGAGTGCTACCAGGTTGGATAACTTTTATCCGAACGGCGAGGGCACCCAGCCGGTGGTGCGGGTTAGGATGATGGCAACTGCTGGCTCCTTCCCCTACCACGAAGATCACCAGCTGGGCTGCAGGATCATTGGACTTCCCTACAGAGGCAACCTGAGCACCATGTACGTTATCCAGCCCCTGCAATCCTCTCAGCAGGAACTGCAGGCACTGCAAAGGAAACTGACTCCGGAGCTTATAGAAGATCTCATTGGTAAAATGTACAGACGAACGGCTCTGTTGGCTTTCCCCAAACTGCACCTTACGGAGTCCGTGAATCTTAAAACCATTTTGCAAAAGATGGGACTGGGTGGCATTTTCAGTGCCGTTCAAAATGATCTCTCCCTGATTGCCACACGAGAGCCCACGGCGGCCAATTCCTATGGTGGCGGCAACAGCCTTCAGAATCTGGAAGCACAGCGAAGAGCCGCCGGAGCGGGAGGAGGACGCTCTGATCTGGTGGTGGACGATATAGTCCACAAAGTGGATTTCACGGTCAATGAACAGGGTACGGAAGCGGCGGCTGCCACGGTCACGTACCTAAAGAAATCCGGCCCGGATGTTCTCTTCCGGTGCGACACACCATTCATGGTCATCGTGCGCCACGATCCCACCAAGCTGGTGCTTTTCTACGGGATCATCAACCAGCCACCGGCTGAACGCTGAAAAGTAGCACCTTAGTTCGTCGACTTTTAGTTAGGAATCAATGATATCATTTAAAATGATGCTAAAAATAAATATAATTCATATTTTAAGATCATAAAAGCTTATTTTACTTGCTATATTGGGAGGCTAGTAATTACTTTCAAGGTTTAAAAAGACATTAGTTGTAATTAGTTAAATGGTAAAAACAATTTACAAAGTAAAAAACTAATTTTAAATTGGTGTTACTATACAGATTACATTTTATTTTTTCAAAATAGATTTAATTTAAATTAATAACGTTTCTCTGTTAACTTTTTGACACTTAACAGCTTATGTTAAGTTAACAGTTTATGTTAAAAGGTACATCACTAACTCTAACCGGCGATAACAAAAAAGCAAAGTCATGAACCAAAACAGCTGATTTGCTATGTTTATATTTTTATCAACTCGTTTTAGGGAGTTTAGCTTTGTTAAACTTTAAAGAAAAATACATTCCAACGCCCAAAAATGATAGCTTTGCCAGATTCAGATAGCGAGGATGAGCTGCCACCAGGCTGGGAAGAACGTGCCACCGACGATGGAACCGTTTGCTATGTCAAGTAAGAAAAATAGACACTCCTATAGCAACCTTAATTTTATCTTCAATTTTTTCTGTCAGCCAACAAAGTAAGACTTCCCAATGGACACACCCACGTACCGGGCGCTCTAAAAGAATCACCGGTGAACTTCCTATTGGATGGGAAAAGTATTACGACGATCAGAGTCGCCGGTTTATGTTTCTCAATAAGACAACGCAGCAAAGAACGAATGTGGATCCCCGGCTAGCTTTTGCTGTTGAAGAGCCCACGCAGGATGTGACCCGGGTACGTCAAAGGTTTGACTCTTGCTCCACGGCGCTTCAAGTCCTTCACGGCAAGGATTTGCACGGCCGCATTGCCCTCATAACCGGTGCTAATTGTGGGATTGGTTTCGAAACGGCTCGATCGCTGGCCCAACATGGGTGCGAGATAATCTTGGCCTGTAGGAACAATAACTCGGCTGAGGCAGCCATCGATAGGATTGCCCAGGAGCGACCAGCAGCCCGTTCTCGATGTCGTTTTGTGGCTTTGGACTTGAGTTCCTTGCACTCAGTGAAGCAATTTGTTGCGGAGATCAAAGAGAGTGTGAGGTACGTCCTCGAACCAAAGCTTCTGCGTCATCCTCTTCAATATTTATTTAAAAAATACTCTCCCTACCAGTCACATTGATTATCTAATTCTAAATGCGGGTGTTTTCGCCTTGCCTTATACGAAAACCGAAGATGGTCTGGAAACCACATTCCAGGTCTCTCACCTGTCGCATTTCTACCTGACATTGCAACTGGAGACTTTATTTGATTACAAAACACGGATTGTGGTGTTGTCATCCGAGTCACATAGGTAAGTTTTGGAATTTGAGAACTTTATCACGTAAATAGAACAGGAATATAATAAAAAATTGGTTAAATAAGCATGAAGGAACATTTTAAGGGTAAGGAATTATAATTAAAATATTTACAATGTCTTTCTGGTTACGATAGTTCCTTTTTTTAGATTAAAAAATCTTACATGATAAACTTACGTGAGTTTTTTAAAAAGTACATTTCATTAAAGGGGTATGTGTTCCATTTTTTATGGCCTTTACTGTCAAGCTAGTTTCAAGTTTAAGTTCTCATATTTTCCCCGCACCGTAAAGAGATTTAAATTCATTAAATTATATATTTAATCGCTATATTCTAGTAAAAAACTAATAATAATACATTTTTCTTATCACCTTTTTATTAGAATCTGTAACCTTTATTCTAATAATATAAATAGGGGTCACATTTTAATCATAATTATTTGTTTTGCTGACTATATTTAAAAGTTTTAAAAAATATAAATTACAGGATATATCTTAGTCGCTACCCAATAATTTCAGATATATGTCTAGCATTCCAAGTAGTCGTCTTTTATTTTGGCGAGTTGATTGCACTTTTATGCCTCCGCATTTTGGACTTTGGACCGACCGGTTTCTTTTCGCACTTTGGGGCCAGGCCAAAACTATTCATAGACCAGGCCAGATATAAATATGTATTTCTTGCCTTGTTATGTTGGCTAGTGTAGTGTTTGTTAAATTGTTTTTTGTTTTTCCATAGTCTCGTGTTTTATTTACAAGCGAGATGTTGTTTGTTATAATTTCAAGGCGAAACGCAATTGAACTCCAGTTGGGGAATAAAGTTTCTTTTTTTTCCCAGACCCCAACAGCTTTGTTTACATTGCCATCTGCGTTCTGTTTTGTAAATGAAGAAATCTGAATAACCATATAATTGTGACAGCTGTGATTGTATTATCAGTAAACCTCAAAGCCCCCACTTCCATACCGCCCTCGAACCTATAGAAACTATATGATCGCCCTCACGTGCGAGCATGTAAACACAGTGGTATGAAGTGGATTTTTTTACTAAAAATTTAAATTAAGATTTTAAAAAAGGATTTGTAAGGATATAATTATGTTTCTTGAATACATGTTTGTATTAAAATTTCAGCTCAATATTTTTAAACTCGCTCTAATTCAACTTCAAATAGATCATTGCAAATATTTTGTTTTTTTAATATAAAAACTTATTATTTAAATTATTAGTTTTATTTAATTTATTTACTATCGATCCACTGTGCATGATGTCACAAATAAATCATCATTGAACGAATCGCGTGAAGCAGCGGAAGAAACATAAACCAAAATTGAAGTTGAGTATCTTTGTATCTGTATCTGGTGCTCTACTGCTGCGTTCGTTGCTTTTCTCACGTACAACATTTTTGGCTTCACCGAGAGAAATACAGAAAAAACTGGCAGGGTTGGTGGATATCTGGCGAACGTGCAACATAGAGTCTCGTGCGCCACAGCGGAGTACTCGCAGATAGTCATGTATGCCACCAATTGCTTTCCAGATATGACTAATACTACCGACTTAGTTGCTAATGGGGTCAAAGTAGAGTAATCGGTACTAAGTGCTAACTGATAATACAAAGCATTAAATTAGGCTGCTTTTTAACAAGATTTGGAATATATTTTTTTATTATTAAAATTAGAATTAAACACAAATTTGGGAACTGGTTGAAGATGATCACGAATTTTTCTTTTAAAAAAAGGGTTTTAAAAGATTCTAAATCATATTTCAATAAAAGTATATTTCATAAAAGGATGTAGATACTTTTATTTTTAAGATAGACCTCTTTAGCTATAAAGTTAATCAAATTAGTTTGTTTTTAAGGGCAAATCTTTTTAAAAAGACAAATAATAATCACGCCATGGATAGCTGATTTCTGCAATTTAAATACTCTTAACACCCCTGGAAAGAAATTTGTTTATAATTTATTCAAATACTAACCAGATAAACAATATAGTATATCATACTCGTCCAACCTGCACCTACCACAACAAGTTCTACATATTTATTATGGAAAGCGGCGATAGCTGTCCACCCAGGTCTTATAAATAAATTGGAATTTGCATACATTTTGCGACGTTATTTTTACATCGCCCCCAAGCCAAGTCAAACCAAACCAAGTCGAGTCGACTCCGAGCATCGTCGGGTGTCTGTGAATAATATGAAAACAAATCCAAAGTCCAAAATGTGCGCAGTAGTTTATGTACAAGCCACATACATGTTCCCTGAGGAGTATGCGACATGAGCATCCACTACACGTGACCAGAACTATGGACTTGCCCACTTATAGGGTACATTCTATAAAAAGTTCATTGATCATTTCCTAGTGTCCTTGTTTTTATCGGGCTGTGTTTTGCCAGCCACTTGTTGGCGCCTTTGTTAGGTGTAGGGTCTCCTCGGGTCTTTGTCAGCGACCCATCCAGTTCCTCTGCCTGCATCTCATTAATGAAAAGCCACCAACAATGGCAATCAAGACTCGTTTTGCGATTGTGTCGGCCGGCGGGGCAAAGTCCAATGGGTTCAGCTGGATGTGGAGTGAAACAAACAATCCCGGGACAAGATAGAATGTGTGGCAATCCCGGGACAAGATAGAATGTGTGGCAAACTAATGCTCCTTTTTCCTCTCTCCCCCAGATTCGCCAATCTTCCTGTGGAGAATCTAGCAGTGCATCATCTGTCCCCGCCACCAGAGAAGTACTGGAGCATGATGGCCTACAATAATGCCAAATTGTGCAATGTCTTATTTGCCCAGGAATTAGCTCAGGTGAGTCATTAAGCTTAATTATTACAAAATTGGGTCAATTAAATTATATTTATTTTTTCTCCAGCGCTGGAAACAGCGAGGGATTTCTGTGTTCAGCGTGCATCCTGGCAATATGGTATCCACTGATCTCTCGCGTAACTATTGGTTCTACAGGGTACTATTTGCCATAGTTCGACCCTTTACGAAGTCTTTGGTAAGTCTTCTCTACTGAACTCTCCCCAATTATTTATTGATGTATCCACTATCCAGCAACAAGCGGCTGCTACCAGCATTTACTGCGCCACTGCCAATGAACTGACGGGCCTGTCTGGACTGTACTTTAATAATTGTTTCTTTTGCGAGCCCAGCAAGTTGTCGAAAAGCCCTTCATTGCAGCGACAGCTTTGGGAAATCAGTGAAAACCTCATTAAAGAGTTAGTTGAATAAGAACTTTATATTTTGTATTCCATGTATTTAAACAATAAATAATCTTTTATCTGAAAATTAAGTTATTAAATTCAAAAATCAATAGTTAAGTTTTTCAAAAATATTTTGTATTTTTTTTCTATTTATACACTAAACATTAAACATTATTACTCGAGTATACATGTGCTTTTAGTCTTAGTGGGTAGCATTTAAATGACAGCCTATTTTCTAATTAAGGAACTTGTTCGGAAGGGGTGACTAGAAATCCGAGACGCGACCTTTTCGCTCCCAGTCACCATATCGCGTTGGCTCCGGACCAGATGGTCCTCCAATCTCTCCGGTGTAGGGATTCGTTTGGTTCGGCCACGGCTTCAGGGGCTCCTTCTCCTGGAAGGGATGCCTCGAGAATTCGTCCAGCTTGCCCAACGGCGTCTTGGCGCGCAGCTTCTTTTGGAAGGCCATGAGTTTCTCGGAGCGGGTCTTCGGCTCCTTGATCTCCACAACCATGTCGTTGCCACCAGTTGCTGCCCTCCAGGAGGCACTGGTCGAAAGGTAGCTCACTAATTTAAAAAATTAATAATTATAATTAATAACACTTCACAATGGACACGGGATAATCGCACACACCTTGTTTTCCCACCTGGGGAAACATTTTAGCGGATTGTCTGGCCATGGATTGCATTTTGTTTTTGTTTTCTTAGTCTTTTGGTTATGCAAGATGCCGGCAAATCGAATGGCTCCAAACTCTGTTGTTTATTTACTTTGGGGTTTCACAGGTGTCTCTACTTTGAGTTCTTTTCTCTGGCTTTGGTTGCCCACGTCTGAGTTGCATCAACAGCCAGAGTATTGTTTTTATAGCCCCGGAGAAGAAGGTTGGGTGGTTCGGTAAACAGATGGGTCTTGTTCAAATCCAGTGTTGTGTAACGTCGCTACCATCTTCCCATTAGCTACCTTTTATCTGGTCACATTTTTCATAATGGCGCCACGTTTGAATAACACAGGAGCAGTGCTGCCGTACCGTTCAAAATAAACAACGGGAGGTTTGTTTAAATTTTTGTAAAAAAAACAATGTTTTGGCTAAAAAATGTAGCAAATTTTAAAATATTTAAAAGACAAATAAGTATAAAATACCCTTAGGTTTTGTTGGAATTGATTTCAATCCTTGCTTTGACCGTCACTTCAAATGAAATTCGAGTTCAGATCTTTCACATTGTCGACAACCCAAATAATTGTCCTATGCCCACGAGGATGACCAAATGCGCCAACCTTTCCGACGTGCATCCCTTTACGTTACCCTGCTGTTGATAGCCGAGGCTGTGATCGGATTACTATTCCTGGTGGTTACCGCCTACTATCACGTTGTACTTACCAGCTACCTGGCAGATATTGAGTCCAGACTTGTCTACGGCTACGTGTTCGGTTTGTACATGTACGGTGTCCAGCTACTGGTGACGTTTCTGGTTAGCATCTCCATGTGGCGGCGATTGTGGAGGAGGCGATGTACACCGAACGTCCACCTGATCTTAGCCTTGTGGCTCTTGTACTCCTGCGTTATTGTAGCCTCTGGCTTCGGATGTGTTTGGAACCTATACCATGGAGTCAATGTACTGGAAAGTGCGGTTGAAACCTCTCTAATCCGGGGGATCGACTTGTATTACTCGTGCCCGGAGTGGAAACTGCTCTGGGACGGATTGCAGTGGCACAAAGAGTGCTGCGGTGCGCATGACTACAAGGACTGGATGAATGCAGAGTGGATGCCCAACCAGGGGGATAACTGTTCGTTGACAATCCTTGCTCCATATGCCTGTTGCAAAAGATCCTGTGAAAGTTGCTACAACAACTTTTCGCCCGGTGGTGGTATTTCTGAAAGCAGGCCCATCCCTGCCCTCACCGTGGAGTCGATAAACACGAACGGGTGTCTGCCAATATTCCACGGAGCTATTACGAATTTTGTCTACATTCTTCTGGCTCTTTGGGCATTATCCTTGAAGTTTCTAGTAAGTAAAATAGGATTAAATGAATAGGTTTATCGATAAGCTAATTTTCAGATAATGATTTGCTGCATAAGCAAGTACATCCTGAATCGGCAGAACCAAGGTGATGGGTGCGACAATGTTGGCCTATCAGATGAAAATGGACATCCGCTGGTCATAGTGGTGGGCTTATATTAAATTTAAATTTTGAAATTTCTTTTATTCAAACGGATTTTTCAGAAATATCCATGCAACGTGCGTTGTGTTACTATTGGCGAGGAAGATCTGGGATCCGATATAGCACCCAACTACTGCAATTGCAATGAGGTGGATGAAGATAATTGCAACGACTACTAAACTTTTATTTTTTTTTGGTTTTAGTTTATATATTTTATATTAATTTTAACAATTAGTTGATTAAATGTATTGGTTACGAAATTTTGAGTAATTTGGTGGTGACACTTACGGGTCTGAGCTTTAATTTTGACGTTATTCAACACTGCATAAATTTGTATATATTTGAATTTTTATATATTTTGTCCATCAGTTCTTAAATTAATAAATTATAATTTTTTTATTATTTTTTTTTTTTTAAGTTTAATTTTATCGAGTTTATATTACGAATCCAACAGTTTTAATTTTCCATACCACGTGGGCTTTGCAATATATTTCAGTGCTAACACACCAATTTTTCAAAACTTCCGGCTTGGTTCATTTTTTTTTTCGTTGGCAGACGCGTCTACATGAATTCCATCAGGCAGTTTCTCTTCATAATTTTTAGATACTTTTATACCATGTAATCAAAGTGAATTTGTAAATGTGAAATGTGAATAATTAAAATCTCTTAATTTGCAGGCCCCATATATCGGTCGTTCCACATATTGTTGGTGATGACGATTCCGTGTCTATTGAGTAAGTTTCTTCAAGGCTATTTTGCGAATTACAGAATTTCATACATATTTTCATAAAATTTTTTAAATAGTGAAAACAAGAGTTCCAATTCGCCCAATCCCAAGTCTCCAAGTCATTCAGAGACTTCTTATGTCTCTTATGAAGGAACGGAAGCTGGAACTGACGAAGAGTAAGAAAAGTAGTCCAACACATGTCCAACTCAGTATAATATTAATATCTCTATATGCAGTGTGACTATGGACAGCTATGATGGAGCCGACTGGTCAATGATAGTCAGCCACATCGCACGAACTCCGTGAGTCTATCCAATTTCCCTCAGAAACATTTTCCAACTCTTACATTTTTACAGCGAGCGCGAGTCAAGCCCTAATCCAGATGATTTGGAAGTTGGCAGCACAGTTTCTTCTGTTAAGGATGAGGAACTTCCCTCAGGTTCCCAATGCACCACTCCGGTACTGCCGCCTAAACTACGCTTTCGAAAGAGGATGAACGAGTCACAGCCCTATCCATCCGTATCCGATCTTCGTCGCAATTGTGCCTCGAAAGCGGATTATTCTTTCCCGACAACCATTGGCGGACGTGTAGCTCGGCGAGGACGGCGAAGCATTTCTACTATTCATTCCCCTGAAGGGGATTCAGTGGCTGAGCCTCTGGCTAAACCAATGGAGGTCACCGCATATTTTCATAAGGTGTCGTCGGATCTAGTCCAGAAACGGGTCAGCGCTGAAGCCTTCAAGTCTTTGCGAGAGCAACTTGATCGCTTGTTGGAGCAACATTCGAATTCATCGAAGACTTTGCGCAAACGTTCTTTTTAAGGAATTATTTACCAAGCTTGAAGCTTTCAGTTTTAATTAATTTTTATAATTTTAATTTTTTATAATCATTTATTGTCAACAATTGAATTATTAATCATTTTGAGATCAACTTTTTACCTAACAAATAAAGAATCTTAGTGGAGAACTTAGAAGCACTCATTCATATTTTAATTTTCTTTATTTGGAACTTCGCTAACTCACAAAAATCTTAGGCTATAATATTTTATTAAATCGATTTAACGATCTGATCGATGATCATTCTTGATTTTCTTGATCGTGGCTAGAGGAGAAAATCTGAAACAGCAGCACTACTGGTGCTGATCAAATGACGGCTGGGCATTTCGCCGATGGATATCTCCGTGCTGCCCTCTGAACTGAGGCTGGAGAGCATAATCTCCTGGCTACTGACACCTGAATCTACCACCGATATGGGCGTTTCGTCGGGATTATATTCGGGAGGTGCTCCCGGTTGATCGCCACGCTTGCCACCATCGCGGATGACGACTCCAATTCTTTTGCCACCCAAAACAGGGCCAGAACTATTAGAAACAGATGGCCGCTTGAGTAATGAACGCCTTTGGGATGTGGGACTCCAGTCGAGTGGATGATGAACCAATGCACGGACCGTCATATGTATGGGTGCAGTTGGAGGACTATCGCAGTCGCGATCAGGACTCGATTCTGGAATTGCAATCGGGTTTTCTTGAATCATTGTGGAATTTAGAAGTTGAGCTGGATGCAAGTACATGAATTCGAGTTCGCTTTCCTAGAAAAGGTAGAGGATTAGGTTGTGAAATAAAATTTGCTTTAAGCTCACCAGTAGAGCCCTTTCCAAATCCTGATCTACAGAGGATTGTTGGGGCCAGGCGGTTGAGAGTTGCATAGCATCGGCCAAGTTGCGCATCTCCTCCATGTCCATGCCCTCCTCATAGACGCCAGCGCCTGCGATGATGCGGTTTTGAATTTCAAGAATATTCAACACATTACAATTTTGAGTACCTTTCAGAATGTCAACTAAATTATTGAATGTTTGACTGCGCAATTCCATGACTATGGTTTTTAATTTCTTTAAATCGAAGTTATAACCTCACTGATGAACGGAATTCGTGTGAAAACAAGAGAAAAAGTAAAAAGAAAACAAAACCGAAAACAAAAAAACTTATCGGAACTTCTTCTTCTTATTAGAGATGGTAATAAATAACGATTAAAATAATTATAAGCTTTTCAAAAATTAGAAACACTATAAAAGGTAATATATATATTTAATTTACTTATTTCTAAATATACTTATATCGTGTTAAAAAAAAACTTTTTCTAAATACCCAATTTTTATTTCAATTATAAAAAAATTCAAACTAATCAAACATCACCCCAAGAGCGGAAATAGAAGCCGGCAAGGAAACCAAATTTGCAACACACACAGGAACATTTATTTTTGCACAAGGACATGACGGCCAAGGGGGAAATTGCACACAAACATAAATATAAGCATATGCAATGCACCCACACATGCATTCGCATTTCATTTTTATTTAGCACTCACTGTTAGTTATGTCTGCTTGCGGTTTCCATCTTATTTATGTTATTTATGTTTATTTGCATATATTTTATTTCATTTTATTTGGCACGGAAACTGAGGAGAGGAAGTCTAACTAAAACACGCTCATTTATCTCGGCGCACACCACGCGAATTTGTGGTGAAGCTATAGCATACATCTAAGCGCCTGGGGCGGATTTGCATCTGCATGTGTACATATCTGCAACTGTATCCTTATCTGACCTCACATCTGACCCCTGAACTCTGAATCCGTATGTGGAGTTGCTAAATTAGTCGACAAATAGTGGTAATAGCCGGAATGTGAAAAAGTTCACTTTTGTAGCTTAAGTTGAATTTAGACAAAACAAATAAATAAACAGAATTGAGAAATTTTCCAAAATGTATTTATGCATTTGTGTGCTTTTAGCATTTAAGCTTGTTTACGGTAATGTACCTGCGGTTCATAAGCAGCTTACCCGTGGGCTGGCTAACAAATTCCAAGCACTCGAAAAGGGAACATCAATGAAAAGGGTTAATAAAATGATGGTCAGGACCTGTATGTGCTTAAATATAATGTTAAATGGTGGTACTTTAACTTAAGTGCAGTGTAAATATAATTTTCACATACAAAGTCTGTTAGTTTACCTAAATACATTTGAATTTGTTACCAAAACTTAATAAGGAAATTCCTTTTCACAATATTCGGTAGTTCTACAAGTAAGAATAAAATAGAAGGAAACACAAATTTTCCAGCAGCAGCTGTGCAGGATAAACATGAAAAAATATCCTATAGAAAAAAAATTCTAAACATTTTGTTGCCAATTGTATAGGAATTCCGGTCCCACACATAGCATATCCCACCCAGGGATAGCTGGTGTCCCTTAGTCATGTTTGATTTGCAATTTTGCACAATCAAACTCTTTTGCAAGGCTCGCAGAGGCAGGAACTCGAAATGGAAATGTATCTAGGAGCTGTAGCCATGGCCATGCAGCAGAGGCAGGCAAAAGGCCAACGGAGTCTCTGCAAATCCCAAAAATTGCCAATAAATTTACGCTATTGACTATGTCTGGCAACAAATTTGTTGCTTGCATATTTTATTTGTGCAGCGTATGCTGCGAAAATGCAAATGCAAATACCAAAAACTCAGTTTTTCGGTATGCTACCACAGATATGTAGAAAACTGTGCAAATTGTGACAATTATTGGATTTAAATTAGAGAAAAAATTCTTGAATTCTTGACAGAGTTACCATTTATTGTTCTTCTTGATGATGAACTATCTTCGATAGTATCGCTTTCAAGATTTTATCGATACATCGTACATTAATAATAGACAATGCACATTACTATATTAATATAACTCTGTCATTTTTAAAGGTTCCTATTTCTTAGATTTAGTTTAAAGGCAAACATTCAAATACTAAAGCATAAAATTAATGTTGTGTAAGGAATTTCCAAATCATTGATTAGGCTGCTTGGCGGCCCTGGAATTGGCGTATGACCGGAAATGGGTCTACAGGGCGTATGAGTGTTACGCGAATATTTCAGCAACAGTCACGCAGCCCTTTTAACGGTATGTGGCCAAGGTATGTGTGCGTGGGTGTGCAGTCGTGTGTTATTTGGTGTAAATTATATGGCCAAAAGATGCAAAATTAGCCAAATAATGGCTGCCTAATGTTCCGGAAATCTGGCGAACAAAAGTTAATGGCAAAAAGCCTTTACTGCCCCAGCATGAAAATGAAAACATAAAATGGTCGCCCCACTAAAAGCCAATCGAGAGGGGCACATATTTGCTAATCAAATAAGTGTTAGCTGCCTCACTGACTACTAAGGGTTAAGGCCAAAAGCGAAAATTGCTATAAATATTCAACGGCCGGTTTAATATTTCACCCTGACTTAATATTTTTCTTTTATGTTTTTATTTTTCCTGTCAAACTTGTTCAGGCAGCGGTAATTGAACGGACTTTAAATGCCAGCCAAAAAATGTGCAAAATGCGGGCTAACACAAACGGCTTAGTGTTTTTTATTTTTTACTAAAATGCAGAGGCTAAGGTGGGGCATTGGGGTTAGTATTGGATGCAGTTGCGACTGCTTGGCGACTTTCATGCAAAAGAAGCACAGCCCGCCAACACGACGACATCGAAACTTTTTCTGCCATTTTTTTTGGTAGCTCTTATTTTATTCGCATTGGGCAACAGAAGAGTTTGGTTATATTAAGCCAAAAATATAAAAAAGTGGAGACTCGATTGTGGCCAAGGGTGTTAGAAGCTCAAAATACCTAAACCGATTAATAAAAATAATATTTTTATAAATTTATCCTATTTTTTTAAAAATTAGTTCATAAATTTGATTAGTAAACTGTTATTTAACCATGCATCTAATTCGGTTTATAGGGACACATGCTGGGTATTTAAACTGAAGAACTCATGCAGAAAACTGCCCCACACAAAGTCAAATTTGCAGAGGGTGCAAAATTGGAGAAAAAGCGAGCTGCATGGTAGCGAAAAAGCCAAAACTGACTTCAAGTGGCATTTTGACATTTTGTTGAATTTCAACTCTCGCCTCTCGTTTGAGGTGAAAGGACAGGGGTCAGTGGGTGAGCTGTGGTTTAGAGTTAGCGGCCAGTGGGTTTCCAAAAAAAAAAAAAAAGTGAAAGAAACTGGTACTCGCAGGTGGTTCGCCATGCAAACGAAATGTAGAGAAACGCATTTTTGGTGTGTTTTTTCTGTTTATTTTTTTTATTTTTGGTAAATTAGAAAAACAATTGCCAGCGTTGCGGACAGCAAAAGCTACAACTTTGCTCCACGGGTTGACCACATAAAAAGTTTGGCAAAGCGTTTACTTTTTACACGTTGTATTTCAACTTCGTGGAGCTGGTGTTAAAAGTTGCCACTTTTCAACTCAAGCTTTTTGCAAATAAATTGTTTTTTAAACTAGCCAACATTTTGACAACACTGAATTCAATTTTTAATTTATGTTTAAACATGTTTTGAATTGAAAAAGGACTCTGGACTATAAAGTAAAACATTTCCTAAAGAATTCATTTTCTATAAGGAATATGTAAACTGACATTTTTTATTTGAATACTAAATTTATGTATTTCTAAATCAAGCGGATACATTTGTATTTCTTTTTTTACAATATTTCACTTTATTGCATTTGCATTTGCTTCCAAAATGACAACGTCTTGTATCCTTGAGTTATCATCCATCGAGTGTGCTCCTGCTCCCTGTGTCTGTCCTCATTTTTATGTCCTTTTTACAGGGCATGTGTTTTGCATTTTTTGTGGTTTTTTTCACACATTAGTTTGCACACATTAACACTTTATAGTTTCTCTTGTTGCACATGCACATCGAAAACTTAACGAAGCACAATTTTTTTTTCTTGTTGCATTTACATTTTTTGTAAGCTTTTTATGCAATTTTGTTGTTGTTGAATTTTTGTCTGCATAGCTTTGCTTTTTTCGGGCATTGCATGTGTGATTGTGAATTTTGTTTGTTTGTTCGGCGGGGACGGGCAACACAAAAGCAACAAAGGTAACACTTGTTTAGCAGCTAATATTTGTACGTTGAAAGGGAAAGGGAAAAAGGCGGTGGTGTATGTAGGTGGTTGTGGCCACAGCATTGTTATCTAAGCTTTGAATATGAGTCTGGACTGAAGATGGACTGACTTAAATAGTTATTATAGAGGATTTTAATTAAAAAATATTACAAAATATTTAAGAAATATTTTTTGAAAACCTAAAAAAGCTTTTTCTTATGTCATAATGCTGATAATCATTTGTCTTCTATCTATTCATTTGTCATTTGTCATAAATCTGCACAAATTTTAAATCAAATCAGTAGAAAATATTTCTTAAATGGTATTCGTACTGTAATTTTTAGTATTTTTATATTTTTTCTAGTGTCTAACACATGGAAATTTTGTTGCAAGCCAAACAACGTCAACAACATCGACATTGACAACTTTGTTGTCTTGCTGTTTGCATGTAATTTCTTTCTGCTGTTGCCGCTTGTTTGGTTTGTGGTTGGTCCTTGGTTGCGTATGTCCTTCGTCCTTTGTGCCCCTTTCCCTTTTCTTATTTCTCAGTCCGTATCACCGCCACGAAGCCGTCTGACTTTAACGTGCATGGCTTGTTGTGTCCCTGCCTTGGTGCACTTTGATTGCTCCACTGCAGCAGGTTTCCGTTTCTAAGGGAAAAGTGTCAAACGCAACTACAAGATGTTTTCCAAAAAAAAAACCACAAAAAAAAGTCCAAAGTACCAGCAACACAGGTGGTAAAAGACCCTGTGTTGGCTTGTCAGGTGGATAGCTTTTGGTAGTAACCGTCTTCCGGTTGTGGTCCTTCTTGGATTTTTAAATAAGTTTTAAATAGGAATATGAGTATACATTATAATTGTCTCTTTGGCACTTTCATTGATTCATTTTTCATTCAAAAAGGAATTTGCCGAAAGGCATTACAGGTGCAGAGTGCCCATCGATGACCCGTAAAGCGGAATAATCATAATCAATAATAAATATGCATAAATATTGAATGAAATTTTCTTTTCAGCACAATGCATTTCCATATTTTTAGCAACACAAATGGAATGCTTTTA